AACCTGTCGACTATTTGAGTCCAAGTTCCGAGACCAAGTACTACTTCTGGTCTGGTAGAGTTCATTGACGTGTAAATAGAACCTATAGGATATAGTGTTTGAAGTATTTCTGTCTTTAATGTTTGAAGCTCTGTTTTGTCTGCTTTCTTATATAACCTTTCTTCAAGTTCATTTACGTCAGAGATGCTATGTCTATGATATTTTTGTGGTATGTTCCTTCTGTCCATGCGAAAATATACTCTTTTGTTGCATCTACATATCCAGTTATCCATGTCGAGTCTGCTTTTGTATTCCTTAACTCTGTAACACCTTTCTCAAGCTCTTTCAACTGTTGTCCATCTTCCATTAAACCTCTGGTATGACTTGAAACCGTTTGTGCCAACATATCTACAGTTTCTTTGTCGGCTTTAAGGTCTAAACATCCTGAAACCCACCCTGTATTGGCTTTACCTTCTAAAATCTTCGATGTCCGTTCATGGTACCATTCAACCCTTTTTATAATTTCATTGTCTTTTTCATCCACATATTCCTTATTTGCCTTCTTCACTAACCCACTAGCCAGATATGCTAACTCATCGTCAACATACTCTTTGTCAGCTTTCTTTTCAACATCCTCTTTTGTTGCATATGTTGCATCTGCTCTGTCATGTTCTTCTTGAACTTTTTCAATGACATACTCTTTGTCAGCTTTGTTGTCAATATCTGCCTTCAAAAGAAGTTCATCTATAGGTTTCTCGTTTAAAGTTCTTTTTGTTGGATTTATACAAACAGTATGGTTCTTACTGTCTTGAAACAGAAACTCATCTGTCATTGGGTTTATCGTCAGTTTTAAGTTTCCTTCTTTCAATGACTCAGATATCTTAGAATAGTTTGAAAAGTTTGTTGTGTTCTTATTTAGAGCTTGTATAATGAGTTGTCGGTTGTGTTGTATTTCTCTCATAGACGCTGTTTCTTTCGACATTTTTATTCTAGATAAAATATGCTTTCAATAGAAAAAGAAAATTCAAGAGTTGCTACAACTAAACCATTAGATGAACTTTTTACGAATGTCGGTCAAAAGTTTGAGACAGAGACCGTAAAACATGAAGGCTATCGTTTTGACTACCCACTAAGATGGTTAAGAGACCCATCCGTCACAAAAGCTATTGGCTTTCGTAGAATGAAGTTCATTTCAGAAGCCATACATGGTTTCCCATTTACGGTCGCTTTTGAAATTCGATACTATAACAAAGAAAAACATACGTATGAGAAATTTGAACAGGGAAAACTTTTACAAGTGAATTTGCTTGTAAACTTAGAAACAACTCTTCAAGCTTTTCAAGAAAAAATAAACGATATCTATATCGAATATGCAAACCAGTTTAACATTGACGAAGGAGAGTACCATCTCGATATTTTATATGACAGGAAAAATGCAACTGTTAAAATCAATAGAATAGAAGACCTTGGAGAAGACGTTTATATTTCTACAAAATATAACAACTTGGCATGGTATAGGTTTCTGCGGATGTTAAATCAGCCTGCAGAATATCCAGTACACCCGGACTTTTATGAAGTCGAAAACCCTAATGGAACATATGAAAATGTTTTCGACTCAGATGCTATTATCGTTCATGCTTCATTTTCTGGTGCACAAAACTCTTTTTTATGCTTGGCAAATGACTTTTACGAAAAACCTACAAAGCTATATGAACCACCGAGTGGAAGTATTTCAGACTTTCAAGTATGGTTTACAACAGATGGAAGAAAGAGAATAGTTCCATTATACCATGCGTTTTACTTAGAACTTAGTCTCATATACAACTACTATCGAACGGTAAAAATATAATTTTAATACGGTTGAGGTGTTGGATTTGGTTGCCAACTAGACTGTGGTGCAGGTTCAGGCTGTTGTATAACAGGAGCTTGTTCTTCTGGTTCAGGGTCTTTAGGTATAATACCAACGAACTGACCTACTCTTTTACCAATATTTTTGACTCCGTTCCAAATTCCTCTTCCGACAGATTTTATTCCATTCCATATACCTCTTCCAACATTTCGAAAGAAGTTTCCTATTCTTCCAAAGAAACCCATTTTACTATATGTAAAAATCTAATGTCCACCTAGTCTCTTACGTTTCCTGTTGAGTTCCATAGCATTTTTTAACTGGAGCTCATACATTCTATTTCTCCTCTGGTAGAAAACATATTCCGGGTCAACTCCTGTGTTCGCGTCATCTGCATAGAGTTGTTTATATCCCACTTCAGGGTTTGTATAAAACTCTTTCCATCTCATATTTGCATACCATGGTGGCAAACCTAACGCAGCGTCATTTGACATGGCAGTTTGCATTTGTACATCTGTTGGCACTTGACCATAGTTTGCCATTGCAGTTTGTATTCTAACTTCATTTGGAATATTCTCTGGGTTTGGTTGTCCAGGTTGCTGTGCATTTGCTAAGTTCTGTGCGTCCATTTTAATATTAGATAAAAATATCTCTTACGAGTACATATGCTGAACATTTGCTGGTATTGGTTCATCTTCATATTCTCTATATCTTTCTGCCACGTCAAATAAGTAAATGACACAATGGAAAAAACCTAAAACAAGTAGTCCTATTTCAAACCACATTTAGTTACCAATAAAATTTCTTTGTTATGACACTTTTTCCGGTTTATAGGACCTCTCTCATATTCTATCTTGTCATATCTAAACTCATAGTCATGTATGTCCTCTAACCATCTCATGACACTTTCCAAACCACTTTTATCGGATGTAAAGTAAAAGCATGGATGGTTATGTAAAACGTCTAAAGTTTCTAAAGAGTCTCTCAAAGTCCAGTCTACTTGGTATTGAAAATCGTATGTGTTATAGAACGGCGGGTCTACTATAAAGAAAACATTTTCCTTGTCTTTGTATTTTTCATACAACTCTGTCCAACGACATCTCACAAACTCTATACCCTCAGTATATTTTTCTATGTTCTCTTTGAAAACCTTTGTATAGTTAAGATATAAAACTTTTGACATAAGTGTTTCAATGTCATGAACTCTTATAGAACCACTATACAATAGTCTAGAAGATATACTATCCCAGTCAATATACTCTGCTTTTTTCAAAACCTCTCTGACAGTATTTTTCTTATCTAATGGTATACGTTCCATCTTACCTATAGGTATCTTTTCTTTTAACTCTTTCAATATTTTGTTTGTGTCTGGTATATGTTTGAGACGGTTCATATAGTTGTCGAAGTCATTGCATATAATCTTTGAGTCAGGAAATACAGTATGGCACAAATGAGATATATAGAAACTTCCACCGAACAAATCTACAAATGTTAGACCATTCGGTAGTTTCTTAAGTTCTCTCAATAGAATATCTTTACATCTACTCTTATTTCCAAAGAAGGGTAACGGTGGTTTTGTAAAATTCATTTTATATACAATAAAAATGTTTTTTCCCTGAAAAGTGACAGAAAAGTGACAAAACATCTTCGGGGCTAGAGGGCACGAAGTGCCTGGAAGCCCCAATACCTTTTTTTTTTTTTATTTACTGAAATAACTGGCAATTATCAAAATTTTGAAATTTCAGTTGCAAACTTGTTACTTTTTTATGAAAACAATGAAGAAAAATTAAGCAACTGTTTTAATTTAACATTGTTCCAGCAAATTTATTCCAAAAATGGAATCGAGCAAATGATATTTTTTGCTGCAAATACAATTTGTTGCAATAACACTTCTATCAATTTTTACAATCTCCTTGAAATTGAAGAAATGAATCCATTTGATTTTTTTTATTTCTCAATTCAATATAAAGAGATATTAAATTGCGATGATTTTCCAAAAGTTACAGAAGTAATCACAGGTTTAATCTCAGCTTCAAATATTAATGCTATTATGCGAATTTGCCAAAAAAATTTGGATAAAATTACATTTTATAAATGTAATTATTGCCATATTACCTCAATATGGAATTTTATCACAAATGCAGCAATAATTCTTCCTGATGAAGATTTATTAATCAAATTATTAAAATTCATAGAAAAAACAGAAAAAGCAACAGATGAATTATTCGAACCGGAGAATGATTTGGGTTTCTATGAATATTTAAATTCGATTTTCTCAGATATTACATCTGCGAGAAATAAGCAATTTCTCTTGGAATTTCTAAATACCCATGAAGATGACTTCACTTATGATCAAACATTGTGAGGTCATTTTTGATCAACAAATTAATTGAAATTCCGATCAAAAAAAATTCACAAATTGGATCAAAAAAATCGAATCTCAAGTTAAAAATAAAAAATTTCTACATTTTTATCAAATTTAGATTTTTTTTTCAAATCATGCGAATTGATTGAATAATTGCATATTTTATCCCATGCATCTAGAAGTATGTGTAATATTTTTGCTTTCATCAAGAAATTGTCGAATTTGATCTTAATTTTTTTTGAAAAATATACTTTTAGAAAAAGAAATAGTGATTGAATAGCTGCCCATGCTGTAAAAGGGTTATTTTTACAAGTAAAAAAAATTGTTATTTTTCGAGCAAGTCGAGGCTTTTTTACCATCTTATTTTTGAAAAATTTACGAAAAATTATATCTAAAAAAACACTTCATTTTGATATCTTACAATGATAAAATACCAATGTTGCTGGGATATAATAGCTACACCTGGACATCTACTACATTAATGCGTATGACAGGTAAAGTTGATTTCAAAAATATAGCCTGGAAAGATTACAATAAATCAACGATAATTCAAAAAAATTTCTTATAAGTTAACATAATAAAAATTTAATTTTTATATTGCTTGTATTATACTTAAGTATATAATATATTTAAATCTTAGAATGAAAATTCGGGACGCCCTAGCTATTCAATTTTCCCTTAGGACGCCCATAAACCTCTCAAAAATGTGATGTAAATATCACAATTTTGAGAAATTTACACTAGGACGCCTTAGGACGCCAACCCCCTTTTTTACCTTTTATTTCAATCTGACTTTGAATTTTTTTTTCAATGAGTGAAGGTCTTGTTCTTGATGTCGATCACATTGCGAACAATATTCAAACATATATCGATCAAGATAATTTTTATGATGTGATTGATAAAGATTTCATTCCTCAAGTTTTCGAAAAAACAAAACTTAACTCAAACGATTTCGTAAAACTTCTTTCTCAAGGGAAATCAAAGTATAGTACAGCTAGACTTTACAATCTTTCTCGTAAATGCAATGTTTTGGTTAATTCGTTCGAAGATGCGATTAACGTTCTTCAAATCTACAACAAAATTTTCAAACTCAAATCATCACGCTCATTAATTGATTACCTTGATAAATACAAAGTAGAAAATCAATCTGATTCCAAAGAAATGACAAAATTAAAAAACGAGATTGAAAACCTCAAATCTAAATTGTCAATTGTTGAAAAAGAATTCAACGAATACAAAAATGATTTCTCAAAGATTTCTGAATTACGTTCTTGTTCAGATTTTGAAACAGTTTACAATTTCCTTCAACAACTTTCAGCTGAAGGTGATAAACTTAAAATGTCTATTTCGTGTGCAGTTGGATTGAGTGAAAAGAGAAATTCAGAAGAATAGACTCCAGTTCTTAAAGCATGCGCTAAAGGTGATTTTGAATTAGTCAAATCTCTTATTGAAGGAGGTTGTGACAGAAATGCAGTTATACAATATGAAAGCAATTGTTTACTTCTAGCATCATTCAATGGGCATCTTGAAATTGTAAAATATTTAATTGAAGTTGGTTTTGACAAGGATTGGCGTAAGAAAACTTATGGATTTAATGCAATTATAACTGCATCACAAGAAGGTCAACTTAAAGTTGTTAAATATTTGAAAAGTATTGGTTGTGATGTCAACTCTAAACAAAATGGTGGTGCAAACTGCATTTACTTTGCATCATTAAAAGGTCATCTTGAGACAGTTAAATATCTTTTTTCAGTTGGAGCTAATCCAGATGAGAAAGCTGTTGATGGATTTTCATCATTAATTGCTGCATCACAAGAAGGTCATCTTGAAGTAGTTAAATATCTTATTCAATGCGGATGTAATAAAAATGATAAAACAAATTATAATGATTCCTCACTACATTGGGCAACGATGAATGGTCATTTTGAAGTTGTTGAATATTTAGTTTCAATTCGTGTCAATCTTAATGACAGAAACAATGATGGAAAAACAGCACTTGATTATGCAAAAGAAAAACAACACGAAAATGATAACTACAGAAAGATTGTCAATCTTCTAATTCGATCAGGTGCACAATAATTATATCAACAAGAACATCTTCAAATTGAATAATTCGTAAACAAATATTTTATCTAAACAATATTAAAAATGATTCTTAAATTACTTGATTCCAAATCTCATTTCAATATAAGAATTTGAAGAAAATTTCAAATTATGTCAAGTTTTAATTATGTCATATGATAAGAAAGAAACATATCTTTCAAATTTAGTAAAATAATACTGATTGATTTTCAAACATTGATAAAAAGTGACGACTTGCGTTCAACTAACGGCGCCTTGAAAATGAATTTCAATTTTTTTTTAGTCTGAAATCTAATGTCGCACTCCAACAGAAGATATATGGATATCCGTCGCACAAACTTCCCAGAAGAAGTCAAAAATCTCATCGATGAGGATGAGCTAAAGCAGGCAGTTTTAGATGAAGTCGAAAGAAATGCTCCAAAAGTCGCAGGAAAAGAGCTTCACGATAATGCAAGCGTTAGCGAAATGGAAGATTATTCCGGAATTATTTTAACAGAAGAAGAAAAAGAAGAATATTTACTCGTTTTAGAATTCTTAGATTCAATTGGTCTTAAATATGCGCCAGCAGTACTTAGATACGAGTCTCAACATCCAGAAATAGAGGCCAATCGTAAGGAATTAGCTGATCGTCTCGATCTTAATGCTCGTAGCCAAGATCCACTTCTTGTTCAACTATTCCAGGAGCGCTTGAACGAATTAAAGAAATAAGCCATTATATGAATTTATTGAATTATTAAAAGTATGTATTACCCTTTATACGTTAATAATTTATTATACCTTTATTGCTTACATTTAGCCACATTTTTTAATTTTTAATGAGTGTGCTTTTTGAATTGTTATAATTTTTCATATCAAATCTAAAGATATCTTAAAAAATAATTCAATATTAAACGTTAACAAGTAATATATTAAATATTTCCCACCAAATTATCCTTTTTATAAATAATATGGTATGATTAAAGAAAGGAAAGTAAGTTTAATATACAATTTGTTAAAAATAAACAAGAATAGTTATAAAATTTATAAGGATTCCAATCCAACAGACTCAAGAAAACCTTGAAGACCCTCTTCTTCGTCAACTGAAAGCAAATCTTTGAGAGAATCAATTTGACTTTGAACAATTCTCACAGGAATTGGCATACAGTCCTCCTGGAACTTCTTTATTGATGCTTCCATCTTAGAGGAAGGTTGAATCGGGTATTCTCCTTCATCAGTTAAAATGAAAACGCTTGGGAAGCTTTTTAGGACATAAACGTATTCTTTTTTTCTTTTAGAGTCATCAACTGAAAGACCACTAAATAGCATGTTATCGCTTCTGTCCCAAACTTCAACTACAAAAGAAAAAATAGCTAATGCGCTCTTTGGAGAGGACAAACATAGCTGTGAGCACATAGAAAGTCTATCCCAAAAGGCTGTTGAAAGAGCTGGATGACTTTTTGCAATAAATGCCATAGAAATAATTGGTTTGAGGTTTTGCGCTGCATTTATATGTGGAACAATTTCTTTGAGTCTGTTCATAATTTCAGGAACCATTTGTCCAGGATTAAGTGACTCAACCTCTCTGATCCATTGCATAAATAACAAATTCGGATATACGCCAGCAAGAACGTCTTCTAATTTGGAGGATATATCAAATTCTTCACTGATTATCCTATGGAGATGTGACAATCTGTTCGTTTTCGGATTCCAATTTACAAATTTAACAACGCATTGCATTGCTTGTTTTCGAAGATGGCCATCAATTGTTGGAGGAATTATCTTGAATGATAATGGAGCTGATTTCGAAGGTAAAACTGGAATCCTGACAAAGTTTTCTTTGACATCTGCAGCCAAAAATGGAGAAGTAATGTATTCGGAGGTATAAGCTACACCACATCTGAATGCTGCAAGCATTTGGAAGGCAAATTCTCTGTTTGCATCTGAATTGAGAGCTAATGGTAACTCAAATTGATTTAAAGGAGCGAAAACTCGAGAAATGCCAGGTGAAACCTTGGCAAGATGAGATAAAAGTAATGAATATGATGTACCTAAGAAGTAGAAGTCAACTCTGGCAAGGATGGTATATAAATCTTTAAGAACTTTGAGAAGAGGGGATTGAACTGCGTCTGGTGGTGGAGATGATATAAAAACTCTGTGCCAAACAGGATCACGAACCTTTCCTAAGGCGATAATCAAATTTGGAATAGCAACTTCAAAAGGAATTATCTCAGTTGGGAATGGAATGGTATCAAATTCGCTAAGGATTTCGTAAACAGTTGATATAGGTATTATATTAAGTCGGTCAGTATACGTTATTACACTTAATGGAGCATTTTTAGGTAGAACCTTTAAATAATCTCTGATAATTTCTTTGACAGGAGCAAATGCGATGATGGAATGCGAAAGTGGTTGACATTCTGAGATTTCAACGATTTCTAAGACTTTTGAAGAATGATACTCCTCAGGAACTGGATTTTTAAGATGCATTATTTGAGAACATACACTGCAGCACCAAGCTTCGGGTGACACAGCGCAAACTGCGCTTAAATAAGATCGGCATCTTGAACAATGCGGAATTTTTGCGTTTGGATCATCAATAATTTTTGCTGAATCATCTAGAGGCTCAACTGAAACAACAAATGGTATTTTTATTCCCTGAACAACTTTTTGTACTGAAGGCAGAGTTTTAAAAGTTGAAAGCATTTCTAAAGATTTTTTTTTCTCGAATTATAATCGTTGCGTGTAATTTGAAGAGCATATCATATTACCTTATTGTTCCTTCTGGCAGATTCTAGCCTAAAACTTCTGTGAGATCCGATTACAATGTCTAGAGTGTTTGGAATTTTTGTTATAACTATTCATCTTATAAACTGACTCTGCACTCTTTGAAATGTAATAGTTATGAGACTTAAATTTAAGTTTCCTAATCTAGATAGCAGTTATGCACAAAAAAAATATTCAATTGTTATCCTGCTTTGTAATGAATTAAGATATTCACAGCAACCGGATGTATAAATACGTCTATTTTTTGTAAATATTATTAGCAATTAATAATCTAATAAACAATAATTTATAAAACAGTAATAATAATAATAATAAAACAATTACATACTTGGTTTCTTCTTATCATCAACTTTTGCTATAGTTGTTCTACCGAAATTACCTCTACCTTTATACATCTGTCCATTAGGACCGTAAATAATTGATGTTTTCTGTCCTCCTCCACCCGCAATTACAGATTGTGTTGGATCTCCAAGACTTTCTGCGACTGCTTTATCAGTAATCATACCACTAATACCTGACTTTGGTCTTCCACAAAGCAAGCATCTGTAGCTTTGTGTTCCACCGCTTGTAGACTCATCCTTAGCCAGAATTCCATACAATTCTTCCATTGCTTTGCGTAATTCTTCTTTTGTAACTCTATCTGGTTGTGTTTGTTTGATTTGTTCAACTTGGTCGTGAGTTTCAGTAATAACAATTCTCATCTTTGTGTAAAATTTGCTGACATACTCCTTATCAACGAAATTGTCTGCTCTAGTCTCCAAATCATTCAATCTCGTTGTGTTTTGGTCGACTTGCAACTGCATTTGTGTCCTTACATCCATAATCAATTGTAAAACTTCTTTATCAATGTTACTTGGAACGTTTAACACTGTCATGTCTTGTACAGTTTGAGGAACAACACTTGTGAATGATACTTTCTTGTCATAATTAATTGTATTCGATGTATTTGTCTCATTAAATGTCATAGGAGGCAACAAACCTTCGCTTCTTTGACTTTGAACTTCCTTTTGTTGTTGTACATTTTGTTGTGGAGTTTGTTTCGGAGATTTAGGAGGATTCTGGAGCGAACTTTGTCTTGGAGAATTCGCTGGTGCTGTTGATGAACTTCTTCCTGAATCAACAGGTGAAATTATTGGTGGCTTTTCTGTTTTGTCTTGGTTCAATGATGGTAATTTCAATGAAGTTATTTTTAGAAGAGAAGGAGGTTCTTGGTATTCTATTGCTGGTTTCTTAGCTTTTACAGCTGGATTTACTGGAACTTGTTCATTAGTTTGTGGTCCTGTTTGTTCGTTGTTTGGCTGCAAGGAACGGATGAATAAAGACTGATTCTTTGAGATTCTTCCGCCTCCTGCCAAAGCTTTTGCAATAATTGTTTTCTGGCTTTTGCTGAGATCATTAACAGTCTTCTTCATATCAAATAATTCTTGTTTGAGGCTGAGCAATTCCTGGCTGAATTGTTTATTGTTCTGTTCGATTCTCTTCTTAACAGATCTCATGTTGTCTTCATTTTGCAACTGCAGTTTTTCTGTGGATTGATTCAAAGCTTGGTCAAATGATGGCAAAGTAAATCTCTCGTCATTATCATGCACTTGTCTTGCGATATCAGTAATATGGTTTCTGATCTCAACAATTGCATTTCTAAGTGTTCTTATTTGATCTCTTTGATGAACAATGTCACTTTGCATATTCTCAATTTGACGTGTCATTTGTTTGTCACTTTTTACAGTGTCTTCTTCTTCATTTTCCATTTCTTCTTCTTCATTTATTGGTTGGTCGTAAACATCTTCTTCTTCATAGTAATCATTGTATTCTGAAGAAGCGTTTTCTGAATCGAAAATGATGGATTTCGATGTCTCTCCAGTATGAAGTGAAGAATGAGAAGATTTCGGATGTATTTCAGGAGTTATTGGTGTATTTGGTCTTTCTTCTTCTTCGCCGTTTTTAGATCTAAATGTTTCTTGTGATCTATGACTTGATCCACTCGCTGAGATTCTTTCTGAGCTTCTGTGGCTTGATCTATGGCTGGATAACCTGTGACTCGAGCTCTTGGCATCACCATTCTTAGCAGAACTCAATAAACTCTTCGAAGAATCTTTAATTGATTTGGCTGATTCTTTGACACTTTTTGCAGAATCTTTGACACTTTTTGCTGAATTTTGAACTGATTTCTTTGAGCTTCTTCTTGAAAGTTTTGTAGAAGATGGCTCTACTTTATCATCCTCTAATGGTGACTTCTTTATTGACTTTGCAGAAGACTTTGCACTTTGTTTAGATGAAGGCAAATTTCCTGCAGAAGATGGGAATTTTTCGTATTGAAATTCTTCTCCTGTTTCTTCTTCTTCTTCTTCAACTGGTTTGATTTCTTTAGTTTTCTCTTTGATCTTGAGTTCTGGTATTACTATAGGTGGCTCTCTTGCCTTTTCTACAACTTGAGGTGTTTCTTTTTCAACATGTTTTTGTTGTTTTTGTTTTTTAGGTTTCGGTTTTGAAGAAACAACTTTTTGGGGCTGTGTTTGTTGTATAATTGTAGAAAGAGGTAATGGAGCAACATACAAAGAAGAAAACTTAACAGGTGCGAGTATTGGCTTCTTCTGTTGCGTGACTTGATTAATAAAATCATTCATTTGATTTTGTGTCACTTTTTGTAAATTTAAGAAATTCTTTGAATTATTTTCAACATCACCTTTCAACAAATCCACTTCACTTTGGATAGAATCAGTTGCTGAATGGAGATCTGTTATATTCTGATCTTGTTTATTCGCCTGGTTGGAGATCTCCATTAATTTGATCTTTAATTGGTCAATTTCGTTCTTTGTTTTGTTGATTTGGCTCTGATGTGAATCCATCATGTTTAAAAGTGGTGTATCATTGTATTTATCTGTATTTATGATCTCTTTTGTTGCATGTGTAATGTGATCAATCTGATCGTATAAGTCTTTGATCAGTTCTTCGTTTTTCTTGTTTTGATTCTCGAGATTTTCGATTTCTTCACTTTTTTCGATGTTTTCATATGAAAAACTTAAATTTTCAACGACATCCAACCTCGTGAAAGCTTTTTCAACAACTTTTGGTTCTGGTAATGGCTTTGGTTCTTCTTCTTTAACAAGTTTTGGTGGTGGTTTCGCTGTTAATTCCAGTTTTGGAATTTCTTTGGGTTTAATTTCGACTTTTTCTTCAACTTTTGGCTGAACAACAACAGGAGCTCTGTCTTCCAATATTGTTGTGATCATTTGATTGGGAATTTGAGGTGTTTGAGAGTCATTATGTACGTATACGATTTGAGGAAGGTCGTAAATGGTTTGGGTGACCTTTTCAGCAAATTCTTTGGGTGGAATCATCTCAATGTCCAAACTTTCTGGAGCTTTAGGGGAATCTTTCATAACCTTATTTTCAGATTTTGGAGTTTTTGGAGTTTCAGGGGTTGGAGCTTCAACTTTTGGAGTTGGAGGTGGTGTTTTCTCTTTATAGATTATTGTTGGCTCTTTCGGAATTGTATTCTTAAAATCTTCAAAATTCTTCTCGAAATTTGAATTGTTTTGTTTAATATTTTGAATATCTGCTTTGAATTTCTTCAATTCATCAGCTAAAGTAGTCTCAATCTTCGCTATTTGCTGCGCATATTGAATTTTCATTTCTTTAATTTGTTTTTGCAATTCTTCGCTTGAAACTCCTTCTTTCGGTGCGGATATTTGTACTGGAGTTGCTTTGTTCATCTCTCTCATCATATTTTGAAGAGATTCGCTGTTTCCTTCTGATAATCTTGAGAAATCATCTTTTAACAACACAACATCTGTTTTTAATTTAGCTAATTCTGGAGTCATACCATCTACACTATCTTTCAACTGCTTAACTGTTGGTGTTGTTTGAGAATTTTGTTCTTCGAGATTTCCTGTTTTTTCTAGAAGTTTTTTGACTTGAACCTTTAAATCATTGATAGCAAATTCATATGCTCTGTTCACTGATGAATGATCTTTCTTTGGCTTTGGAGTTCCTGTATCTGCTTGAGATGATGGAGTTAAAGGTGTAGAAGGAGGCTTAGATATGGTTTCTGGTGGTACCACTTCAACAGGAGGCTTCTGTTCGATTGTAATTGGAGGAGGTCTTTCAGATTCAAGACGAACTGAAGAAGGTCTGGCTTCTTCTTGTTTTGGAGGCTCTTCTTTCGTTCTTTCCTCCTCTGCTTTTTCGTTTTCGTCTTCTTCGTAATCTTCTTCTTCGACTTGAGGTGGATTTTGAAGAGTTTCAAGTAAATTTTCGAATCTTTCCTTTAAAATTTCAAAATCAGAACGAAGAGTTTGGTCTGCAATAGGAACTTGACCTGATTCTACAACAACAGGTGTAGTTGCTGCTGGTGTAACAGGTTTTGATAATTCTGAAACGACAGTAGCCATATTTTCGTCGACTTTTGATCGTAAATCTTTGATTTGATATGTAAAGAATGCTCTAACTTCACGTATTTCCGTTCCAAAATCATTTGCTTGTTGTGATAACATTTGTTGTGTTTTTTCAATGCTATCTTGTAGAGGTTTGAGCTCTTGTGGTTTCAGAAATTGTGTTTGCATTGATTGCCATGTTTGAATATATTTATTATTTGAATCTGTCTGTTGAAAAAGCTCATTTAGAACTTCTCTCATTTGCTGATAATCTATTGACAGATTGAAAGCTTCTGGATCCTCCAAAATCTGCCTGATCTTGGATATATCAGGCGGATTTGAAGCATTCATATCAAAATTAATAAAAAAAACGAATGAAAAATTTGTAAAAATTGTCATCTGAGATAATGATCTCATTGACATCAGCATAATATGGTGATATGAAATTATTCGTTAAAATTGAAATTTACAAAATTCTTGTCGGAATGAAATACGAATTCTTTGATTTTAAATGCTTTTACAATATCATTATTGTTTGTTGAGTATTCTCACAATAACAAGCTCAATATTCACATTTTGATCTATTGAAGTGAAAAATGATGTGTTATCATCATAGAAGCGGAAACGTGAATCATACTTATTTTGTATGCATAGTATATTACAATGATTATATGTCAAGGTTTCCACAAGAGACTTTCATGTCTAAACATTACTATTTCATACTCGAAGTTGCTAAATTCAAAAAGATGTCAGAAAGGAGTAAATGGGCAGTGATAATATTCAAAGTGTGTGCAAAAGTCATGGTTGGTTTTGTTGCATGTCTTTCATAATACTTATTCATGATAAAAAATTAGGATGACAAAAAAATTTTTTTTCAACTTTTATATGGATTCTTCAATAGAGTTGGCTGATCTTCTTGTTAATGAACTTGCAAAACAAATAAAACTGAAATACAAAGACGATGTCACATGTACAAATCTTGTTTACCTTAAATTACAGAACTTTGGAATGAAACCAGGATTTGCATTTGCCATTCAAATGGTTTCTACTTCATTAATCGAAAGTAATTTAGATAATGTAGTTGCATATGTTGGGCAAGTAATGGGAAATGAAATTTTAGGAGCTCCGGCAGAATTTAGTAATGATGGAGATAAATTTATTAAATTCCAATACAACAAAGAATTACCAAGTATGTTTAGGAGATTAGGACCGATTACAAAGCAAGGAATGCCACCAGAACAAGAATTTTGGCTCCAAGTTTATGGACATTTTATTCTTGGCATATATCAAGGAGCTCTTCTTCATTTCGGATATCGTACGGTTGGTAAATTTGATTTTGGAGATGATTCTATTCAATTCTCAATCAAACCAGAAAAATTAGTTGGTACTTGGTCTTCCCCGCCATCTGTTCTATTAAAATAATCATATACGTATATGTTTTGTTTTACTGTTATCTAAAAAAAAATTAAATTAATTTTTTTATATTTTTTTTAAAGAAACTCTAATATTTATTGATTAGCAATAAACTCTATGATATGTGATGCACATTCTGCCACGGATTGATTCTTATCTTCAGTATAACTTTCAATATCATCTAAATAATCTTCAAGAGAAGAGAAGAACCAATGGCCATCACCATTAGAAGCTATTCTAGTACATAATTGGTACAAACCTTTGATAAGTTGTCTGCCAATTAATTTATCAGACAAATAAGTTCCGAAAATATTTGGAAGGCTCTCATTAATGTCAGTTATATATGGAGCTGTGATATTTAATAATTTAAGAACTTGTCGTTTTGTTGAAAAATTGTAATTATCTAGGTTATCAACAACTGCTTTTGTAATCAAATCACTGTATGTCTCAGCCCATAATGAAGCGCACTTCTCTAAATACCTGCTTGCATATGTTGCTGAATCATTTGAATTCAAACAAAGGCAGCAAGCATTAACATCAGCTTCTGTGACTACTCCTAGTACCTCTAATGTTCTAAATGCTGATGACTGTATTGTTTTGTCATCTGATGATAAAAGTTGTAAGATTTTTGAATGAATTTCATCAATATTAATATTTACTGATTGGGCAAGGTTTTCATCGTAAGATAGCTTCTGTATTAATGATGTAAGCGCTGATAATGCGTTTGCAATTGTGATGTTGTTTTCAATTTCTAATTCTTGGTAAATTATTGGAATCAATGAACAAACTTCTGGTGTAATCTCATAAAAACGGAAAATTTGGGAAATTATTGGTGAAACATCGACTGCAAATTGATTTTCGGCTAAAATTTGAATTATATTTTGCGAAAGAAATGTTTCTCTGCACTCTTCAAAATCAAACAAAAACGAAATGATTGCTATCGTGTATTCAATCCATGGAGCGTTATTTTGTAAATAATTTAGTAAAGCATCGCAAAAATGAGGTGTTTTTTCAAGTGCGCGTGTAGGACAATCTGGTAGCTTAATTGATAATGCTATATCTTCAATTGCATAACCACGAATATCATCTGTATCTCCATCTCTTGCGAGGCCTACTATAAATACGAAAATATCAGGGAATTTTGTAATTAGCTCGCCAGCATATGGTTTTTGAAGTGCATTTCTAATGTAAATCAACGCATGTAATTGTAAATTGTTGTCCATTGCTTGTAATTCTGTCATAACAAATTCTACATCTTCTTCTTTGAGTTCTTCACTCACTTTGACATTGTTTGAAATGCTGCTGATCTGTATAGGTTTCATTTTTCTTTGTAAAATTTCCTAAAATCTCAGAGGTATTCAAAATTTTGGCCAAAGACAATAATATATTTTATATAAGATATTAACATATATGCAGATGGCATTCTATTTCATAATACTAACACAAGAAAATAAGTAGAAAAAAGATTATTTTTCCGCAAATTTTCATCATTCAAGCTCATAAGCGGATGAATAAAGCTTATTGGATAAAATTACGAAAGACGTCAATCACACATCATTTAATTAACCCGCTATTAATTTCAGATCCAATATATCTTACGCAAAGCACAAAAAAACTTCATGATATATTCATCTAATGATCAACTACTTACCATTAAGACATTAACCAATAAAATCTAAGAATAACATTCAATTCCAAGTAAGTTCATGATTTTTCAAGAAATATCTATTAGTAAAATGCGTGGATATACGTAAAATCGTAATATTTGAAGGAATAAAGATAGTTTACAATATGAAATTTTAGGCAGATTTGGAACGAACTGCAGTTTCAACAGTAGTGATTGCATCGCTCAAGAAATTAACATCTGCCTGAATTGTGTCAATACACTCGAGTTCTGTTATAACTGATTCAACGGAGTTAATGATCTGATCTAATTCTTCGTATGATTGTTCAGAAAGAGATTGTATTTTTGCTCTAGCTTCTTCTAATGCTGCAATAGCTTTTATTGCAACATCACCCATTCCATCTAAATTACCTCTAATTCCTTTTATTGTTTCATCAAACGATCTGATAATATCTTGAGAATAATTTTCTAATTTTTGAACAACATCAGAAAATTCTTGCTTCTCTTCATCACTTATTGTGGAGAGTTTAATACCACTAGATCCAACTTGAGGAACTTCTACCATAAAAATGGGTCTATTTTTGTGTTACCCCCTTAAATAAAATTTTATGAAATAAAACGTCATCAAAATATAGTGAGATTATCTCAAGATAATCCCAGTAATTGTTAAAAAATTGAAGGTCTCTTTGACTGTGAGTAATAGAGTCTATTAATTATGATTTCCTAATTGATTCGTATTTTGAAATTTTCAATTTTGGTCATTTCTTAAATTTGATTTTATAACTCAGCAATGTTCTTAAAATTGTTCATATTCGCAATATTGTAATTTTCGAAAAATCGCCAAAAATTAACATAAAAAAGATTTATCAGGAAAAAAATTACATATTTTTGAATCCTAAGAAGAAAAACGATTTTTTTTGAAGTTTTGGGAGAGTGATTCTGCATTATCTGATCATGGAACGTGCATTATCGCGTTCAGATAGCAAAATATACATTTTTAGAATGAAGAAATATGAAATCAAGGGAAAGATATTACTCACACTCAAAGAGACCTTCAATTATGAAATAAAGCAGACTAAAAATGAAAGAATATTTTCTCATTAGATATAATGGAGTGATGCCATATTTGGCTTCAGTGATCATGCCTAGCATGGAGTTGATTTTTTATTTAGTAACCTGAATGTTGGATATTTTTGGTGTCTGCAAAATATAAAGAATTACTATCATTGGTCATGGGAGTTGGGAATCACATAATACACAATCTTATCTCACTAATGACCATAAAAGTCCAATTTCAATTCATTTAATGGAGTACTTTCGCCAGAATGAACACAGTCTCGAAAAATTTTATCAATTTTAAATCTAATTAAACAATAAAAATTTAGTCTGGAAGGTCAATATCCACATCATCCCACATATTTCCATCACCTTCTCCTGCACGAGCATTCTGAACCATTCCCTTTGCAGAAGCGTCAACGTTCAGTGCTGGAGCGACAACATTTTCTTTGTTATTTCCAAAGTCCATAACGTTATCAGCTCTTCTTTGGTCATTGAATTGATTGAATCCTTGGTCTTGATATCCCATTTGATCTCCTTGCATTCCTTGCATCTGTTGTGCATCCATTTCTTCCTGCTGCATCAAAGCAATCCTCTCCATCAAATCCTTGCACATTCTCTGATATAAATCAGCCTTTTGTGTCAAACCCATTTCTGTAGTCAATTTGATCAAATGTTCCAAACATTGTTTGTTGTTTGGATCCAATTGCATGACTTTCTCGTATGCAGCGAGTGCTTCTTGTTTCTGGTCCATATTCCTGTGGCAAGAAGCAACCATCATCAAATAACGTGGCTGCTTTGGAGCTAACTCTGCAGCGCGTTCGAAGAACTTCAATGCTTGGTCGTACGATTGTTTCTTTCTGAAATAACTGCCAAGCCATTGAATGACGTCGATATCGCTTGGACAGAATTTGTAGGACTCTGTGTAGCAATGGAATGCTTGGGATTCATTCTGATCTCTATCCCAAATTGCTCCGATTCGACGCCAAATGGCAGGATCCTTTGGTTGGATGTTAATTAAACGATGCAACCATTCAATTGCATTTACGTTCATTCCAGCCTTTTCGTAGCAATCAGATATTTCGAATGCAACTTCAGGAGCCTTTGGGATAATTCTGTTAAGCTTCTCAAAGACTTGTAATGCTTCATCGTATTGTCCTGTCATCTTTGAAACAACACCGAGGTTGTAAAGAGCTTCAACGCAATCAGCTTCAACACCAATAGCTTCAAGATATTGGTCTCTGGCTTCTTCTTCATGATTTGATTGCATAAGACAGTTGCCTTTGTTAACAAGAGCTTGTGCATTGTATTTATCATGGTCAAGAGCCATTTGAGCGTATTTATCGGCGTTTTCGTAGTCTTGTTCGAGGTAATATAAGAATGAAAGGTTTGTTGCTGCGAGAGCCATGAGAGCTGGGTCTTTCTTCCTGATCTGGCGAAGCATCTCAATAGCTTTATCAGCATTATGATGGTTTAAGTGTGCAAGAGAATAGGCAATTTCAAATTCTCCTGTTGCTTCAGGGAATTTCGACTGTTTGAGCTTTTGCAATACGTAATCGTAAGCTTCTTGCCAATCTTTATCCGTCTTTGATGCAACTAAACGGCTTGCAAGCATGACTAATCTGACTTGTTCTCTTCTCTCGACGTGGAGTTGATTTCCAAGGATATCTGACTCACTGATGTCACCAATAGTTGTAATTGGCTTGACACCAAGCAATCCTTTGTAAGCATCTCTAACTTCGTCGGTAGATGAAAGTAATGCGTGGCATAAAACAAGATTGTAGCCAGTCTTGATGGATGGATCAAGTCTCATTGCAGTTTCAAAGGCAGAAAGAGCTTGTGTGTACTGTCCAAGGCAAATTTGAGCAACGCCACAAGCATGATTGAATCTGGCTTTGTATCTGCTATGTTCTGGCTTCAAATAGTTAATGCCCATGTTGTAGTTTTTAACGGCATCTTCGTATTTTCCGAGAATCATGTTGATATTACCGATTTCTAAATATGGCATGAACATGTTAGGATATTCATGATCTTTAAGTAATCTTTTGTATCTGCGGATTGCTTCATCGTAATTGGAGTTGGCTTTATAAGCATCAGCAAGTTGCATAAGAACTGTATATTTGTAAGTCTTGAATTCTTGCTCATCGAAGTTCTTTGATGTGATAAAATCTTGAAGACTCTTGAGTTGTGCATCAGCTTCCTTAGCTTTTGTAAGAGATAAAGAACTATCCGGAGGATCAGCCTTTAAAGCCTGCGATGAAGCTATGATAGCATCCATTATATCCTTTTTGAATTTCTTCACCTTATTTTCTGGTGAATCACTTGTATCATTAATGAATTGTGAGAATGAATCTCTTACATGATCAAGTGGAGAGATAACCTTCTTACCTCCAGAAGTACCTAAGCCGCCCGAGCTGAATCCAGTGCCTTTGTGACTCGAAATTGGGCGAGAGGATGTCGGTGGACGTGCACGTGACGAAGTAAGCCTAGAAGTCATTGAATTCGTTATAAATTTCAAACGATCATATTTTGTTTAGATGTAAACTCTGTCTATTTTATACTCCATTTCCGGTAGTTTTATATTCCATATGACATATAGTACATTTTTATTGCATATTTGCATTATTTAATCTATAAAACACCATTTTATTTGAGATAATTATATTTCTGGCGCTTATTGAAATTTAATAAAATTAAAATTAATGATATTACAATGTAATAAGCCCTACTCACGACAGACATGCATACTCTGATTTGGTTTTCTTACTGTTCATTTCTTGCTAGCATGTTTCATTTTAAGATTTTTATTAAGTTAAATGAGCAGCATTGAGGAACAAATTTCTTTAAATTTATGGACTTTTGAGCTCGTATTTATACCCCGTGCTTCAATTATAGTTGATGACATAATCCTCGGTAGGAACTCTGAAAAAGCTAAAATTTACTAAATTTATGAATTCTTTGTTGAATAAGATATATTTATTTAATTAAATTTGTTTTATTTTCAGTATTTTGTTTGATGACCACAAAACTTTAGCTGATGAAGTTGCATATAAACAGATTCAGTTAATTTCAAGCCTTGATACATTAAGTAATAGTTTGAATAGTATGAATCTACAAAATGACTCCTTTACTTCGAATTTTTCATCGACCTTTTTCAATCTTCATTATATTTTATCAAATGCGTCACCATCTACAAATTCTGACATAAATTCGCTTAATTCATTACACAAAGTATCTCAATCCGATATATCTTTGGCAAATTTTATTCTCAAAACCGTAAATGATCAATACGATCAACTAGAAATAACATATCCAGCATTTTCATCATTCATTAATAGTGCTTTAAACAAAATTATTCTTGCAAACTATATAATTTGTGAAATTTCAAAAACTAATCCATTACCTACTCATCAAATTCAAGAAAGCTATTCTGATTTAATATCTAAAATATCAACAACAAACAAAATCGTACTAAACTCAGAACAAGACTTAGCAACAAATTATTCGTTATTTGATATCAAAATTTTATTACCAGATGTGACAAAAACATTACTTGATAACATCTCAAAAATCACAAATAAAGATTCTGCTGATTCCATAGCCTTTATTACCCAAAAAATTACAAATTTTAGAGATTCTTTCATTTTGTCAACTTCAAATAGTTTTTCATTTCTTCCAGAGCTAACATTATCTAGTATTATCGATTTCCGACAGTTTACTTCTGATTTATGTTATTTTTCAGGAATTATTGATGAAAATTTGAAAAAATCAGTAGTTTCTCAATTAACACCCAAATTATTGTATTTAATTGATGAATTATTGAATTATTATTCTGTTATTACTAATCATATCTCAAATCCTTTAAATGTCACAGATTATTCAAAAATTGGACATGAAAGTATTGCAAAAGTCCTTGGATCTTCGTCCAATGCATACTCCGCATCAATAGAACCACAACTGTTTCTAATAGATAAGTTCTTTTCAGACATGACACCTGCATTTGAAGATACAACAGCTCTTAAAGGAACAATCGAACAATTAATTGATTTTCTTGAGAAAAACAAATCAAAGTTCATAGAAATACAAAGAGTTCTGGCGTATGGAGGCTACAAATCTCAATCAAGAGTTTTTTATTCATCATTGGTTGGACTAGAGGTTTCATTAAAGAGTTTGTTAACAACATCAAAAGGACAAAGTACAACATTTTCACCTGACAAAGTTTTGGAATTAGAATTAAATTATAAAAATGATATTGATCAGATCAAAACAAACAAAAAATCAATTGGTTATGCAGATATTATATCATTATATACGAATCCATCGAAAACAGCACAACTTTCAGCATCAAATAACAAAAATGAAAAAGAAATTTTCGAAATTGCAAAAAATTCTTTATCAAAAGTCAAAGTTTTGATGAATACTATTACCGATTTAAGTGAGAAAACAGTTCCTCTTTTGCAAACAATACAAAACTATCTAAAATCAGTTTGGCCAGCATTAGATTTTCAAAAAAATACCAAAAAATCACAGAAAAAATCAATTTTTTCAAATGATTACAATGAATTATGTTCTACATTTAACTTAGTTGTTGAAGGAATGCAGACAGCGATATTAATACCTATTAATGATATTCCTTTGCGTGAATTATGTTTCGAAACATTAAATTTGTTAAATTTAATTTGTAAAAATTCAGTAAAGATAATTCCAAAGAATATACAATTGTTATGTGATAAATTCAAGAAATTACAAGGAGATTTTTCTGTAGAAAGACTTTTTAAGCTGAATTTGCAAAAATATGTTGATGATTTAGAAAAAAATAAGAAAGAAATAATGAAATTGGATTCTTCAAAGAGAGAATTATGTTTTACAAGGCAAATACCTGTTTTAATTGAATTTCTCAAAACAATTTCATCAAATATTTTGAGTTTCAAAAAAGAAGACTATGAAGTTAAAGATTCAAACATGGATTTAGCGCATGCTAGTGATGGAATATCAAAAATCATATTTTCTTTGTCAGAAACAGAATTTAATTTGAATTCTTTTTATTTAATGAACATTTTAGTTAGATTAAGAGAACATATATCATCTATTAGATGTGGCGTTATATTTGATACTCCAAAAGACTTTTTAAGTACAATTAAAACTATTTATGATCAAATTTCTGATCTTCAAAGATTAGTTAAAGTTTTCTGTCCTTTAACGACAATAAAACCATTTATAAGTTCATTGGAAATTGTTATTTGGAAGTTAAGTCATATGAAAGGAGATTACAAGAATGATGACCTTTTAATTTCATCTTTGAATGCAGCAATTGAACAAAAATTCAAAATTGAAGCAAAACTGTGAGAAAATTAAACAAATATTGGAAAAACATCTTGGATATTTCAATGATATGACAAGTAGAACTAATGAGCAGTATAAGAAGCTTCATGATGACTTTAATAATGCTTTATTATCTCTTTCTAAAGAATGGAATCCTCCTGACAACTTAAATTGCAAAAATGATTTAAATTTGTTCCAAAAATCATTAAATTTAGTTAATTTATTGTGTTCTCAACCAGATTTAATTAACGTTTCATTTTTGGATCCATTGGAAATCATCAAATCAACACCTTTGGAAAATTTCATCAGACAAGCAATGAAAACAATTCTAATAAAAGAAATTTACAAAACCGTCAAAACCGCAATTTCAATTGAATTCCCATCAAAATTGAGACTTTTGAAGCAATCTGTTGTATTTATAGAGAATTGCATAGTTATGAAAGGAAATTATAACATTAAATCATATGTAGAACATGTTTCTGTTATTCTTGCTTCATCTTTAATTGTTGGATATTCTCATGAGACAGAATTATTAAATGTTTCATCAAATTTAGATATGTATTGTCATGCTTATAATATATTATCACTTGCTAGTCCATCAGATGCTATTTGCGATGCAGAAGTTTTTATTAATTTAATTGATCTTCTAAATTCACAAATAACTTATTCAAATTTACCACATTTGTATTATTACATACAAAGGTTGATTGATATGTATAATAATAACAGTGTTTTAAGAGATTTTCAAAAGATGATTTTGTCGAATTCGAAAAATATTTCTGAAATCGATTTCACACCACTTAAAAATCATATTCCAACAATTTTACCACAAGAATTCAGTCAGTACATCACTTCCAACCAAAATGAAAGAGATTTAATCTTTAAAACAAAACCTTTTTATGTTTCTCAGAAAAATTTGAATGAAAACTTTGTTCCAACGAATTTTCCAAAGGAAATTTTCGAGTCTTATTTACCATTGAACAAAGTTGTTTATAAATATTTCCCTAAACCTAAAGAAGACTTAGAAATTGACGAAAATGTTATAAATGAATTCAGTTATGATGATAATTGTCAGAAAACATTTTCAGTTCACCAGATTTCATCTTTGATTTCATTATTCTCGAATACATCGAAACCATTGGATATAAAATTCAGGAAACTCTCAAATATTTCTAATTCGATGATTTCGAATTTTCCTGAATCAATTTATTCAAAAGGAAAAAGCGGTTATTTGTCAATAACAGTAACTAGTTTTAAATCGAGAAAGAACATTGTTAGTTTGTATTTATATGATATTAGAAAGAAAATGATTGTTTCGCAGCCATTTTCAATAGGAATTGTTGATTCTTTACCAATTATTTTGAATACAAGTTCATTAACAGCTGTAATTGAGATTTCGGAAAGAAATCCAAATGTTGTTTTGATTGCAAGGTTGTTGTCGCAGTTAGATGATGGAGAATTCAAACATACCGCTGTTTCTTCTATCAAAATCTTTAATGAAGGTGGATTTTTGGAATTCAATCCTTCTTTTCCTGACAGATTCCATTCAATTTCGAACAATTCGTATTTAGACGATAAAAATGTCAATCAATTCATTGACAACATTGCAATTGATTTCCAAGAAGTGACAATGACATTGAAAATCAGATTATTATTTGAAAGACCAATAAATTCTGACACTTTTTGGTCGAATAATTGTTTTCCGTTTACTTTTATACCAAGAATTGATAATAATTTGATCTACAAATATCCGTTAATTATTCTGAAAAATGTCACTTTTCAAAGTGATGTAACAGATGCCAAATATTGTTATTTCACTGTAGAAATCATTGATCAAACAAATAGTGATTGTTTGAACCAAAAGAATGAATTACAAAAGAACTTTAAATCTTGTTTGGCAAATTACAGTCAAAATATGACATTTCCTGACATTTGTCAGATTTTAGTTACCAAAGACTTTTCTCATTCTGCTGTTTGTAAAATCAGTTTCAGGACAATTGACAAAAAAGGTGTTGAAAATAACCGTTTATTTACAACATTCAAATTTTTCAATCAGAATGATTTTCTTTTGCAAAACAACGAAATCAAGTTTAGTTTGAATGATGTGAAAAACAAATCTTTGGCGTTGTTCCAAGAAACATCATCTTTTGTTAATTTGTCAATTAGTTTTCCATCGAATTTTGTTATTCCAAAAACATTTGTTGATTTTTATCAATCAAATGGAATCAAAACACCATTTTTCAGAGGAATGTCTCTTTCTCTTTTAGAACCATTATTTATTCCAACAATTTTTGTTTTCTTGAAAACAATTTCCGAGAAAAATGTCAGAGATTTAGTATTGTTTTTGTCGAATTTCAGTTTAGATTGTTTGGAAAATTTCAATCAATGGTGTTTCGGATGTTTTAATCCAAATTATTTATCTATTGATTTCATTTCGAAGTTTTTGAACTTTTATTCGAATTATGTATCAGAATGTAATTCGAAAAATGATTATTTGGAACAGTTAAGATGTATCAAATCATTGCCTTATATTTTAGATATCTTGTTGGCATTATTATTGTTTTCAAATGAAGTTTTCAAATTCTACAAAGAAAATTTGGCAAAAATGTGTCAAGGAATATCAAAAATAATAAGTTTGCTTGCGAGAACGGAATTTAGTAGAATAGCTAATGAAAGATTTTGCAATTTCTTGTTTTATTTGAGTGGAACTTTGGATGAAGAAAATTTGTCTGAAATAATTTTGACACATTTGAATGCTTTTGATAATCGCTCAATAGAATTGTTTTCAATGACAGCTTTTCCATCATCACAAGATCCAGAACAAATTCGTGCTGATTTGTTACCTCTTCCAATTAGATCTTTGTCAATGCTTGGACAATTTAATGTTTTTCATGCTTTTGCAATGTCTCCTTTTCTTCCAACTGTTGTTGTTACTTTTCCAAAATATAGGCAAATATTTAGTATCTTGTTTTCGAAACTTGATGATGCAATGGCTACAAATAACTTGGAGTTTATTAGACAAGTTTTGCAAATCAATGCAAAATTTATAGAAAATTCTGACAGTTTTTCATCAATTTCTGACATTTCTTCTCAAATTTTCTTCCCTTATTTAGATTTTGCCGCAAAACATTGTAGTAATAATAATATTCTTGATGATGCTGAATCTTTAGAGTCATTCATATCTCCTATTTTGTTTTTAATCAAGACTTCTTCTCTAAGTTTAATTCATCAAACAATTACTGACAAAAATGGAAAAGAAATGGTTGTGAGAAAATTAATTGGCTTGTTATACAAAAAATTCTCAGAAAGTGAATTCATTTCACCTTTGTTTTTGGCCGAATTCACAAAGAGATTGATAAGGATTTTCTCTGTAACAATGGATTCAGACAATCCAAACAAAAAAATGTTCAAAGAAATTGCAGAATCTGTTCATTATTCTCTAGCAAAACTACAACCTTCATTTATTGTCAAACAGTCTGTTTGGCTTTATTGCAAAGTTGTTGATTGTTTCCCTGATCAATATCAAATGATTTCCACTCTTTTCTCTAATATTCTGCCGATGATTAACAGGAAAATGTATATAACAAGAAATTCTATTTTATCTTTCTTTGTTCATGTTTTTTATTCTGAATATTTGAGAGTGAAAAACATAGACAAGATTTTCGACATTTTCATGTCAGAATTTTTGTTCAATGCTTACAAATCTCTTGAATTCGTTTATTACGAGTTTTTGACTGTTTTGACACTTTTCTTGACATCTTTTCCTGACGAACAATTTGTCAAAATTGCTACAGAAAAACTTTCAAAAACAAAGAAGATTTATTTAGAAATCTTTGATAGATTATTGAAAGAATATGATCCACTACAAATAACAAAAATATTTCTTGATGTTCATACCAATAATATGATTGTATCAATGATGAATTTATGCGGAAATTATTTCTATGAAAATGTATTTTATTTGAATTCGTTTTATGCAAAAATCGAAGAAATTTCTTTATTGAATTCTTATTTATATATTCTGACAAATGAAGAAATTAAATCAATTGGTGGAAGAGTGTTGCAAAGCCAACAATTTTTTTATGATAAGCAAAGGATTTTTAATCTTTTGAATGAAATTTTGGAACTTGTTATCAAGAGTGATTACAAGGTTTGCTCCAAACAAATCTTACAAAATTTGATCAAATTACAAACGAAATTTGAATTAAATCAAATTGATTTTGATTTGACAAAAGTGTCAAAACCGTTTTATTATTTTGTTACTTCGAAATCAAATAACAAATATATTGTTGAATCTCATATTCCAACAATGTCTGAGTTTGCAAGTTTCATGTATTCAAAGACAAACATCGTTTTCATTCCTTCGAAGAAATTTACAAATAAATTCGACAATTTTATATGTCCAGTCACTTTTATTTGTAAAGACACCTTCGAAAACAAGAATTACGTGTTTAATGTTGTCTCTTCTTTGTTTGGATTCCATGAAGTAAATATCGTTGCTGATAAGAAGAGTTCAAGAGATATTGACTTTTATTTAGAGAGATTAAGCAACGATAAAAATGATGCAGAATCTACATTATCCATGACAGTTTTGAATCCTAAATTCGCTTCTAAGGCAATTAAAAGATCTAAAGATTTCGTTGATTCTTCAAAGAAAGCTTTGAAATCAATCAAAAGTTCTAAATCATCAGTCAAAGATGAATGCGAATCTATATTGAAAACTCTTCAAAATCTATAAATTTTTGTTTGTATTTAAACTATTTATATCTATGAATAATAAGTATCAATCTTTGGAATAACTTCTCTTACGCCATTTTTTACAATACATTTAGCTCATTCATGCACTGACTCGTAGTGAATCAATGTGGGATACACAAAGCAGAAAATATTTATTTTACAGAAGGGTATTTTTTTTTATTTTGTCCAAGACTAATTACTATAAGGAAATATTCTTCAATAAAGTAAAATCTATTTTTGCCAAAATTCAATTTACAAACGATTATTACTGTCAAAAATACAAATGTCTTTATATAAAGAGGGAGATGAAAATATTCCGACTTCAAAAGAACTAGATGCCAACAGAAATCCAGTGTTCGACTTTTATGACGAAAAATTCGCAGAATTAATCAACGCACAAAATTTTAATAATGTGGATTATTACGATGAAATATCAAAAATTATGTTCAATCTATTTAGCAACATTAAGTCACCCATTTTCGAATATGCTCATATGAAAGGACTCACAGATTTTTTAATTACGACAATAAAAACACAACCAGCTCTCGTTTATTCATCATTATACTTGCTAGTTGGCCTGTGTAATGATCCTGCAGGTAAAATATCTCTACAAATAATATCAGATGAAGATTTTATCGCGTTTTTAGAAAATACACTTCAAGAATACTCAGAAGGCTCAGATCCATCTTTAGTTTACAAGATCATTGAGTTGTATGGATCAATTTATTACGATTGTTCAGAGAAAAAAATTTTATTTGATCATATCATTGATTTCGGATTATTAGATTCTGTTATAAGTAATTTCCCTGATGGAACGCCCCAGGTTGTCAGAATGTTAGCCTATTTGATCAAAAACAGATCAGAATGCGGAGATTTTCTTCAAGCAATTGAATTTGTCATTCCATTCCTCAAAGATGCCTCAAAAATGAGTATTTCATCTATCATAAACCAAATAAGGCAAGAGGCCTCCAAAAAGCACGAACTTATTGAACAATTACTAACTACAGATTTTTATTCCTTCATTTGCGAAATTGCATCGAAACCAAGCTATTCGTACGAGAAATTAGCAGATACACTTACATACCAGATTCTTTGCCAAAATGCTTTGGCTTGTGCAGATTTAATTTGTGTTTCCTTGGAATGCAGCAACAATATAAAATTAGTGATAGATATTGGCGGATTCATTGATTATTTCATTGATGTTGAAAGACAGGATGAATTTATTGCATTTGCATGCAAAATTTCTGCAATAATTTTGCCAAAAACTTCCTATTTACTCCAATTGCTTATTGATAAGAGCTTTATAAAGTATCTACCAAAATGGGTCATTGATGGCTCTTTTAGCCTCAAAAAATACGCAACAGATTTATTATTATCTGTTTTTGAGAATACACCAGAAACTAAGGCTCAGCTTGTGTTCGAGAAGATTGTATCACCTGAGGTGGCTCAAGAAATAATATCTGCTTTCGATTCTGAACCAAAAATGATCAAAATTTGTAAATATTTCATTCAAGCTGCTTTATTCTTGCAAAGAGAAGCAGTTCTGGATGAACTAAGATGTGAAGAGCTCTGTGAATCAGCTCAATCCATTTTGGATGATAGTGAAGAAAAAAGTGAGCAATTCGAAGATCTTCAATTCATTTGTATGACTCTTTTCCCTCAAGAAGAATGAATAGATAATATGTAAATATAAATATTATGTTTTATTCAACAAATATTTCTATTTTATTTCAATTTTAATTTGAAAACAAATTTTATCAGAAAATCCAATTGATATCGTATAACAGATCTAAAAGTATTGAATTGTCAGATAGAAAGCTTAAAAAATTGTGAGAATTCAAATCATTTCGTTGTTATTGCCAGTTTCCACACTCCACCATTAAGTTGAATTCTATTAATTGTTGACATTATCGATGTTTGAACTTCTATTTTCCATATTTCATTATAAATTAAGTTCAATATTAGTTTTATAATGAATATTGAGTGACTTCATATAGATTTTTGTTTTCAAAATTGCATGATTTATATATTAATAACGAGTTTTTAATTAAAGTTGTAACAATTTTTTTACACAAAAGTTACTCTCATTTAATTTTAGTAATAAAAATCATTCAATAACACTAATTCTAGTGTTTTTATTTTTACTGAAATCAATTTTTCCCATAATTTGCTGATTTAAGATTGAGTCGAAATGAACGAGGTCCATTACATTAACATGAGTGTTGTATAATAATCATTAAAATATTAAAAGCATTCAATTTTTCGCAGAAGCTATCAAATTGTGTCTTGAATTTAATCAGTTTTCAATTAATACTCTCAAAAATTGCCCACTCTTCGAATCAATATAATTTCATTTTTAATAATTATGATATTAGTAGTTCTTCCAATCATAAAACAATATTTATAAAATATAATCATACGGTCAATTGAAATAACCGAAATTTTAATTAAACAAAAATTGCTTAAAATACATATCTAATCATTTTTAAATAAAAGCAATTTTAATCCTCGCCTATAAAAATAATATTCACAAAATTTCAATAGAAACTTTTCAAAAATTAATTGTGGTTCTCTTTCAAAATTTCTATTCATTTTTACAGATGATATTCTTTTTAACCATCCTAAAGCATCAGGATGAATATATGGATTACTGGAGAGAAGTATATGGCAATAATCAACCAAATTCCATCAAAGAAAATGAATATGTATTACTCCCAAGTAGATGGACAAGAAATGAAATACAAAATAAGAATATATTAATAAAGAAATGTACATACTTATATATTCAAAATGCACCTCCAGTGATATGGGTCAGTCAGAAGTTCTCAATACTTTGATAGTTGACTGTAGCTTTTTTGCATGCTCAACCAACTATGATGATTCTAAATATTATGGTGTTATTCAAGTATGGCTTAATCATGGTCAATTCGTGGCCAATAGGATTTGTGCTCAAAACATCACAAAGGGTAGAGAAGGTTATTTTGCAAATATCAATGTGTAGAAAGAACCTACTACTCACATAGCACAATTTAATCAAACAACAACTATTAACTGTTATTCTGCGGCAGATTATTCTGATGCAATTTCAATAACTTACGGAATTCAATCAATATCAAATGTCAATTCAACTGGTTGTGTATCAAGGACATCTGCACCAATGATATTCCAAAGATCAAATAAAATTCCAAAGGCTAAATTCTGGAATATTGTTAATTGTCAAACCACTAGGGATACACATTTAATTAAATATTTTGCACTCGACGGTAATAGTACTGATGTACTTATACAATATTCAAATATTGTTAATAATACTCTTGCAGGAGATTTGCGCTCAATGATAAATTTTATAGATCCAATTATAGGTTCAAACAATCAACTAAAATTATTTAACGTTAACATTAATGGTAATAATTTCAAAAATCTCTATTATTCAAGTAGTGGAATTATTCAACCATTACTATTCATCAATTGTTTTATCAATCCAAATACATATGCTGTTAGTCAATCAGAATCAAGAGAAGCTGAATTTGAGCCATTTGGTCATGAATTATATTATACAGAAAACTGTCATTATACTTTTCCTGAAACACCTTTCCAAACTGCATTTATTACAGCAATAGAAACACCATTTGATACTCCATTCTTAACAGCTTTTCAAACTGCTTATGAAACTGCTGCAACGACGCCTGCACTAACTCCACTAATTACCCCATTTGATACACCATATGTAACTTTTTATAAAACTCCATTCGAAACTAATTTTATGACTATGCAAACAACACCAAATGAAACACCATTTAATACATTCATTCAAACTGTCCATGAAACACCATTTAATACATTCATTCAAACTGCCCATGAAACACCATTTAATACTCTCAAAAAAACTTTTCATCAAACACCTTTTAATACATTAATTCAAACTGTTCATGAAACTCCCTATAACACTTTCATACAAACTGTTCATGAAACTCCATTTGAATCATTGATTCAAACAGCATATGAAACCCCATTTAATACATTTGTTCAGACTCCAAATGAAACTCCTTTTATTACTTTGGTACCATCAGCTGCAGGAACACCATTTTTAACACCTTTTAACACTAACGAAGAAACTCCATTCGGAACAATGTTTGAAACAGCATTTGAAACTCCATTTAATACACAGCATACAACACCTGAAGAAACAATGTTTGAAACACCTTATCAAACACAACATACAACCCCTAAGGAAACAATGTTTGAAACTCCATATCAAACGCAACAAATTTCTCCTCAAGAAACAATGTTTGAAACTCCATTTATAACACCTTTTGTTACACCAACTCTATACAAAACATTCGAAGAAACTCCAATGATAACTCCTTCTGAAACAGATTCAAATATCATAATTCCACCAGACAGTAAATCTAATGAATTTGCAATCGAAGATAATGTTGTAAACGAAAACGATAAAAACGGTTTGACAGAAAAAGTGACACTTTATATGGCAAAAAATAGAGCCTTACTTTTGAGATACTTGAGATTGAAACTGAATCTTATGAGGCGGTGATCTTGAATCACTACCTCATAAGGTTCAGTTTCATATAAAATTTGTTGCAATTTGTTATTCTTTTGCAATTATTTCTTATAAGATTTTACATCTTTTAGCGGGGAATGTTTGTTATCATGTATATATTATAAATATCTACACGATAACGAACATTCCTCGCTAAATTGCTGAGAAACTTTGAGGAAATGTCGAACAATTTCCTCAAAGTTTCTCAGATTTATATAGATCACTAGAGTCCCCTAGGCACTGATTCTGGTTCAGTACCTAGGAGGCTCTAGTTCTCTAACGAACTGATAAAATGTTTTTAAATTTTTGGATATTGCTACCTGTGAAGCACTGACTTCAAGTCAGTACATCACAGGTAGCAATTACATTGAAAGATGGGAAAACTTTGTCCGAATGTTAAACTATTCGGACAAAGTTTCTCCCATTTGTAGTGGAGATGGAAGGCTTTGAGGTATATTATATTAATGTATACCCCAAAGCCTTCCATCTCCACTTGAAAGTTCCAAAACTTTGGGTTAATAGTTTGCAATTAACCCAAAGTTTTGGAACTTTCTAGAAGGAATTGCAGGGTAAGAGGTACATAGTATGAATATGTACCTCTTACCCTCCAATTCCTTCCTTAACATAAACAAATTTGGAGTTAATTGTTTGCAATTAACTCCGGGTTTGTTGACCTCCAAATGAAAATGAAAGGGTAAGAGGTATATAGTGACCCTATATGCCTCTTACCCTTTCATTCTCATTAATTATGGGAGAAACTTTGGCCGAATGTTAAATTATTCGACCAAAGTTTCTCCCATTTTTTGAAGGGATTGGAGGCTATGAGATACTGATGCAATGTCAGTACCTCATGGCCTCCAATTCCATCCTGAAACTGATCAAAGTGGACCTTACATGCATTTGAAATTTGCCATGTAAGGTCCACTTTTTGAGAGAGAGGATTTGACTGCGTCAAATCCTCTTTTTCGTTTACGAGAATAACGATACTTTATTCACAATCATTGTTGAAAGAAGATGGATTATTGTAGTGATTATTGCTATTATAGTATGTATTGTTCATAATCCAAAGGATAATAGTTCGAGCGATGACGATTCCGAAACAGATAATTATGGAGATCAATATGATATTAATGGAGCTTACGGCGAAGACGAATTCGCTGAGGATAACTCTGGAGAAACAGTAAGTATATCAGATAATGATATTGAAGATAATTTTGAATGATAAAATACATATATATTTGTTAAGAATTAATAAAATATTATCATGTATTTCAACTTAAAATGCTGTTTTTTTAAAATATATATTTGAAATCATGAAGAATTTCTGAAATATTATATCCATTCTTGAAACACAAATTGAGCCGTCTTCATATTAATTTCTGATAAACTCATTCTTTGTTTTTATGTCATTCGCAAAAGGGGGCTATGTTTAAATAATTTAATTTAAATTTCGATCTATCTTTTTGAAAATGATATGTGTGTGTGCTATACTACCTGCAGATGATTGTCTTCTCATTGACAAGATTTATCATTTTTTTAAATCAAATTTAAATGAAGCGATCTTCAATTTTCACTCCATCAAATTCATGGAAATCAAAGATGGAAAAGAGTATAATGCAAGAACTTCTTCCTCCTCTTGCTTTATCTCCTTTACTTGGAGATTTTCTAATTCATAGTACACCACTTTACGGAGTTTCCAATAATACCATTATGGATGCTGCTTGGAATACATTTAATGGCAATGTAATTACGTGGCTTCTTTCTAAAAAAGATTCTCGTTATTTAATTCGTCAAGCATTTGCAGGATTAAATAGATATCATCGCTATCAAACAACACGTTTGTTATCTATGTTAGATTACTTGATTTCGTTCATTTTTACAAAGTCTAATGTACCAATTAATTATTTTTCAATTGGTAACAGCAAAAAGCGAGCAGCTCGCCGTTTTACGCTAACATGCCAGAGAAATGAAGGTATTTATAATGAAAAGAAAGAATTATATTCGACAATACTCAAAGCTTTCAGTAATGAGCAATATACTGAGGAACTTGGTAATGAGTCTATCTTTTCTCAGTATATGTCAGCGATTAAAGCTCTCAGAGATAATCAAGCCGAAAATTATGAAATTCATGGCGAAATCACAAAACTTTTCGAGCAAGACTTTGGTGTTCCATTTTCCTCTATATTCGAATCAATTTCTACGAAACCAACAAGATCATACAATGGAATTTTAACATTCAACGGAACTATCAAAGGAAACATTCCTGTTTCTTTGACAACATTCTTACCAGTACACAGTAGATTGCAGACTATTGATTTAATTCCATACAATATTCGTCATTTCTTTTTAAATTACGTTTTTTATTCCAGAAGCTTTGCAAACTACAGCGATGCCGTGAAACATCGCATTTCCTTTTCACTCAAAGACGAATCGATGACTAGAATTAATTTATTAAGTAAACTTGGAATTAATATCGAAGGATCTCCTCAAGAAATCATTGAAAAGGCTTCCAAACATGACTTTCCATTCGACATCCCTGTTCCTATTCCGAAATTTACAAATAACCGCTTTACGGTCACATCTCATATTCCATCTGAATCTCCAAAGATAATTACTAAGGAATGGGTATCCAAACTTGCTGAAGGAACAGCTCGTGCCCTATTTGATTACAATATTTTGATTCCAAACGTATCAAGATCAAATATTGTGGCAGAAAAAGGTCGAGTTTCACTTTCAAGGTTCTCAGGAAGCTTCATTGCGGAACCAGACTTCATTAAGAACGCTTCGAAGGTATTTGTATCCAAAATTACAAATAATTCCAAATTATTAGAAGAAGTAAGCCACAACATGAGGATCAGACAGAAACATTTAGAATCATTCATTAATGAACCATCATTTTATACATCTCTTCCACTTTTCAAGAAATTTGGCCAAGAAACTTTAGGAACAGCTGAATTGATCAGCGGATTGATTAATCACACAAGGAATTCTGGATTGGATGCACAAGTTTTTGAACCTTTCGCTCAAAGAATTTCAAATATTGTTGGTGAATCATTTATTTCCTCAAATCAAATAATCAATTATATGAATGAATTTGTTGGCATGAAATTAGAATGATTTTTTAATAAAATTTTGTATGTTTATGCTAAATTTTTATTTATCTTATGAATTAGATAAGTATATTCATTGATTTCAAAACGATGATTTTACTGATGTTAAATTAAATGTATTTATTTGTCGAACTTTCTTTTAATTTAGCCAATATGTAAAACGAATCAATAACTTGCTTTACATAGGAGCTATTTTGACAATTTAGATAGTTATCTAATTTACTGAAATTGCAAAATATAATCAGTCCAAAGAGGGTTCATCCGAATCAATATGAATTGAAAAAGTATAGATGGTTATGTTCTGTTTCAATGTGCAATTGGAGGCTTTTTTTAATAAAATACATTCGGAGTTTGGACGCATATAAATAAAGAGTTAAAGATTGACTTCAAAGAGTGCCAAATGACACTTAAAAATATATTATTTTGCTAATTGATATTTTTATTAACCTACCATTAAAGCCAAATATCACAAATCATGAGATTAATTTAGCTGGGGAAAAAAATACTTCAAAAATCTCAAAAGGATGCTTTTATTCATAAAATCTTAACTAAATAAGTATAGAGAAAGAAAAATATGATTTGTGATAGTTAGATGATTATATTACTTGGCTCCAATAGATAATAGATAATCTCTTACTTCATTTTTCGCAAATGAGAGCGGAGTCTTTCCATCATTTGTCTTTGCATCTTTATCAGCTCCAACTGAGATAAGATATTTAACAACTTCAAGATGACCTGCTTCTGATGCACAAATGAGTGGAGTAGATCCGTCTTTTGCCTTTACTTCTTTGTAAGCTCCAACAGAAATAAGATATTTAACGACTTCAAGATGACCATTTAATGATGCAAACATAAGTGGAGTACATTTAGAATCATTCTTTGCTTCTTTATTTGCTCCAGCAGAGATTTTTATCTTCTTCTATGATAAAAATCTTATGGCAGTCCCAACGGGAACCGCGGTAATTTACCGAGGTTTCCGCACACCGGTTCCTTTTTTTAGGAATTTTTTAGATTAAAAAATATGCTTTGTAAATCATTTTTTGTAAATCGGCAAAAATTTGGAAATATTCTGACGACAATAAATCTGGGAATAGTATTTTAAATACGAGAACAACCTATTTAAAAGTGTTTCGCTCGATTTTGTATAATTTCAAATTTTCGCATATAGCTTTCCGTGAATTACCGTGATTTTACCGCCACATCAATAGTTTACGACACTTTTTCCGTAAATTGAGTAGTTTACTGCACTTTTTCCGTAAAATTGAGTTACGGGAATCCGTAAGATTACCGTACCTCACTTCTAGTTGAAAATAGCATTAGTATATAATAAATAGATATATTATTCATATTTTTGATTTTGAATTACGGAAAAAGTGAGTTCAGAACTTCCAATTATTATTTGATTAATTATGTTAAAAATACTATAAGGAATTAAAATACATAATGTTGAAATTTGAATTACGGAAAAAGTGAGGGTGAAAGTGAAGTGAAAAAGTAAGATATTTTTTGTTGAAATAATCATAGTTGTACAATTTTGAAACTATATGTAAAGCTATAAATTGAATAAATTCAAAAACAAAAATTGTTTATTCTTATTAATAAATTTATATTAATCAATATTTGAACAACCCGTAATTAAAATTGAATTCCTCTTAAAATTTAATCCATACGTTAATTTTTAATTTGCTCGGCGAATGCCGAGCTTCCCTACTTCTCTTGTCATTCCTTCAAAAACTCTAATCTCATCGCACTTACAAACATCATGATTTGATGTATTGTCGAGAAATCTTAGACTTGTTTGTCATTTGATTATAGCATTTGAAAGTCATCTCGAAAATCGATTAACAAGACAATTTCCCAAACATCTACATACAAGTAGATGATGGTAAACCCATTAGAGTTGTTTTGCTATGATTCCTCCAATCTTATGATGAGAAAAATCATATCAAAACAGCTCTAATCGAACATTCTACACAGCTTAGCATCCAGCTAGTTCCAAGTAATGCGATTACAACATCAACGGCCAAAGCCTTTCAGAGTCCTTTAATCATTTCTTCTCATCTCAATGTGAAGTGGCCCCAAACGAACTACAAGCTGACGTTACAACGCATTACAACCCGGTTAATACGAGCATATACATTAGAGCTGCTTTGTTATGATCTCCCTCATCAATTGATGAGAGATCTCATTATGAAGCAGCTCCAATCGAACTAAAAACCTACATACAAATGAGTGAAAACAAACTCATTAGAGTTGTGTTGCTTTGATTTCTCTCATCAGAAGATGAGAGATACCAGAACAAAACAACTCTAATCAAACTTTCTACACAACTCAGCACAGTATCAATGCAAAGTAATGCGTCTGTATCGTTAACAAGCAAAGTTGTTTCGGGTCCTTCCATTTTGGAAGAATTCGGAACAACTTTGCGAATTGATAGTGTAAACCCATATACATGAAAGCGTGCATGCATAAAGACAGGTATTGTCAGCAATGACTACCTGCCCAGCTATGAGTGATCAGAGAATTACCATCTCAGGCTTTTTGAGAACGTTTCAGCCAGGACCCTCGTATGTTGACTGTGAGAAAGGCATCCTTTATCTGAAATAGATGCTTTTCCAACAATCAAATTCGAAGATCTTCGACGTTGTTGTAAAAAGAGAAGGAGAAGGAAAGAAGAGGAAGGAGAGGAAGAAGGAAAGGAAAAGAAGAAAAAGAAAAAAGAAAAAAAGAAGGACATATGAAATATAATGCGCATTTAATAGTGCCGAGGCGGCAGAGCCGCCGAGGCGCGATTTTTTTGACCCTATATTACCGCACGGCAATGTTTTTCTCGATTTTGTACAGCCCTAGTTAAATATAATAGAAGTACAAAAAGATTTGATGTCAAATAAAATGATATAGTAAAAATAAGTTTTAGTGTTTTACGTAGTTGGTCGAATTCTCGCAATCATAATGTGTTTGCGAGAATTTGAACGAATCCGGGCACAATGCACTTGCAATGTATCCGGGGTATGATAGAACCAGACACAATTGTCTGCATTGCTCTATCATTTCGCTCATATCCCCTCAATCTAATTATACTATAACATTTCCCCACTTTTTTTAAATACTCCCTTTTTTCTTTAAAAATTATCTCTCATTATTTATCATTTCAATACTGAAGAATTGAATAATATAGTTTAATTACAATTTTTTTTATTATTTTTTAATCATCATCTCTACTCTATATATTATAGATATCCTTTTACACATTTAATAATCTCAATCTTGCTCCTTATATCCTTACGTCATTCAAAAAAATTCATTTTTCAATCATAAATTAATTGCAATACATTATATATCGCCTATAATATTCTAAAGCTCTTTTTTGCATTTCAATTCATAATGCAATTAAATAAGTTATTAATTTTTTCTTGATTGTGTATTCTGTTTTTATATGACGAGAAGTAAATGATTCTTTATGCTAATGAGGATCCATTGATAATATTATTTTACGATTTTAAAATCTCAACTCCAACAAATTGGAAAAAACGAAGTGTCTCATAGATTCGAACCCTGGGAGTTTTCCACTAAAAACTTAATTATAACGATTGAGACAGCATTATAACTTTCAAATTCGATTTTATTGTTACTATTTAATTAATTCGAAGGTACCTGAAATTTGATGACGTTCGAATCGAAATTTTGAATTTATTTCAATAAATATGCTTGTTTATGTTCGATTATTATATGTTGCAAAATTTAAAGATTTATTCTTATCACATTCCCATAATTTGCAAAATGATCATTTCTGTATTTTATTCTATTATTCTAATCCATTCAACCAACCATACAAAACCATTAATGCATTATGCATATATGAATACCTGTTTCCATCCTATGAGTATCAAAATCAAATTCGTATCCCAAAATCCTAAGTTAGGATTTACTTCTTACTATCACCAACCAATTATCCTATTACACTATGTTCTTGTAATACTATTGGTTTCAAAAAACCAATGTTAAAAAATTAGTTCCAAAAATTTCTCGTTATAAATATTAATAAAACAATCCACTATTATTGTCATTTATTTTTTTCGGATTAGTTTGAAAATTTTGTAAATCAAAGATATATTCAATAATCAAAGACGTTCATTCAGATGCTTCATATGAATCAATGGCATATTATACTCCCCATATATCTCTCGTAGAAAGTTCTTACAGAACATTATATTCATCGAGAAAATGCTTAAATAGTGTCACCCAAAATTTTCATTTTTTTGTTGGACACCCTTTATATGTGTAAGACTTCACAAATATTTCTTAACTAGATTTTAAGATACATTTGAAATCAAGTGGAGAATGCAATATTTTCAAAAAAAAATATTGATTTCGTTTTAAATTAACAAAATATTATATGAATTTAATTGCAATTCAAGAGTTTATTAACATATATATGTGAGAATTGAATGAAATTCAATTTCATCCAAAATTTAACTAAATTTCGATGATTGATGAGACGCCTACGACACATCAAGCTGTAAAACTAAATAATTAGTGATAAGAGTCAACTTGTAAGTTGTTATATTTTGAATTAGCTGAAGAATACAAATTTTCGTAAAATTCTACTAATATATGCCATTGCTTTGGAATCCAAGATGAACAATTGATAAGAAATCCTTATATGAGATCATTCCATCGTTATCTGTATCGGATCTTGTAAATGCTTGAGTAATAATGGTATCAGTAATCCTAGGACAATATTTTTTGGTAACAATGAATAAATCTTGCAGTTTTATGTATCCTTTTTGCTCTTTATCAATTTCTTCATAAATTTTATTTGCATTATCAGCAAATCCTCTGTAAGAGATATCCCCAACAATTCTTTTCAAGTCCTCTAAAGTGAAAAGCTTTTGGTTGGGATTTAATTTTGGTTTCTTGCCAATTAACGAAATAACTGCGAGTTTCAGCTGTCTTCTATTAAGAATTTGATTACCCTCGCTATATTTTTGAAAACTCCATGATATCCATTCATCAAAAGTGAATCTTTTCTCATCCATGGATAATTTTTTTTACGAAATTGTAAAAAACAAAAAAATTAACTGTGTCAGATTATTTTTTTTTCCTCAGAAAAAAACTTTTTTATATAGATGATTGGAGGAGATTTAGATGAATTGAGCCCTGCATATTCACATGGTTCTTTTAGTCAGCTGAATCTACAAGAATTTCCTCCAGTTGAACAAATTTCTACCTATGATTCATTAGATTTTTCATTCAATCCTATTTCATCATTTAAAACTCTCCCAGTACTACCTCTACTTGAAGATCTAGATCTCCAAAGTACAAATATTAAGTCATTTGAGTTTGCACAATGCCAACCATCTTTGAAAATGCTTAATTTCAAAAATACACCAATAGCTGCATATGAAGGTTCAAGAATCATGTCGATTATAACACTTGGTTCTTGGATTGAAGAGATAAATCAAGAAAAAGTTACAGAACAAGAACATCAGATAGCAGAAAGGCTTTCACCGCGAGTTAAAAAGCTTTTAACATCTGGGTGGATCTTAACTGCTATTAATACACCTTATTTAATGAATCAAAATTCAAATCAATCGGGTTCCTTAGACGAAATACTTAAATTAGTCGAAAATACTACTAAAAATGAATATTATAGTTCATCGGAATCATATTCATCGCAATTTGAAGATGATTTCCCAACAAAAATTTTGACAAATCAAATTGAACAGGATAATTCAAAAGAAAGTTCAGATAACCAATTTGATTACAATGAAATACCATCATTCATCGATAAAACTCAAGATTCTTCAACTTCGGAATCAGAATCTTTCAAACAAGACAATTTTACGAATAATTTCAAAGAAATCGATATCGATCTTTCTGATTCAGATTACAGTTATGAATCTTATATTGAAATTGCAAAACCATCAATGAATTCGAAGAATTCCTTTCAAAATCAACAAAAACAGCCACAGAATCTCATTGATACAGCATCATTTGCTTCAAACAGTTTTCACATGCATCCAACAATGATAGAAAACATTGATGAAATTAATTTTAATCTAGATCAAAAAGAGAAACTGAAACCAAAGACATTTATCAATCTTAAGATAGAAGACCAACAGAAATTGGATGAAATTCAATTGGTTTTGGAAATTTCGAATTCATTTTCTGTTGAAATTCCATTTAAACCGAAATATTCGAGAAAAATCTCTCCAATATGTTCATTCGATACCAAATCAAAGCCTACAACAAAGCCAAAGCTTCAATGTTTCTTAACTGAAGCGAAATCTATAACTTACGATGGAAATTCCATTATGATGCAATCGAGTTCTATTGCTATGAGTGTAAACAGTGATGATGACTTCAATTTGGTCAAAAAAATAAAAATACCAAATCAAAATCCAAAAAATTATGATAATTCAAAGCGAACCACAAGTTATAATGATAAAATAGAAGATGATGAAAGCATTGAAACAGATATAGAAGAAGATGAACAAGATTTTTATAATTTCAGAAAAATATCAAACAAAAAATCTAAAACAAGCACTTTAGAAACTAATGACAAGCCACAAAATGAAGATACCCAATTCCAAAATCATGAATCTCCAACAAATAAAAAATCTCATCATAAAGCTCAAAAAATTGACCAATCTGTAGATAATAATAACAGATCTGATATCAAAGAAGATAAAAATAGTAGAGTTAATGATAAATCAGAGAATTTTGAAAAAAATGAAAATAATTCTCAAAATTCTAAGCATAAACCAGATAATTATCATATTAATGAACCAGAACATGATAAAATTGAGTCAAATCCGACAAATAAAGATAATAATTTTGATGAAGAAGAAGATCCAGTGATAGAACCAGGAAAAAGTAGTTCTTCTGATGAAGAAAACACAACCAAAAAGGAAGAGACACCCAAATCTCATGAAAAATCAAATTTAGTTTCTGAATCAGTTCAAACAACTGAATTTCAACCAGAAAATGACACAAACATGCAAAACATTAAGAAAGAAACAATTCATGCTGATAAATCAATTAATAATGTTGATGAAGACAATAAAATACATCAAAATAAAGAAGAAATCATTCAAGATATTACAAAAAGTGACACAAAACGTGACACCAAAATTTCTAACAGTCAAAATTCAAAAAGGACAAAATCCAAGAAAGAAAAAAGAATTTCTGATTCAAAGAAATCCGATTTATCAGATGTTAAATCAGTAGATACCATTCCATCTTCTGATTTTGTAGACAGATTAAACAAAGCATTGAGAGCTGTTGATGAACCATCTCCAATCATTCTAAACTCTTCTTCAGACAATGTAAAATCACCAAAAGATAAATCATCAGAATCAAAGAAATCAAAGGTGATAAAGGCACCTCCTTTACCAGTGCCAGACCCTGAAATAGAAAGAAAACATCATCATAGAAAACATCATAATAAAACAGAAAATAAACCAAAGAAAGATATTTCCGAAATTGTTTTCCCTGAGAAAATGATTAAAGGTTTCGAATATTCCTATGAAAATACAGACGCTAATAGGAAACATAAAACAAATAGAAAAATAGAAGATACAATTGAAATGTCAAAACCGCAAACAAAAGTGTCAAATTCTGACAACAGACCATTATATGTTCCGAGAAAGAGATCTGTTGCTCCTCCACTTGATGACAATACATCTCCTTTGTTTAAACGCCAGAAAGTTACAGAAGATATGTGGTTGAATGAACATGAAGATGAAAAGCCGATTCTCGTTGAAAACAAATCAAGTGATAATAACGAAAGGAGAAAGATTTCAAATGATTCGTTTCCAACGATTAGAAGAACATCTCCTATAAGAAATAGACAAAATAGAGAAATTGAAGTTGTTAATGATTCTTATAAGATTTCTTTCAAATAATAAAATTTATTTGTGTTTTATATAATTATTTTCATGATTATTTTGTTAATAATAGTTAGCAATAATTCTATTGATTAAGGGATCACCGCTTTAGTTTGCAAAAATGTACGTTATTTACACTCTGAGTCTTCATCTAGATATATTTTTTTTAGATTTTGAAACAATGAAAAGATAGAGTATGAACATTGTATGTTATATTTACGTTTATATATAAAAATATCAATTATATCATAGAGAAAAAGTACATTTAAGTGTAAAAAATTGAATAGTTGAAAACTAACATGTGAGAACTTAAAATTATTCTTGCATTTTTTGTTTGTAAGAAAATAAAAAATCATTTTCCTGTATTCATTTAGTTTTCATTCACCTGAGAAAATTTTATGAACAAATTTACAAATAGACCTATTTTTCCATTTTTATAATATATTCCGATGGTAAATATGGTTAATATGATATTTATTATGCTATTAAAATATCAAACTTCAAAACCTTTTGCCTGTTGAATTTAAAGCAATCAAAATTTTATATTTAATATAAATATCATTATTTCTATAAAAATGGTCTAATGTAAAAAATCTAATGTTGGTTATTCAATACTTTATTTTATTTTGGCAATCATTTAATTAATATAAATACCCTATATTTCCAACTCTTGGAAAATTTTCATGACCCCCTACCCAGGGTCCTAAAATGGGTATTTTCCTCACACAGACACCGTGGTTTTTTGAGCCGGGAAATAAATAGCGCAGACAGTTTCTACATATAGAGACATGCTTATACTTAGAGTTTGACGGGAATCTAAAGTGATTTTTTTCTGCATCGCGAAATCTAATGCAATCTCAAAATCATGAAGAAACTGCGAATCGGAGCGCAATTTTTTAATATGTTAGTATATAAAGGTACCCCTACTACTGCAAATGCTTCAAATGAAAATCTAAGAAATCAGATTAATTTGATCACATTAGTATAGTATTGGTCAAACCAAAAACTCATATGTTGATATATAGCCTATGGATATTCATATTATCTACTTTTCATTGAATTACATAAGATTTAATAATCTCATAAATATTCTTTTTAATTTTCCGAATTCCGTGTGCATTTAGATTGTCCATACCTATATATAATAATTCTAGAATGGTTTGGTTAGAGATTAAGTTTTTTAGATTAATATTTTAACATTTTGATAAAACAAGCATTTGTTCCATTTTAGAATCGCCATTGAACTCTGGTTTGACTAACATGATGTTGTATGATCAAATAAATTCTAACTTCATGAGATAAATTTTGAAATTAGAAAATGCGATATCTAACTCAAATATTTATATGAACACATTTAACATTCAATGATAAACTAAAGTACTATACAGCAGATTCGATTTGGCTTATATTTTATATAATCAACTAATAATCCTATAAAATTGTGCTATTCACGTTGCTCAAAGATGTATTGAACATTCACTACTTGTGTATTGATAAAATTAGATATAGATTCTAATGTAAATCGATATTTTGAAAATTCATATATATTTTGTCTTGGTTTGGCATTTGATCGTGTTGAAACCGGAATTGCAATATATATCATCTAAATATATAACTATCAAAATATGAGCTATAGATTTTTAAATTATTCTCCTGAATATGAGTGACTAACATAATTATATTGAATTGAGTAGTAAGAATCTTAAATATTAGAATCTGACGATAATTTATTATAACTGTATAAAGGAACAAGACTATAAATGATGATGAAAATAAAGATTAAATTTAAATCTGAAAATTTGAAAACATTAAGTGTATTGTGCACTCTTGTCGGTCACAGTGTCTCATTCCGGGAGACATTGTCACTGCATGTCTCCCAGAATGATATCAAGTTCCCCATTCATAACTTGAATGCGGAACTTTGACCGACAAGAGTGCACAATACACCCTTGTCGGTTGAAAGTTCTGCAATCAGAAGAAGATTGTTGAACAATCCGCCATTCCAGGAGGCATGAGCTTGTTATGTCTCCTGGGATCACAGATTGCAACCTAAAAGATGTGCATATGCACCTCTTGTCGGTTGAAAGTTCTGCAATCAGAAGAAGATTGTTGAACAATCCGCCATTCCAGGAGGCATGAGCTTGTTATCTCTCCTGAAATGGCACATATTTGATAATTCATGGAGCAGAACTTTGCACGCAATCAGACAAAAGATTGCGACAGAGTAACTGGGAAGACAGCAACTTGAAGTGATAAGCTGCTTGGGTGCTGTCTCCCAGATGCATCTGTCGGGCAAAGTCTCAAAGGAGCAGAACTTTGCACGCAATCAGACAAAAGATTGCGACAGAGTAACTGGGAAGACAGCAACTTGAAGCGATAAGCTGCTTGGGTGCTGTCTCCCAGATGCATCTGTCGGGCAAAGTCTCAAAGGAGCAGAACTTTGCACGCAATCAGACAAAAGATTGCGACAGAGTAACTGGGAAGACAGCAACTTGAAGCGAAGTTTTGTTTTCGAGTCTTTGGTTAAGAAATCTTAACAAAAAAACAAAGAAAAAAATCAGATAAAGTTGTCAATAACTTCATCAGTTAATGCTCACCTATGGGAGGTGTTTTGCGGGAGCTGGGGGTATCTTGGTGAGTACTCAGGAGGCCAAGAAGGGCACCCAACCGACATTATCCTGATGAATTCAGTTGTCAACCATTCTGAAAACCGCCGAAACCGTCGTGTGTAGAGAAATTGTTTAAATTTATTTTTTCAGATTTAAATAAAAATAAGAAATGTTTACTATTATGGATTTTGAATTTTTTTTAAATTAAGAGTAGGAGATGAGACAAATTTAAATTTTTAAGAAATATTTGGAAGGGCGTAAGATACGCCAACTTAAATATATTATCAAATGAGAGAAAATCACTTAACAAAAAAACAATTCTTTCAAAAAGTTTAAAATTGATCTTTCTAATACATATTTTTGGAAGGGCGTAAGATACGCCAACTTAAATATATTATCAAATGAGAGAAAATCACTCAACAAAAAAACAATTCTTTCAAAAAGTTTAAAATTGATCTTTCTAATACATATTTTTGGAAGGGCGTAAGATACGCCAACTTAAATATATTATCAAATGAGAGAAAATCACTCAACAAAAAAACAATTCTTTCAAAAAGTTTAAAATTGATCTTTCTAATACATATTTTTGGAAGGGCGTAAGATACGCCAACTTAAATATATTATCAAATGAGAGAAAATCACTCAACAAAAAACAATTCTTTCAAAAAGTTTAAAATTGATCTTTCTAATACATATTTTTGGAAGGGCGTAAGATACGCCAACTTAAATATATTATCAAATGAGAGAAAATCACTCAACAAAAAAACAATTCTTTCAAAAAGTTTAAAATTGATCTTTCTAATACATATTTTTGGAAGGGCGTAAGATACGCCAACTTAAATATATTATCAAATGAGAGAAAATCACTCAACAAAAAAACAATTCTTTCAAAAAGTTTAAAATTGATCTTTCTAATACATATTTTTGGAAGGGCGTAAGATACACCAACTTAAATATATTATCAAATGAGAGAAAATCACTCAACAAAAAAACAATTCTTTCAAAAAGTTTAAAATTGATCTTTCTAATACATATTTTTGGAAGGGCGTAAGATACGCCAACTTAAATATATTATCAAATGAGAGAAAATCACTCAACAAAAAAACAATTCTTTCAAAAAGTTTAAAATTGATCTTTCTAATACATATTTTTGGAAGGGCGTAAGATACGCCAACTTAAATATATTATCAAATGAGAGAAAATCACTCAACAAAAAAACAATTCTTTCAAAAAGTTTAAAATTGATCTTTCTAATACATACTTTTGGAAGGAGTTTACATTCTCAAAATAAAAACCAGTTCAAAATCTTATTATTCCTTGAATAAAAATCATTTAATTTCAAATCCATTCCAAATCCTTAAATCTGTATTAAAATCATTTTGCAAACAACCAATACAATACAAATTACATTTCCATATATCTTCTTGTCCATTTTAATTTTTTATCTCATTTTATTTAATTTTATTTAAAGCATATAGACATCGAGATCCTTTACACATAGTTATATAAAAGTCAAATACATAATAAATTCTTAATTCTAGAGATATCTCAAAATCTCATTTTTTTAATTTAAAATACCTTTCATTTTTCACAGTACGATCACAACAAACAAGCCATTTACTAATTAACACATATAAGAAAAATATCAAATTACAAAACAACTTTCAATATCATTCGCATCAAATTCTATTTTTTCATAATTATCAACTACATGTTATTATATAATATATGTCGGCGCATATTCCACTCTATACAAGTGTCAGACACACTCACACAAAGCTGTGAGATTAATACCTCTATCAGTAGGACTTCTCAAATCAAGAACACATATGTTTCACTATTGCACATCTGTGTAGGATCTAATTAACCCTTTGGACTGGTACTTCAAAATTTGATAATTTGATAATTTCATGTGATATTATCATTTGCCTTTAAAACAACTGTGCGTTAAACTAGACACGTTTCTCTATCATAATGCAAAATATCAAAGTTTGGGAGATTCCCAAAGTGTCTGAAACTGATCATAAGGGTGAAAAACCGTTTTCCAGAAGTTGGGAACGTAGGGTACCAAATAATGGAAACATCAGTCTATACTAGATTTGTATAAAATAATCGATCATGTGTATAGTTAATAAATTTAATGTGGCGATAAATCGAACTTGCATGAATTTTTATAATTCTGTTAAAAATGGTGAATTGATTTTAGCATATAAAAATATTTTAGTTGAATTATTACCCATGGAGAAGTTGAATTTTATTCCAACGGCGTAAATTCCTTCAAAATAAAAATTTGAATTAAACGATAACACTCGTTTCCTTCAATTCATTTCAAAATTTGAATTAAATCAATTATGAATCTTACAATTTCTTGCCACAGAATTATGCAACTTGATATAAAAAAATTGAAAATAAATCTGAAAAAGTCTGATCATTCTGAGTATATTCAATTTAAATTGCTTTTGATAAAATTACATAAAAATTCAGAAAGTTATAAATTTCTCTTTGTAAGAAATGTGCTTTAATTTGAAAATGAAAAAGTAATTGTTGAAACAATCTAAAAATTCAGATTTTTTTTGACAGATAATTTACAAAAATTTGATAATAAAATGAAATTAATATCAATTTTGAATTACAAAATTGAATCTATTGCTTCATTTTTAAAAGATGTTAAACAATTTACGCCATCGGGTAACATATGCCCGAATTAAATCATCACAGGATAATCTGGATCAGTTTAAAACTGATTGTGAAAATTGGATTTCCCCTCATTCCCATTTATCATCAATGGCAACACAAATTATTACTCCGGGAGAAAAGTATTGTATTAGGGGTTCGGTTCTTCTTGCAGCAAATACATCATTCTCAATAAAACCATATTTTGCCAAATCAAATGGATATACAACTGATTTTATTTATGAAGAATCTGATGAATTTGCAAATCCTCTAGCAGTCCTTGGATCATCCATCACAAGACGAGGTGAATCTGGACAACAATTAGATTATACATATCCCATTAGTATTATCAAAGCAAATCAAGCACTCAAGCTTCAATGTGTATGGACAACTCCATCTGTTTATTTTTCCTATATATCTGATAACAAGACAATTGAATCAGGTTCTGAATCTATAGTATCAACGTTAAGAAAAGGAAATATCAAAATAGGTCTATCAATTATATATTCAGAGAACTCTCGAAAAATTAAAATGCAAAGTTTATCTTTAATTTCGAAAAAGAATCTTACATATTTCTATAACAGGGATCAATATTTCGACTTCGCATATTCATATTTTCCTCTTGATGGTCATAAGGATAGAAATGGAACTCTTGGACCATCGGCATGTGCAGAATTTAGAGCAACAATGAGTCAATATGAGAAAGTTAAAGCAAATGTGAGCGTGTCAGGTAATGTCACAATTTCTTGGCAGCCAACGGCATCTGCATCTGCTGCAACCGATGATGATGAATTCTTATTCCCAGAGTTTACCGCTTCTTTGTCAACTAAAGAAGGAGTTTTCACATTAGACAATATTGATCAAAAATTCCCTTCTATGTTGACAACAAAAGAAGATAATGATGATAATCTTGAAAAAGGAGATGCTGATCAAACGGATGAAAGTGGGTTACCTTGGTGGAGCATTTTGCTGATTGTTATTGGTGCAATCATTGTCATTACTATTATTTTTGTTGCTATAGTCTTTATATTTGTATTCAAAAAGGCTAGAGATAACAACTCTGAAAAATCAGAGGAAAATATCTAAGGTAACTCTTATAAAATTAAAAATGCGTCTTTTTACTAGTATAGAAGATTTTACATGTTTGGCATTCTAAAAGAGCATATATTTTAATGAGAAATATTAGGACAGATAATGCACAAATTTGCAATTGAATAAAACGAAATTATGTCTTATCCTAGAAAAATAACATAAGCAATTATATTTTATTTTTGGAGGAAGTAAACTCATAATTTACTATCGCATTGAATTAATCATCTGTTAAAAATTGAATTTTTTATCGTATTTACCAAAAGCTTTAAGCAGATAAAAAAATGCATTTCATCACACATGTAGATATTGCATATTGATGGGTGAATGAATAAAAGGTAATAGTCTTGTTATTTGATATCTCCGAGAAATATACATCAATTATTGTATAGATAGGAGTTTACAATTTGTAAAAATTCTTATAAGCAATTTTATTGATGTTATCAATTGAAAAAGTTCGATGCATCTTATTGATCTGAAGGGAGGCTTCCGACCAGAAAGCTCTCTCAATTTTTTGTGATGTTTACACCAAAAGTGAGATTCGTTAAGCGTTTTTCTCGTTGAATATTGAGTTTCCTGGATTTTGAGTTATTTATAAAGCTCCTCTATATTATACCCTATCTACTGATATGATTATTTTTGAAAAATCTCTTAAATCGACCTGCACTGAATTTTTTAGGGAAAATTCGAAATTTTCTAGGCGTTTTCTGTAACGTTTTTTTACGGAAAAAAATCCGAAAAATAATTTTTTGAAGAATCATTTGGGTAGAATACTTATCGAAAATTATATTTATTATAATTTTGGTCGATAAAAATAAGCGGATTCAAAACTGGCAAAAACCCTTTCGGCAATTTGTGGACGATTCCGAACCCCCTCATTTTTGAAATTTAATAAGAAAAATAGAATCTTTATTAAATATAGATTATAAAAAACTTGGTTATAAATTACGAAATTTTCTCACTTGGGCTAAAAAGTGACAAATTGGTCGGAAGCCACCCTTAAGGGATCACCGCTTTAGTTTACAACTATTCAATTTTCGACACTTCGAGGTCTATTTTCTCTTGATAGAATAGATATCATTCTGCATAAGCATGACCATAACATGTCCATACCATTATCTACTTATTTGTCGTTTCAGATATCAAAAAGAAGAGATTTGATCAAAACCTTAAACATTGGAGTTTTCCCTGAGAGCCGGCTGATCAAGATTTCTCAAAATCGGTCCATCCGATGTTCATTTTTTATTGAAATAATATGTTTAAATATGATTAAGAGTCTATATCTTCATTATTGAAAAAAGTCAACAACCCAAATCTAGAGGTCTTTCTGCGCTTCACCACATTAGATATTTGAATACTTTTTTCGAAAATTTGCACATAAGAAAGTATTGTATCATTGATTATATATTTCATAATATTGGTCGCCAATTCTTTGTTGTTATACCATTTTTAAAGCAAATGTTAAAAATTGAATAGTTGTAAACTAAGGCAGTGATCCCTTAAGATTTTCAGAACTTGAACAAGTTCTTGTAAGTGTCTTCTGTGATCAAAACATTTAAGGGATACATTTTGTGTTTGCAAAATCTTCTTAATTTGATATTCAATATCAATTATAATCGATGCTGAGAATTCATCAAACATTTCAATCACATCTTGATGTATTTGAAGATATTTTTTGATGCATAGAGTTGTAAATGGAGAGCTTATCTTCAAGCTTTAAGAAGAAAGATATCAACAAGATGAGGCATGGAATATACTTCTTAATCATGGAAAATTGAGAGGATATAGACAGCCGATCGTGCCAATTAATGTATTTGTGTCTTTGAACTATTGCTGAAGAAATTTAATTAGCCTTACAAAAAATCAATCAAACAAAAGTGACAAATCATGTTGAACATTTCATAACTAAAATTATTTTTGTAGTGCATTTCATCAATTAAAAATCTTATTCAAAAAATTCAATTTAGTTGTCAAAATGTTTTCTGGTGTAGAGAGTCTTCTCACCGTTTTTAAGAGGATTTCGGAGCGCTTGGATATGAGTTCTAAAGACTTTCAAACATGTTCAACAATTTTGCAAAAGAGAATTGATATCTACAACAAAGTTTCATCAATGTTAACTGAATTATCAAATACTGAATATGATCCTACTGATTTCTTATCAAGATCATTAGTTGAAACGATAAAATCCGAAGCCTCACTCTATCAACTAATTGTAAATCAGTTTCGTCAACAAATTCAAATCGAATTAAAGCCACAGCTCGATAATCTGAATGAGACCAAGAAGTTAATATTCAAAAATGTTGATAAACAAATTAAAATCTTAACTAAAAGCCTTAAAAAAGGAAAGAACGATTCAAATGCAATGGAAGTCATTCAAATTGCAGGAGAAATACAAAGTTCTCAATTACCTGAGATACATAAACAACTTGAAGATTTTGAATGCAACAGGTTTTCAGTAATTCACAAACATCTAATTTCATATGCAGATCTGAGTTCTAAATTTTCAGTTGGACAAGATAACACCTACAAAAAATTCCTAAGCAAGCTAAATGTATACGATCCAAAAGAAAAAAGCCATAGAGCAGTTTTAAGAGTTTTAGATCCGACAATTACCGAGTCTGCAGATACAGAAGAAGCTTACGCAATAGCTGTTGCAGACTTTCGATCAAATCAACCAGCAGATTTGGCATTCACTCGAGGAGATAAAATTCATGTTTTATCTCAACATTCTAGCGGTTGGTGGGAAGGTGAATGTAATGGCAAAAAGGGATTATTCCCCAATACATATGTTACTCTTGAAAATTCGACAGATACAATCAAATCTCAAAAGATCTGTGCCTATTTCTCAATTGACAAAGAATATCATCCAACATTGAGGACTGAACTTGATTTAGAAGTTGGTGATCTTGTTTTTGTCGAATATTATCTAAGAGGACGATATTTTGGAGAAAATCAGCGAACAGGACACAAAGGAAGTTTCCCTGAAAGCTGTTTAACCCTTTAAAGTATATCATATTTGTTTGTTTTTGATTTGTTGGTATTAAATAAAAAACCAATTTAGATTTTATTAGATATTTTAACTTCAGCCCCAAACCAAGCAAGAGAAGTTATTTGGGCTAGCATAAAATGATGAAACTGTATAATGAAAAAGAAGTTTAAATGAATTAGCAACTTCCAACTGTTTTATGGCAAATCAATGCAATGGGAAGAGAAGAATATTACTATAGTGACTCATTTACATAAATAGAATTCATTAGATTTTGGTTATATTCAAATCGATATCAATTTTCAAGAAAATATACATAATTTCATATAGTAATTAGGATCTGGTTTCTACAGATTGAATATTCCTTTTGTCGCTAAATTCAAAATTCATTAAAGAGATTTCTTATCTCTTTTGAGAATTCATGAAGCCGATTTAATAAGAGTCATTCATAGAACTGAACACCTGCAAAGCAAAGTATGATGCATTGCATCGAAAATGAATAATTTAAAAACAAACTTTTCGATTCAATTTAACAAAAAAATATCTCGACAAATTTAAATTGTTATATTTATTGAAATGTAATTTATATGAAGATTTTAAAGAAATTCGTGATGCAATACTAAAAAATAAAATTAAAACTCTTTAATAATGTGGTAATTAATGGAAACATCGTATCCGTGTACTTGTAAATTAAATAAATCTGAAAATGCTGATCCCCAAACTGTAAGGTTGAAACCAGGAAAGTATTTAGTTGAACTTTGGGGTGCCAGCGGAGGATGTAATAAGAAAGAACGAAGCGGTAAAGGCGCATATGTATGGATTCGTCTAAATCTCGTTGAATCGAAAACTTTTACGATCTTTGTTGGTGGAACTTCGAATTATTCTGACGTAACAATGGTGAAAGGCGGTTGCAACGGCGGCGGCGATTCATTTCAAGGAAGTAAGAAGAATGGCGATGCTTTGGTAGCGGGCGGTGGTGGTGGATCTACTTCAATAGGTCTGTCACTTTTTGACGCCGATAGAATTGCCGTTGCAGCTGGTGGTGGAGGTTGTGGATGCGTTGGAGATGGCGGAAATGCCGGAGGACTGGTTGGCTTAGATGGTACGTCACCTTCGGGATCTAAGCAAGGACGAGGTGCTAACCAGGTGCGTGGTGGAACAGGAGGATATTATGTTGAAAATAATGTTGCTTTTAGAGGAGAAAATGGCCAATTTAAAAAAGGAGGAAAAGGTAAGGGAATAGGCTTTAACGGCGGTGGTGGAGGAGGGGGATATTATGGAGGAGGTGGTTCGTACGAGGCAGGTGGTGGTGGTGGATCTTCGTTTATAAAGTCAGGTTATTATGGTCGAATTCAGAGTGGATCAGAAACATTTCGTTCCCCTGAAGGTATTAACGAAGCAGGCCACTATGGTGACGGCTTTGCACGAATTAAATCCATCTCATACTCGTGTGTATGTGATTGCAATAAAAACAACTTACAAATCTGGTGTTTATTCTTTATTTTTCTTATTTCTGATTGGAAATAAAAATTGAATATATTTCAATGACAATTTATTTTTCCCTTAAAAAAGCTATGCGTTTCTTAATGGTGAAACATTTCATTTCATACATCACAAGCATCATTGTTGGCAATTTACAAATAAATGCCTAGAACCGAAATGATTTACAAATAAATGCCTAGAACTGTTATTAATAATGGATAGCTTGGATTATCTTGTTTCATATTCCATATGTCTATCATTATTGTTCTTGGTAAAAAAAAGATTAAAAATTGAAGCAATCCATTTATTAGTATATGTCTTTCTCGATTTCTTAACGTATTATAGGATTATTATTCTAAAAACATTTTTGTAATATTGAAAAAGGAAATTATCATCTAAAGAAAGCATTATTATCCTTTGCTTCTTTATTAGCACCAACTGAGATAAGATATTTAACAACTTCAAGATGACCATTATGTGATGCATACATGAGCGGAGTACATCCATATTTATTCTTTGCATCTTTATCAGCGCCAACTGAGACAAGGTATTTAACAACTTCAAGATGATCATTTTCTGATGCCGTAATTAGTGGTGTCCATCCTTCATTAGTTTTTGCATCTTTATCAGCTCCAATTGAGTAAAGATATTTAACAACTTCAAGATTGCCACTACATGATGCCCAGAATAGAGCTGAATCACCAAATTTGGATCTTATTTCTTTGTCACAACCACTTTCAATGAGAGATTGAACAAGTTTCAGATTTCCATTATATGATGCTTCATGTAGAACATTTCGACAAATGCCGTTGATATTTTCTTTCTTCCAAAGTTCTTTTTCGCATGCTTTTAACATCATTTTGTGATTCCCTTTTTCTGAAATTTCTTCAAAGAATTTATAGATTTGATTGAAATCTTCAGAATTTTTAAGTTCAGAAATTTTCGAAAGAAATTCTTTTGGCAAATCATCTCTTTCCTTTTCTTTGAGTTGGGACTTAAGAGTTTGTATTTCTTTCTCTAAGTTCGCTTTTTCTGTTTGAATCCGATTTAAATCTGATTGAAGTTTTTCGATTTTATTTGTTGCGCTGGATTTTTCATTTTGTACTTGATCTAAAATGCCAATAATACCATCTAACACTTTCATCTTCATGTGTTTTTGAATTGATTTCAGTATTGAAATAGCATCTTGTAAATTTCCGATAGTTATATTTGCATTTCAAGTGCACTTATACAATTTGTCTGCTGAAATAACTGAATGTGATTGCTCAAGAACAGAATTATAGTCTTCAGGTGTTAAATTCGCAAATTTCATGATTGCTGCGATATCTTCTACTTCGAATATGTGAAAGAGATTATTCTCTTTAATATAATCTTTGATATGTGAACCAATGTATTCGAAGTTCTGAGTAATTCCTTGACTCATTAATTTGACAAAAATATACGTTATTTTACATAGAAGAAGTGATATTGTTTTTAAATTCTGAAATAGCAGAAAGACGGATAACAATACATATACGCTACCATAATGTTTATTCAGAAAAACATCAATTCTTTCATGGAGAAAAAATACTTTTAAATTATTGGATTTCAAATTTCTTTTGACTTTTTTTCCCAAATGTCTCTAATGTGCTTTTGATTATTAGCAAATTAAATTGAGAGGGGGGGTTGTATTCAAAAGTTAATTTTATCAAACAGCTTCACGTGTTGGAATACATGGAACTCACACAATAAGAAATGCTCGTAGACTTGATACCGTATTAAACAATGTGATTTCGAACTTTATTAACATCAAATTTTAAATTCAATCTTTTCAAATTGCAAATCAAAAGAAAAACTCTCGTCAAAGTTAAATTGAAATTTTTATTTAAATGTAATTTATATGAAGATTTTAAAGATATACGAGATGCGACATCAAAAAATAAAATAAAAATTCTTTAATGATTCGATAATAAATGGAAATATTGTATCCATGTACTTGCAAATTAAATGAATCTGAGGAAGCTGCTCCCCAAACTGTAAGGTTGAAGTCAGGAAAGTATTTAATCGAGCTTTGGGGTGCAAGCGGAGGATGTGTTACGAAAGAGAGAAGCGGTAAAGGCGCATATGTATGGATTCGTCTAAATCTCGTTGAATCGAAGACTTTTACGATCTTTGTAGGTGGAACTTCGACTTATTCTAATGTAACTATGGTGAAAGGTGGCTGCAATGGCGGCGGCGATTCATATCAAGGCAGACTCACGAATGGTGAAGCTCAGATAGCCGGTGGTGGTGGTGGATCTACTTCAATAGGTCTGTCACTTTTGGACACCGGTAGATCATATAATGGATTAGGAGCTAGCCAGGACAGCGGCGGTGTCGGGGGATATTTGAATGATACGACAAATAAAAAAATTCATCAAGCAGAAAATGGGCAATTTAAAAAAGGTGGAAATGGTAATGGAATAGGCTTTAACGGCGGTGGTGGAGGAGGGGGATATTATGGAGGAGGTGGTTCGTACGAGGCAGGTGGTGGTGGATCTTCGTTTATAAAGTCAGGTTATTATGGTCGAATTCAAAGTGGATCAGAAACATTTCGGTCACCTGAAGGTATTAACGAAGCAGGCCACTATGGTGACGGCTTTGCACGAATCAAATTCATTTCATATTCATGTGTAGGTAACATTTTCAACAAAAATAACTTTCAAATTTTAAGTTTTTGTTTCATTTTTATTACATCTGACTAAAAAATACTATTATTAAAAAAATTCAATGGTATATTTTATTATTCATATATATAAAAGTAAAATAAATAAATAAAAGAATTAATTATTCTTAGAAGTATATCCAGAGACTAAGTAAGTATGGATCATCTTATCCTTAATCTGGATATCACCTCTCTCCTTGAAAACGAACTCTTGGTCGTAAACCAAATCATACATGTGCTGAGGGATGTGGACATTCATTGGAACACCATTATGTTCCATAGAAGCTGCAACAGAAATTGCAGAACCCAAAATATCGAATGTTGGCTTCTCAATACCTAAAACACCCGCAATGATTGGACCACCGCAGTTAATTCCTGCTCTGATTCTCAACTGAACTTTGTTTTCAATATCGAACAAAGACAAACCATTAATTGCATCCAAACAGAAAGAAATTGCCTGTTTTGCATGGATTGCAGGGTTATTAACTTCATCGAAAATACCTCCTGCAGCCATGTAACAGTCACCAATACACTTAATCTTGATCATCTTATCATATCTCGAAAGAGCAGTATCAAACAACTTAAACATTTTGTTTAATGTTGCCATAACTGTCTTTGCAGGAAGAGAACCACACCATGGAGTGAATGAAACAATATCCATGAACAAGATTGATGCAGAAGGAACAGAGAAAGAGATATTTGATTCACCTCTTTGTAATTTTCTAACAATTATATCTGGAAGAATCATATTCAACAAATGTTCACCTTTCTCGTGTTCTTCATCCAACAACTTCTTAGCTGTCATTGCTGGTGTTGTATCCTTCATAACAATAATGACCATTGCCAATCCTTCTCTGTTTGTTGGTGCTGTTTGGACTTCTCCAACTAATGAAACAGCGATGACATTGAATTCAACCATTAATGGCTCTCCATTTCTTTCTATCTCTGCTTCCATTGTTATACGAGGAGATCTCATTGCGTTCATTGCTGTTGATAAAGCAGAAAGGAATGTTGCTAATGATTGTTCTTTTCCTGATGGTGCTTTAACTATTTCATCAAATTTCTTTCCAATGACATCATTTGCAGGAGTTCCAATGATGTTTTCAACTGATTTGTTTGCAGACAAAATCTTCAAAGAGTTATCCATGAAAACAGTTCCATCAAGAAGATTAGACACTAACATTTCATAGAAAGAAGTGTCTTTAGTTCTTGAATCATCATCATTACTTGAGAAATCACTTGACAATATCTTTAATATTGTCTTTGAATTAAGAATATCATGTGGATCAGCTTGTAAGAACAATTTAATTGTTCCAATTGTCGCTTCACTAACAAAAGTGATACCAATAATTGCCCATGTACCGAAACCAAATAAAATAATTATCATTATAATGACAGGTGTTGTCATTTTATCAGTGAGTTCTGTTTGTTTTTCTCTCAACAATCCATCGAGAATATCAATTCCTGGATCAACAGTTTGATTCATTAATCTCATGAATGACCATAACATTGCTGCTGAGATTCTTGTGTCTTCTGCTGATGGTCTTGACTCGAAAACATCATTCAATGACTTCATAACAGCATAAGCAGATGTTTCAATAGAAGCACAAGTCATTGTACCAGTAATTCCAGTCAAAAATGTTTCAGCATCACATGTAGAAGTCGAGAACAAAGATGTATAAGTATCTCCACCATTTGCAGCTGTTCTTTCTGTTGTAACACCATCACCGAACCACCAATGAGAAACTAGACTTGGGAATGGTTCAATACAACTTGCTTTTACATAAGCAATTGTTGCATTGTAATCAGCTGAATCTGGATGTTGTTCTAAATATCCTGGAGCTGCAATGAAATTATATCTTAATGCATCAATGATTGTTTGTTGAAGAGCAACAGGAGCAAGTACTAAATCATAGAATTGTGGTGTCAAAAGTCTTAATTCATCCTTGATTTGCAAAGGAGTTCTATACATAACAACGAAAATACCAATACTAAAAGCAATATAAGTAATTTGAGGACACATGAAATAACCAAATAACTTAATATCAAATGTACTTGTATTTGATGTTGATAATATTCTTAAAGCATTCTCTTCTTGTGTATCTAATTTCTTCTCATTATCATTCTCTATGTTCTTATTCAAAGCTTTGTTTAATCTTTGAACAATTTGAGATATTGAGCGCTTTGGAATTGCTTTAAATGCATTAGCAATCATTGTTTTTTCATGATGTACTAAATAAGAAACAATTATCATAATAACAATATCCAAAATAATAATAAATACTAAATCAAATATTAACATGATTTGAACTGTTCCTATTTTGTTGGTAAACATTGAATCGGAATCAGTAATTAACTGCTTCATTATTTTCTTCCAAAAAGCATCAACAGTTTGAATATTATGTGTAGCACTGAAATAATTACTTGTATTTATTGCTGCTTCTGGATTATCAACTATTTGCGTGCTAATCTTAATCATATACAATATATATGATTGTAATGAAAATGTTCCATTAAATTTAGTAGAATCAGCATAATTATCTGAATACAAAGTAATTGGTGCTGTCGTGTTATAAGCCATATCTAATGATTTTGCATAATAACCTGTCTTCTTCATAGTAGGTAATGCTGTTTCGAATTCATGTGAATGCTCTTCCAATCTCTCTAATTGTGATAAAAGGAATTTTGAATCAGAAAATGACAAAGTATTTTCACCTGTCAATGTTTGAAATCTCTGTGCAAAAGTAGGGAAGTATCTCAAAGTTGAGCCTGTATATTGCATTGCAAAGATCATTATCTGGTAGATTGTTGTGTACATGTCGGCAACTGTGTGTACACAAACAGCGGAATCAATTTCTTCTTTCAATTGTTTTGGAATGATGATTAAAAATGGAATTGTCGTTGCAAGTAACACAACAACGAACATTAAGACAATTAAAGCACGTGTAACAGTTTGACTTGGTAATTTAATACCGTGGATGGCGTTTTCGACGTATTGCATCTCAGGAGAAATTTCGATATTATTATTACCAAGACCATCTTGACCTTCTGTCATAGATGTACTACTTAGGCCAACCAAAAACGATTGCTGTGACTGTTGGCCGTTCAATTTGACAGATCCTGTTGCAATTGGAATTTGACTTTCAGAGTTTATGGCAGAATGTTCTTTATCTGTTGGTAATGTTGGTATTTCTGTTGTAGCGAAGTAATAGCCTTTCTCTGTTTGAAGTTGTCTTCCTACTTTGAGAGAACTGTAAATCTGATGATATTCATTTGCTTGTTTCAAGTCACACATGACACTTTGCATGAACTGGGAGTATGATCTTGCAACAAATGGGTTATTGGGATATATCAACAGTAACTGAGAGTAATCCTTGTTGACAGCTTTAGATTGATATTGTAATTGAACAGAAAGTGAATCAATTTCACTTGTTGAGCCACGAATAACACATTCCCAGATACGACGAGTATGGCTGATGCAACGATCAGATTTCTCTTTAACCTTAGTTAATTGTTTCTTTAATCCTTTCGTAAGATTCCTTTCTCTTAGCTGCAGAAGTGATTGTAAGTCACTAATAAGCTTCTTGCATTCGACATCGTGTTTCTTGATCGCAATTAATTTCATTGTGCAATCGCGAACACGTTCTATCTCATCTGGATAGATAGCGGCGAATCTGGCATACAAAATAGTCAATACTCTGTCGTTTGGATATTTCGTAAATGCATCATCTATGAATGTCCAGTTATGTAATTTCGGATGTCCACTGAAGAAACCTGTTTTGAACATTCCGGCGATTTCTCTGTACTTGTGCTCTTCAAAGAAGTCCATTCCTTGGTACTGATCAAGCTGTAAAAGGAGTTTTGAGGCAAATTTCTTCTCAATCATGGGAGCTGCATCTGCAATGATCAAAACAAGGACAATGTAGCATACAGCAAGTATTTCATTACCCGATTTGCCTGAAATGGCTACAACTGGGATGATAATTCTGAAGCAAATATTGAGAATTGAGATACCGGCGTAAAATTGTTTGAGATTATCGGAAAGCCATGCGTGTCTCTTCAAACAAACAAGGAAGGCAATCAAATCGCCAACAAGTGCAACGATTCCGACGATTTGATAGCCAGTTTTGTTTTGTGCTGCTCCAATCTGGGATAATAAGATGGTTATTGATGTGCCTGAGATGAAGATTTGGGAATCTCTGGTGAAAAGAATGGAGTAAACGGTTGGACGGAAATTCAGGAAAGATGGAACGAAAACTGTATGAAGGATATAAAAGATAATGCTTGAAATAACATCTATGACTATGTTGACGATTGGAATTGTCAATGCTCCGTTTACAATCAAAGTATCGATCTCGTGGCCAATATAAAGAGCTTGGACATTCAAAAAGTAAGGAGCAATGCATGTTACATAGATAGAAGTTATGATAACGAAAGTATTTGAAAGCTTCGATAATTTGTTGAAAAAGTACATTGTTAAACATAAAATAAAAACTGAAAACAAAGCGACGCAGGAAACAACAAGAACACTTATTGAGTATTTAGAATGTTCTAAACTAGATACATCCAACGATACAACAACAGAGAGTATTCTGAAAATTCGAGACATTGTTGTCGAAGTTCCCCAAAAACTCGCATTTGTGATTTGTAATGCAGATGCGAGTATTTGAACAATAATAATGTATCTAAATATGTTCACAATGAGCTTGGTTGAAGAAGCCATTGTAAAAACATAGTTAAAGAAGCGGAAGTAGATGTCTTGTAATTCTTTAGAGACTCTCCTCTTAAGAATCCTTCGGTACCTATTATGTTGAATAAGAACCGAGGTTGTTGCTTGCGATGTTTCACCTTCTTCCCTCATAATTTTTCTCTAAAAAATTTTTAAAACGAATATTTTGAATTGATACATTGAAAAATATTTAACTTCAAATATAATGTTTGTTAGATATATATGAAATTTATTACAAAAAAATAGGAGGAAAATTTTCATTGCTATCGGGATTTAATTTTAAAGTTGTTCTAATATTTATGGTTAATATTATCTAATCAAAACAATGTAACCCCATCTAACAAAATTTTGAACGAGAATGTTCGTTATAGAAAATATGTTTTGTTTACATTAAACTTTAATTCCTACGAGTCATAATTTGTGAGTGCTTTCAAAATCTTTATGTTTTGAATGAATGATTGATATGCCTTTGAATTGGTCGCACAATTTTGAAAGGATGAGTATAATTTTTTACGCTAAGGTTTAGACTTTATAAGCTGACTCATTTTATCACTATAAATCGAAACCGGTTAACTGTTGAATTTTTATCGAAAAATAATTTTTGAGCGATATATTATTTATCACCTATGACAGATGTTAGTATGTTTTTAAGAACACTCACAAAAGTTTGTTACTTGGCTGACAAATTTTTCATAAAGCAAAAAGCCAGTGCCTGTAAAGCAATAGCAAATCCTATTAAAGATCTTCTCTTTAATACTAAATGTATGGGCAATATAACGATTAATATAAAAACCATATCTAAAGAAAGATTTGATCGATTTTTAGAGATTCCTTGATTTTCCATTTTGCAGTTCTTATGATCATATTGTCTGGGACATAACCTGTTGAGCAGACCATAAAATGCCAATTTCGTCCATTGGTGCGATTTTCAATATCTCTGCTTTTAAAATCAACTTCTCGATAAAAATTAACTTCTTTTTTAAGTTAAATCAAATTGGTAAGCGAAACAATAACCTCTTTGATAATATGATTTGTTTTCTATGCGAATAATCTGAAATTTTAGTGGTTTGTATTTCAATTAATATGAGATTGGCTTTCATAGTGGAAAAAAAGTATTGACTGTATTGTAAATATTAATAAATAATTTATTATCTATAAAACAAAGCGTAATATAATAGTATTAAGGTTGTTGTTGATCGATCATTTCCGAGTTTTTCATTTCCATCTCTGTTTCTTCAAGGAATGGTGATTTTTCGACCATAAAACCTCCGAAGAAGTAATAAGCTCCATCATCCTGCTGATTTTCATTTGATTCTTCCTCTTCTTCTCGAATCTTCTCTTTTCTAGCAAATTTCTCGAAGAAATTAGGGACATCTTGGATAAATGTATCCCAATTTTCTTCAATGTCATCATCAGGAATAAGATCTAAATCTTCATTGTCTGAATCATCAAACATTTCAATGTCCTGATCTTCATACTCGCTTGGAATATATCCAACATAACAATGGCTTTCAATCAAGAATGATGAAACTAAATTGAAGAAAACATTAAAATCTTCATGCTCATTAATGATATTATTAACAAATTGAGGAATAGTTTCTGTCTGTAATGGTATGAGGTTATTAAATTTATCAGTAATAATGTTGACAATTGTATCTCTGTCAAAATTATTTTCTGATGCAGACAATAAGATCAATCTTAAGCATTCTATTGAATCAGAGCAATATCTATTATATATTGGATCTGTTAATATCTCAAGAACAGTAGAAACAATAGCAATACCGTAGTTTTCCAAAGTATTATTAATAAATTCAGGAAGACCGCGTTTCATTGTCTGTCTAATGAAATCTAATAGATATGATATCTCATGTAATTGCAAATCCCTATAGTTTTCTATTACATTTAATGGAAATTCAATTTGACAAACCCAAAAATTGCATTTCCACATAAATTCGAGAACATATGGTGTTGCTTCAGTTATATTCATTATATTAGGAGCGATTATTTGATCATATGCTGCCAAAAGGTAAAATTGAACTTCTGGATATTTATCCATTATAGCAATCAGAAGATGGATGCATGAACTTGCAAATTCGCTTCTATTAAATGCTACATCAATGAATCTGTTGAAAGACTCCTTGATTTCTTCAAAAGGTAAATCACTTGCCAAGAATAATCGTTCAAGGAATTTGTAAACTTCAGAAATCACAGAAAACATGTCATTTTTGACAATTTTGACGCTTCCAATAAATTCTGAGAGCATTGGCATTACTACAGCGCACATGTAAGCACTAAGGTACCTATTTGATTCGGCTGCTATGGCTAATAATTCGAACCCGTCTAATAAACACCTAATGTACTCGCTTTCGGGTATTTGATTAACATTTAGCGGTCGAGTATCATTTTTACTTATAAATCGATCTAATTCATCATTATTTTCCTCTTCTTCGGCCAATTCTGATTCCAATATTTTATGTATTTCATTTACGTCGTTATTTTCTTGATAATATTGATTATCATTGTTATCCATTGGATTATCTTCTATTTCTTCGTTTGGTATTTTTTCATCATTTTGTAAATCATTCAAATTTTGAGAGCTGCAACTAATGATAATTTTTGTATAATGATCAATCAAACCATCAACTATTTTCCTTGCTAGTGTTGATAAAAATGATGAATAAGCTTCTCTGCAATCTTCATATCTTGATGCTTTTCCAATTAAACTAAATGTTCTTTTTGCAAGATTATCTCCAAAATTTTCTGGTGTAAACTCACCTGCAAAGTTGAGTATTGGATTTAATAGTCTAAGGTTATTTATTGAGAAAAGTTTGTATCTTCTAAGTGCTAAATAATTCAATGATGAAATTATTGCGTTTAAAATTGGGATTGTTCTAGCATTTTCGAATACAAACTCGACAAAATTGCAAAATTCGTTGAATAACTCTTCATTTTCTGACTCATAAAATAAAATTCTGACAAATAAAGTTGTTAAAGCACAATATTCGACTTCTCCGCCTGTTTCCTTTGTTTTATCAAGTAAATCAGAGAATAGCTGCAAGCACCACTCTCGATCAATGTTCAATACAAAGCTTAAAACGAAAATTTTTTCAGAAGAAAAAATTATTTTTTGAACAAAATCTGTGATTTCTTGTGGAAGGCAGATTGTTAAATAATAGAAGCATAACTTGCAGTTGTTATCGAACAAGTTTTCTGATGATATTCCTGTTGTGACAATTTTTGAAAAAGATTCGAAAATTAAAAGTAATTCTTCCTTTGAAATTGCTTGTTTTTTCATAGCATAGTATGATAATATGTCTTTCCAATATTCCCAGTATTCTTCGAAGTTGTTTTGTTGTATCCATGACAAATCTTTTAATAATTGAATGCAAGAACTAATTTCTTGGCTGTATTCAATGAAATTATGGTATTTAACAATGAAATATGCTATGAATGACTTCCCTTGTTGATATTTTTGACCAACTTGGAACATAAATTCAAGAATCATTTGATAAAGTTGTTGAAAATAGATTTGGAATTCATTTCTGAAGAAAACTAATGAATCAAAACATGTTGTTGAAGAATCAATATCGTCATAATAATGATTAAAGAGATTTTGAATTAAATTTGATTGAAAAACAATTTCGTGTGGAAATGTGCGAATGCATATGTTCATCATCTTAAATGACCATTGGTCGTATTTTTCCAGTGAAAATAGTTTGTTGAATAGTTTATCAACATTATTAATTAAAATTGAAGTGATATAATTCCTTTTTGAAGTCTCCACGTATTTTTCTGAGTATATGCAATCGAATACTTCACTCAAATAGCATAGACATGGATAATCTAAAGATTCTTCAACAAAATTTTCTGGAAATTGAATGGTAATTAGTATGGAATAACAGTTAAGAAAGCTTGTCAAAAGTGAGTCGTCGTTCTCTTTTCTACTCTTTTCGATATTTTCGTAGAGAATTTGAATTAAATTTTGCTTTGCATCGTCATTTATATAATCATAATTGTATATAATGTTATGTTTGATTGCTTGAATTATGATTAACTGATAATCTTCATTGTCTGTTGATTTTAATATCTCAATTGCTTCAGGAATACAGTTCTGACTTGATTTCCATTGTTCTAAGAACTCTACACTACTGTTATTTATGTTAATGTCCGGTGATTTAAGATTATCAATTGCTTTCTTGATAATCGATAAATCACCTTCCATAAATAATGAAATGTACAGACATTACTATATTTGTTAGTCATCTTAATGAGCATTAGTTAAACAGCATGAATGCTCATATTTAAAAATTTGTTGACAATTTAAAATTAATAGAATTAAAAACAGTTTAAAATCACATGAAAATTCATATTTTGATGAAAGATAAATTATCACCAAATATCCTTCAAGAACCCAAAGAAATTAATGAATAAGCATTAGAAATAATAAAATTGATACTATATAACGAATAAACATAGTGTGTAATTGTTTTTCTGTTGCTAAAATGCAATTAATTACAGACTCAATGCGACAATATAAATTATGAAAATTTCATCCCCAATAATAATATCTGAAATGAGGTCTTGCTGAAGGCCTTTGCTCGGGAGGAAGATTTCTTCTGTCAATTTTGAATCTATTTGGATGAATTTGCTCTTCTTGATCAGCTTGAATAGCTTCTGCATGTCTTGTCTGAATAACATTTTCTAGTATATGATGATCAACGAATTTCTGTACTTCTTTCTTTGTTTTTTCAGGACGCGAAGATTGACTTCCTTCTTGATTTGATCGAGATGTATATGACTTAATCGGTCTAGAAGTTTGTGTTCTTCTGCCTGATGGTTGGTTTCTAGATGTATTTACTTCTTTTTCCAGGGCGCTTAAATTTAGTCTTGCAATATCACGAACTGATTTTGAATAATGCTGGGAACTTGGAACCACTCTCTTTTTGGATAAGAAATTTACAACAACTAAATCATCCATGAACTTTTTATACTAAAATCTCGAGATTCAAAATTTAAATAAACGTACATTTCCCTTTTTTTTCATGAGATCTATCTTTCTAAATCAATACAGATTTTACAGACTCGTTTGAAATGTTTTCACCATAAAATCAATAGATTCTATTGAAGAAATGTGCAATATAATCACAAACACTTGATTCCGAAGTATAAACATTCCTATCAACGAATCAGAAATAGTTCTATCAAGGCAATTCAATACAACTATGCTTTTTGAGGACACTATGTCCAAATATTCAAAAAAATAATATTAAAAAAATTATTAAATTTTGCATAAATGCGGAAAATTTGAATTAAAGGCTATTAGTGTAAATAATAGATAAGTTTGACATATTTGAAATTTCAAATAAATGCTTATTTTGGCCTAGAATCAAATTTGATTGATTTCTTAAAAAAAAAAATAGGAAGTTCTCAGTGATTAGAGATGCGAGTTTCCGAATTTTTTTAGCCCTGGGATGTCATAACCGCTGCGGTTTTGTAAAATTTGGGATAAATTTTGACAATCCATTTTTTGTGGGATGTACGTTTATATCAATTTGCTCGGCGTTTGCCGAGCTATTGTACAATCCTACTCGAATTCATTACGCAGCCCTGGTCACTCAAAGGCCAGGGCATACAATTACAAAATAGTAGAGTGAGACTCTTCTAATTTCTTCCAATCACAAGGAAGATCTTAGAAGAGCCTCACTCTACTCGAACACATTACGCAGCCCTGGTCACTCAAAGGCCAGGGCATACAATTACAAAATAGTAGAGTGAGACTCTTCTAATTTCTTCCAATCACAAGGAAGATCTTAGAAGAGCCTCACTCTACTCGAACACATTACGCAGCCCTGGTCACTCAAAGGCCAGGGCATACAATTACAAAATAGTAGAGTGAGACTCTTCTAATTTCTTCCAATCACAAGGAAGATCTTAGAAGAGCCTCACTCTACTCGAACACATTACGCAGCTCCTGCTCAACAATGAGCAGGTCTTACCACTTTGAGAGGCTTTCGTTCGAGTTCTGATGCAGATCCCAACGCGAGCGAGAGTCTCTCAAGCAAGCTTCTAATTCGTAGCTAGAGTTTCACTCTTATGAACTGGCAGCCAATTTGAGAGACTTTCGCTCGAGATCTAATGAAAAATCAGAACTCGGCCAAAAATTGCCCAAACAGGCTTGTAATTCGTAGCTATAGTATTGATCGTATGGATGTGTTGCCAATATGAGAGACTTTCGCTCGATGTCTGATATTGCATCAGACATCGAGCGAAAGTCACTCAAAACAGCTTAGACATGTCTATTTTGACGGCATTAAATGATTTCATAGGAAATGTCTCAGTTGTTAATTAAGTTCACGTGAGCTTTTATGAATGAAAATAAGTAAAAAAAAAGAATTTTCTCAAAAAAATTGTGTACGCATTGAAATTTTTATCTATAAATTTAGATATGTCATCAATAATATAATATAATTTTAAATTCGTGGAGTACACTTGGGATAATTGAATATGGGCTACCCCATCCCAACCTCTCAAACTTCCTCTGAATTTGGACAAGGTATCCCAATCCCAAAGACCTATCTGAATAAAATGAAATAAGTATATTATATATATTATTTATTTGCTAATAATGAGCATAAATCGCTAAAATTATGAAGAAATTAAAAATTAAAAATTAAAATTAGAAAAAAATGTTGATTTAATGAGAGAATATTGTATAAAAATAGAATTATTAGCTAAAATACGTATTAATTTTATGATATTTCAATCACATTAACGAAAATCGCCCATTTTTAATTCAAATGGGCGGGAAAAAAAATAAAATTCCAAAAAAAAAATTGAATTGGGGAAACGATAGGGGACGGGATATGAGAAACCCCATATGTTTGGGAATTTTTCGCATCACTACAGTGATAACTTCTCACATTGTTTGCCGACATCTTAAAATTTTCAATTTTTTACATCCATAAACTGGCGTAATTCTAAATTAGGCTTCAAATATTTCAATTTCAATCTATTTATAAAAGATATTATTTATTTACAAACAATACAAAAGCAATTGTAATAATGCTCATCGGATCAAACCGGCTGAAGCATTCCGAAGTGAAAGTATTTGATGATAATAAAGTAAATTTAGCCCAAATATTCTTTTTTCCATCAACAATATCAACGGTTTCAATACTTCCTTTTGTAAAAATAGCTTTGAGTGATGTTGATTGTGTTTGAGATTCTGAATTATACCAAAATAACTTAATATGGTCTTTTTCAAGAATTCTGAGGGTAATAAGTTCTTTTCCTTGTAACGACTTACCTCTTAATGAGAAATCCTTTATGTTATTCGCAATCAATATGACTCCTTCCGCATTCTCAGATGAAATGTGGGGATCTGAACCTTTTTCAATGAAAATTGACTGATTATCAACAATTTTCTTTGTTTTGAACGAGAATAATGCATCATTCTCGTTGAAAATCTTAAAAAAATATCTTGGAAATCCGAGTTTGTTTTTGATTTCAATAGAAATAGTGTATTTCAGAATTTGTCCAATACTTAATGAATCTTCTTGATGTTCTGCTGCTTTGACATCGAGTTTTGCTTCACCTTTTTTGATTATATTTTCTGATTGCTCATCTCCAGTAATATTACTATCAGAAACTGTAGTATCTGATCCGAGATTATCTGTTTTCACTCGCTTGTCTTGTGGAGGAGTTCCTCTTCTGATATAAGGTCTATTTCTTGGAACTGGGGAAGAAGGCGGTGATGGTTGCGGAACTCCATTAGGTGGTGAATATATTCGATTGGAAAGTTTCTGTTTAGCCTTAAGAAGTCTTGGATTTTCAATTCCTGGACTTTTTGGTGGAGATATAGCATTTGGAAGTTTAATAGCGAATCCATTTGGCGGACTGTCTTGTACTGGTGAACTTGAGTTCCAACTTTCATCATTAATTCGAGGTTTAATATTATCATCATCAGTATCTGAAGAGTCTTGATATTGTGCAAAATCTGGATCTCTGTATGTAGTTTCTATTCGTTTTAGATCTTCATCGTCGCTGTCATCCCATATAATGGAAGATTTTTTACTTTGTGGACTTCCTTTTTTAACAGGAGATACAAAATTAGTTCTTTTTCTCCTTTTAGGTGTAGATGATTCTTTACTGTGTTGGCTACTTCGACCAGATCTTGAATTTGAATGCTCTTTTACTTTTGATGATTCTTGATGTGCAAATATTATATCATCACTATCATCATCTGATCCAAAAAGGGTATCGTTATCAAAGTATTCTTGAGATTTTGACAATTTTGGATTTGAATTTAGTTGTAGTGGGCATGGAAGAGAATCTGGCAACTCAATATTAACTTTATAGTTTTCTATCAGATTCTTTCCTGTTTTACTGCTCGATGTAGTCATTTAGAAAAAGAATCTGATTAAATTTCGTTGTAAAAAAATGTAAGAAATAAAAAGTTTTTCAATAAAAATGTTGCTAATTTCTTCTCTTCTTAATGAATATTATTTTATTTCCGATCATGATTTCCCCTCTCGGATTTTTTTACAAGATTATTGTTTCCCCAAGAACCTTTCCCAGATTTTGGGTTTATCAACCGGAAACGGCCACCTTATTCTAATTTATTAATAAATATTATTTTATTTCCGATCATTTTTTTTTCCAAAAAAATTTGAGGGGCTTTTTTGACTCCAAGTTATAATTGATGAGTGAAGGTCTTACTATTGATATCAATCGCATTGCGGAAAATATTACATCATACATTGATCAAGGTAACTTTTTCGATATATTTGATATAGAAGACATCAATAAAATTTTAGAAAAAACAACACTTAATTCAACAGATTTCAATAAACTTCTTTCAGAGGGAAAATCAAAATACAATTCTTCCGATTTATACAGTTGTTCTCATAAATGCAATGTTTCTGTAAATTCATTTGAAGATGCAATTGAAATTCTTAAAACATACAAAAACGAACTCAAACTTGAATCATCTCAGAACATAATCGATTTCTTCGAAAAATACGAGACAGAGATGAATCATATGCGAAATGAAATTTCAGAACTTATTCATGAAAAAATATTAGAATTAAGTGAATCAGAAGATTTTGAAAAGATTTACAATTTCCTAAAGGATCTTTCAGAACGAGGAACTAAAGAACAAATTGATCTTTCAATTTCAACCAAACTGAGTGAAAAACAAAATTCTGATGGACAAACTCCTCTCCTCCATGCATGTGTTAACGGTGATTTTGAATTAGTAAAATCTCTTATTGAAGGAGGTTGTGACAGAGATGCTGTTTCTAAACAAGGAAAGAATTGTTTACTTCTCGCTTCAAATCATGGACATCTTGAAATTGTAAAATATTTAATTGAAAGTGGTATTGATAAAAATTGGCATAAAACTAATGGATATAATGCAATTCATTCAGCATCACAAAATGGTCATCTTGAGATCATTAAATATCTTCAAAGCATCGGATGCGACATAAAATTAAAAACAAATAACAATAGAAACTGTGTTTACTTTGCATCATTAAATGGTCATCTCGAAACAGTTCAATATCTTGTTTCATGTGGAGTCAATCCACATAAAAAAATGTTGATGGATATTCTCCCATAATAAATGCATCACAAGAAGGCCATCTTGAAGTCATCAAATATCTTCAAAGCATCGGATGCGATGTAAAATGTAAAACAAACAACAATAGAAACTGTGTTTACTTTGCATCATTAAATGGCCATCTTGAAGTCATCAAATATCTTGTTTCATGTGGAGTCAATCCACATGAAAAAGATGTTGATGGATTTTCTCCAATAATAAATGCATCACAAGAAGGCCATCTTGAAGTCATTAAATATCTTCAAAGCATCGGATGCGATGTAAAATGTAAAACAAACAACAATAGAAACTGTGTTTACTTTGCATCATTAAATGGCCATCTTGAAGTCATCAAATATCTTGTTTCATGTGGAGTCAATCCACATGAAAAAGATGTTGATGGATATTCTCCCATAATAAATGCATCACAAGAAGGCCATCTTGAAGTCATCAAATATCTTCAAAGCATCGGATGCGATGTAAATGTAAAACAAACAACAATAGAAACTGTGTTTACTTTGCATCATTAAATGGCCATCTTGAAGTCATCAAATATCTTGTTTCATGTGGAGTCAATCCACATGAAAAAGATGTTGATGGATTTTCTCCAATAATAAATGCATCACAAGAAGGCCATCTTGAAGTCATTAAATATCTTCAAAGCATCGGATGCGATGTAAAATGTAAAACAAACAACAATAGAAACTGTGTTTACTTTGCATCATTAAATGGTCATCTCGAAACAGTTCAATATCTTGTTTCATGTGGAGTCAATCCACATAAAAAATGTTGATGGATATTCTCCCATAATAAATGCATCACAAGAAGGCCATCTTGAAGTCATCAAATATCTTCAAAGCATCGGATGTGATATAAAATGTAAAACAAACAACAATAGAAACTGTGTTTGCTTTGCATCATTTAATGGTCATCTTGAAGTCATCAAATATCTTGTTTCATGCGGAGTCAATCCAAATGAAAAAGATATTAATGGATTTTCTTCAATAATAGTTGCATCATTTAGAGGTCATCTTGAAGTCATCAAATATCTTCAAAGCATCGGATGTGATATAAATTCTAAAAGTTTATCTGGTGATTCTTTACTTCATTTTGCTGCAAAAAATGGTCATTATGATGTTGTTGAATTTTTAATTTCATTACATGTCAATCTCAATGAAAAAAACAGATACGGAAGATCACCACTTGATTTAGCAAACGAAAAACAAAACGAAAACGAAAATTACGAGGAGATAATAAATCTTCTTATTAAATCTGGTGCAAAATAATTTTCAAAAAGACTAAATTTTTTATTTTATTTGCTACCAATATTTTTAATCATACAGTTTTTATATTAATTTTTCCCATTTAAAAAGAAGCATGATAGTTATTCCTCCAAGCTACTAAATCCTAGCTACCAGACTTTACAAACACTATGATTGACCAGATCAAAGGCTGCTTTGCATCCTAGCAAGTAATTCTATCCGTGGTCTATTATGGGATTATAGTACTTTTTCCGTTTTAACATACTTTTTACTTTTTAAAGAGTTCACTCCAACGATTCGAAAACTCAATAAAACAAAGTCCATAAATTTACAAATTTTGGTCTGAAAATGTATAGAATAATAGCCATAATAATATTAAGATATAAATTTTGTTCTCAATAGACAATATTAAGCAAAAGCGTCCAAAGAGTGAACCATTAACTTTCCAATAGTCAAATTTTGTTGGATATATATGACTCATATGCTTTTGTCTTTTGAAACTGTGATCATGTCTTCAAAATTGACTTTCAGAAATATTATTTTATATTATTAATAGAAAAACGAGTTTAATATAAATAATATAAATTTACAAAATATAATAAAATTAAATGTGTTTCCTGAAGTATCGAGGGCTCCAGTAAAACATATCATTATGCATAATTCTTCTTCCTGAAGGACTGGAAACACATGTAGATTTATCACTGAAGTTATAAAGTCTTTCAACAATTTGGTTCTGATATGTGAAATTATTGAACAATTCTGATGCTGCATCACCTGGATGTCTATAAATAGTTCTGCTAGTATATGCTCGCATGAATCCATCAAGAGACTCTTTGTTATTGAAATAAAAAGGTCGGAACAAATACCAAACTTGTGGCAAAACAATGACAAAAGGAATTGGATTGCGTGTAATTAATGGAGCAGACATATTTGGATGAGTAAATTCGATAGAGTTGAAATCAATATTGATAGCATAAAACTTCAAATCATTGTAATTACTAAGACAACGACATTCATTTGCAACTTGGTAGAATGATTTTCGCATTTCATATGATTCTTTAGAACTATCATAATATAAAATAGCTAAATCGGATGTACAATTAAATAATGTTTCATATTCTTCTGCATTTAATTCATGAACAATTTCTCCTTTGGTGTGAACTTTTGGTGAGGTGATTTTAGACCATTCGCATCCAATTGTCAACCTGGAAATCCATTTGGAAATCATTTCGGATTTATGTGATATAAAATCTTTATCTTTCGCTGACAATTTGTTTTGAACAAAATATGATATTTTTTCGCGTGTTTCTCTCATTGGACCACCTGAAAAGAAAATATCTTCTGTGCTGTAGTATGATATAGATCGTGCATCATTAGTTACTTTGGAATAATCATAAACAAGTTCTCGGTATTTAGACATTCCTGGACCGAATTCATCCCATGGCAACGAATATCTTTTATTGTTAACTGCCCAGCCGAAATCACGCCAAAATCGTCCTTTTGATGCCATGTTTTCAACAAATTTTGGAACAATGACATCGAACCATGACTTCTTCATGCCACCACGAGCGGAATAACCAATCAACTGGAAGATTCCTGTAATATTACGTGTCTTCTTAGTTTGTCCATATCGAGGACCTTTAGAGAAATATGGATTTCGATAATATGAATCATGTCGAGATATAAAATAAAATTCATCGAAATCTGTTTCTGTGTAAGGATCGAAATATGTTTTGTTTGTCATGTATTCATCAAACCAATTAAATGTGATTGGATACTCTTGGTCTTTAGTTTGATTACTCTTAGCGTATTTATCAAAGATAAAACGTTCTTCGCCTTTGTTACTCGATTCATGATACCATGAATCACGTGAACCTGAAAAATATGTTCGCATGTCTCTCCTGTAATAAGGAATGTCGTAACTAGAATAGAAATCATCCATGTAGTTGAAATAGTTGTCGTTGTCTTTGTAATCCTCGTGGAAATCAATATCGGCATAAGAAGGACTGAATGTAGGTGTCGAAGTACTGTGGTTCTTGTATTCTTTCATGAATTCAAACAAATGTGCATATTCTTCACCATTTCGGTCTTTACCGTAAAAAATGTCCCATGGAAACTGGTGACAATCAAACGAATGGTTAGAATAATATGCAATGATATCTGAAAATAAGTCAAGATCTTCTTCATATTTAGTGCTACCTTCAGAAAAGAAAAATTTAAATAATCCTTTCAAAAATGTGTAATCGAAGTATGGATCAAATTCGAGACCAGAATATGATAATGAGTAATGTCCAAACTTGTCAATAGCACTATTAGGTGCTTTTGTCAAATCATACTCACCGTAATCGAAATCGGGTGTTGTTGATGTGTATTCTGAGGAATATCGTGATGAATAGTCTTCTGAAATGTAAATGCTGCTTGGTTCTTCTGAAATGGTGTTATCTGGATCAAAAGAAGAATGATTAGATGAATTTTCTGTTTCAAATTCTGGATTTGAATATGAAATAGATGAATCTGATGAACCATAAATAGATTTATCAGATTTAGATGTATCAGATGACTGTTCTGAACTCCTTTCGGAAATTGTTTCAGAAAATGACATAGAACTTGATGAAATCATATTTTCATTGTCTGAATATGGTGATTCGGAGGAAAAACTAGTGCTTTCTGAAGAGTCTTCAGAATAAGATGAGGAATTTTCTGAAATAGAAATTTCGGATGAGGATGAATCAGATGAATTTGTATCGTTACTTTCCATTTCAATAGTGTTGTCCTCGGGTTCGAGAATTGATTTGTTTCGTCGAATCTTTTCCATTTTTTCTTCAAAATCATCAAAATTAAAGGTTGAGTAAATACCTAAGTAAGGCCAAATGACTATGTATGAACTGTTTTCAACTTTACATAGCTCTTCAATTATTTTTAGTGTTCTTTTCCCAGGAATTACAACATCAAGACTGGGATATGCATTTGTAATTTCAATCAAGGATTCTCTTTCTTCTCTAGTGATGTTTTGGTTCATTGAAACTAATGCAGGTTTCCTTCGTTTGATCAAATCATGGTAATTTAAGTTTAAAAGATGTGGTACTGCTTTTTCGCAGAATTGGTACATACGACCATCAAATGGAGTAAGTAATTTGTCGTATGGATTGTAAACTTGAAAACCAAATTCAACGGTGTGGACTTGAACGTCAATAAATGAATATTTGCCAATCAATTTAATAGCCATATCTCTTGTTTCATTGTATGAGTCCGGTGGACATATAATTGTAAAGAATGGACTGTTATAAATAGTATCTTCATCGAATTTTTTGATTTGGTCTGATAGAATGAAATCTAATGGAATTTCTATTTGTGATGGTTTAGTTACGTGTTTGATATTAATAATCATTTTGCTAGGTCCGTACAAAGTATACGCGTTATATCCATTTTGATCAGAAATATTATAAATTTCGATGTCCTTATCTGAATAGTCAGCTAATATCGTATCAAACCATTTGCAAATACGAGTATTTGAGCATGAAAATATTATATACGTTGTATTTTCTATACTCTTGGCGATAGATTCGTTGAATGTAAATAAGTCAAGCTTTTTATCATAATGGGGTGGTGAATTAATCCTGATACAGGATAAAAATAAAGAAAACAAAATGAAACCACTGGCACTTTTCGATGCGAAATTACGGTGAAAAAAATTATATCAGATTTCATTTTTTTAAAACATGTTATTTAAAAATTTTTGAATTGTGAAATCTTTCAATTATTGAATCAAAAAATCATTCACCGACAAGAAATAATGGATGTAGATATTTATCGGGAGACATATACCACAAATAAGACATCCATTGCACTCATACACTGCATTTTTTGTGACATTTCGAGCGTAGATAAAGGAGCCGGAGTTACTGCATCATATTTAGGCTTAAAAGACTTAACGATTAAAACATCGCAATTCATAAAATGTTGCGGATATGGCACTTCACAAGCAGGTGTAATCTTTTCTGTATCCGAAAATTTCCAATTTTCCATGAATTCATTAATTATGTGCACATCAAGTCAATTCGATTTTATTTATGCATTCTCAATGTCGCCATCAGTTGTTGATTTCGGAAATATTTATACAACGACCAATAATGATAAAAATAAATTTTATTTTAGTATTAGAGATTTGCGAATGTCTTATTATAACATAACACAAAAGAATCCAGAAGATATTTATAATATGATCCATGTAACAAGTGCACATTCAAAAGAAAATATAATTAAAAATAATATTTATCAAAATATCAATTCAACGTATTTCGGTAGTGCCAGTGACAAAATTAGCAATTGTTATTTTGCAGATTCCAATTTGCCATACCTAATATGCTATTATTTTACTCAATGTTATTTTGAAAGATGCAATATCGGATTGATTGCTTCAACTAAGGAATCTGAATGCTTGAATAACTATATTGACAATGAAACAACGTATATATCAGCAGAATTCACTATTACATCAATATTATCAAAGCCAAATATAGAACTATCTAAGGATATAATACCGCAAAGTGTCAAACTGCTTTCTAAGAATATTACATTACCATTGTATGCTGGTGAATTTGCGACAGACATCACAATTGAAGATTGCAGATTTATAAAACTAAATCTCCAGAATCATGCAACAATAACTGTAGTTAGAATTCCGTTTTATATCACGCAAAGTTCATTCCATGAATGCATTTGTTCATCCACATCAAGTTGCTTGAATATTTCAAATACCGATCCAAATGAAGCAATAGTAATCGAAAAGATCTGCAGTACTTCAAACGTTGGATTACACTCTTCATTTATGACTGTAGATACTGATTCAATTATGCATTTTAATCAATCATGTATATTCAACTGTCCAAAAGAAAGATATTTACAAGGGTATTCCATATTTAGAATCAATCAGCAATCATTATATTATAAATCATTAACGAATTCTGTCAATATTTCCAAATCAAAAACAACATATCCGATTTTTGTCATTGATTCAAAGAGTGATTCAACATTTTCCTACTGTAACTTTGAAGATATAAAGACATATTTCAGTGTTGTTTACATAAATAATGATAATAATTTATTTGTCGAAATTTCAAATTGTAATTTTATAAAAGTTGTTGTAGAAGAACAGAAATCAATGATGAATTATATTGATTTCAATTACAAGATATATTTTGCTCCTTCAGATATTATGATTCAATCAGGATATAATTTATCAAAATGCGTTTTTATTAACTCAACTAAGCCAAGTGAGGATCAAATACAATACGTTCATGACTGCGTTATGACTGATGATTTCAGTACTAATGTTTATCAAATTACCGAATTTTATTGTACAATGCTGCCAATAGAAAAAGATAAAAAGAAATTAACTGAATTCCAGTATATTCTTATTATTGCTTTATCTAGTTCATTTTTGGCTATTGTTGTTTTAGTTGTTTCAGTGACTTTGTTTTGGTATTATAGAAGGCGTCAAAAACGTGTTGAAGATAAGCTTGAGCTTCAATCTTCAATTATTCAAGATTTTGGCTGAGAGGAAATCCTTTTGTATTTTTTGGTATATTTTGTCACATGTTTTTTAACATATGACTTCTTTTTTTATATATATATTAAAATATTTATACATTAAAATCCTACGAACTTTTTAACAGTTATTGAGAGCAAGTGAAACAATCTGTGTTCTAATGTTTTAAACATAAATTAATCATGATTTTTTTCTAAGCACATGACCACAATAAGTAATCATTATTTAGCTTTTGTAATTATACTTTAATTTCATTTGGGATGAACAATGCATTGACTATAATCAATAATCATTTAATTACGTGCGTTACTGGTTATTCTAGTTTTAATGTGTTAAGAATTGCTTGACAAATTTCTCCAAAGTATTCCGGATTTGATTCCATTAATTCATTCAAATCTTCAAGAAATTCAGATTCTTCTAACTGCTGTACAATGAATTCCAATTTATCTGGTTTTGCTTTTGCAAAATTTATGACATCAAAGATAAACACGCAGAAATCCATACTTTCTGCTTCATGAAATGATAAAAGATTGTTTGTCTGAAAAAAAGAGTCAGATAAAAGAAAATCTAGCATAATATCTGGAAAATAAGCAAATAACTTTTCAATTAGTTTGATAATTATTACAGATCTTGAGTGCGTGCCATGTATAAATTCGTCTATTGATATCATAACAATATTGTTATCAATGAATAATTTCATAAAATTCTGTGGATCTGTATCAAGAATGCATATGAATAGTTCAACAAGTTCTTTGAAATAATCATTAGAATCAGTTGTTTCGAACATTTCGCATAAATTCATAAAATTGATCAAATTAGTAATGTTTTTGGCTTTTTCCATGTCATTTTGTGAAGAAATTACAAATGATAAGAATTTTATCGCATTCTTAACGTGCACACTATTGAATTCATTGTTAATAGAATTGAATTTCTTCAAAAATTCCAAAAAATGAGAGGTTCCGACATAATGCTGAATCATATTTCCATCATTTGCAAATAATTCTAAAAGGACTTCAAATGTTGAACAATCGTTAATTGAAAGTAAATTATTAATTATAATTTCATAAATTTGATGAATTTGATCTGGAGTATTTACCTTTCTAATATACTGAATTAAAAAATTATTAGTGGCAATAATATCTTCTATATTGCTATCATAAAATTTCTGGATAATCTCGTTAATTTCAATTAAATCAAGATCAAGTTGAAATTTCATTATTACTCGTGTCATGAAATCTAAGCAATACTTCGTGCTATGATTATCATGGTTTTGAAGGAGATTTAAAGTTAAATTAAATATTTCTTGAATATTAAACATTGATTGTGCATCATCAAAAATATCTATAAAAGTATACAAAAATATGAATGTGGCACCTTGAAATTCTGCAAATTCTTCTTTTGTCAATGAATCAAATAGCATCTCAGGAAATTGAGGGGGCATAAGTTCTATAAATACCGTTACATTATTAATAACTGATCTAGACAAATACATCAACCCTTGATAATAAAATTCAGGATTACTTGCTGTTGATATTGTATGCAATACGCTCATAAAGGCAAATTTAAGCTTCATTTCTTCGGTGTTATCCTCTAAATCATCGGTTGTAAGATTATTACATTCATTTTGCAATCCAATATGATCATTTGTACAATCTTTTAAAGTATCTTTATAATTCATTGTAATTATGAATCTCTTTGTTCAAAATTTCAGAGATTCATAATTATGTGAAGCCATCAGTCGCATCATTTGGACTTTTAATTTTCTATATGTTTTCAATTCGAACAGACTTATTCAATTTTATTGGCTACAAAAAATTAAAATGAGCGACAAACCAATGCCTCAAGACTATATCCGCCTTTCAATGGAAAAGCGTGTTAAAGTTCAGCTCGAAGGTCGCGTACTTGAAGGAGTACTTCACGCTTATGATGAGCATTATAATATTATTATCGGCGACGTTACAGAAAGTTTGATGGGCCTTGATAAAAATGGCATGCAAGTTGCTGTCAATCAGAGACAAATAGATATGTTATTCGTTCGTGGAGATAGAATTGTTTCAATTGCAACACTTTAAAATTGCATTGGACGGATTCAAAATCACCACAATAATTACCAATTTATAATTTCGTATTACACAAACTCAATAACAATCTATACGTAAAAATTTTGTTTATATCAACAATTACTCTCATAAGTATTTTATGAATATCATTGCTCCCAACCAAAATATTCCCTTATTAGTTATACTAATTCAAATTTTACAAAAATTTCGGATTTTTTTGAGATATCTGAATTTAGTGAGAATTTCTTTTAACATATCATGCGATTGAATCTATGTTATGAGGTATATTTAATGAATGTAACCATTTTATAATTAATAAGTATATAAGCCAAGATAAATAAGAACATGAGGCAAACTATCATTAATACTTAACTCTCAATTGTATTAGATATAATAATCAATAACCATATATTGGTTGTCTTGAATTTGAAAAAGAAAATGTTAATGAGTTATTTTTAAAAAGTAAATTGCCTAGAGAAATAGAGTCAACTTGGAATGATACAGTAGCCTCAGCACAAACACAATTATTAGGTTGTTAGGGATTACTTGGATGATTTATTGATCTTATGGGAAAAAATGACGTTAATTTTTTTCAGAAATTTATTTTCATTTTTACTTATATACTGTATTAGATATGATTCCAACAATCACATTTTCCATCAGAGAAATCATTCTTTGGTTGATGGATAATTCAATTCAATCGACCACGAAAGAATTGGATCATCCAAATACAGGGAAGCGAAAAGAAGTCTTTCAAATGAAAATGGATGAGCTTTTTACTATGATTATCAACGAATTTCTCGACAACATTGATTATGATAGAAGAATCTATTATTTACAACTTGGAATCAATTCTATGAATAATAAAACAAGATCAAATTTCCCAAATCACTTGATTACAAATGAATTTATTAAAGAATTATATTTCATATCATTCCGTGAACATGATACAGAATTAAGCACAACAGGTTTGAACTTTATTTACCAAGTTTTTGCTAAAAACGACGAATTTGATACAAATTTGATCAAAAATCACCCAGATAATTTGATAGAAATGATTAAAACTCATATTCAAAAGAGCGTTGGAGAAGAACTAAAGATGGAATTCGGAATTTTAGCAAATTTAATCCTCAAAGATGAAGAAACGGCAGTTTTTATAAATGAAAATTTCCCAAGTGATTTTATTTTAGAATTATATGCAGAAAACCTCAATACAATGGATGAATTTAGCCTTTGGTGCTATGGAATGTGTTATTTGTTAAATACTATTGATGATTTCAGACCTTATTACATTTTCTCTTTTGAACACTTCAGCGAAAACTGTTCTCCTTACGTGGCATTCAATTTGCTGCATGCAATCTTAGCAGTTACTCAAAAGCATATTAATGTGCTTGAAATATCCCCAGAACCTCAAGAAATTTCTAAAATATTGGCTGAAGCATATTCAATCAAGAAGAATAAAATAAAGTACATAGCCATGAAGTTGTTATACTTTTTCTGGAAGTTATCAATGCGTACAGAGCTTTTCCAAGTTTTCCCACTCAAATCCATAGTTAATAGGCTTGAATATCCAATACCGGAAGGTGAATTTAATGTCAAGATAACAAATATTTCATTGCACTTCCTTTCTGATTTAATTGCTAGCAATTATAGAATTAAATTTAAATCAGATAAAATAAATCAATTAAAACCATTAACAAGGGATGGAAATATAAAAACAAGAATAGCTGCATGTACATTGGCCGTGACTCTTGCAGAATTCGGAGATGATCAAACAAAATTTATTTTACTTATGACAAATTTTGCTGATGAAGTTCTCACATTCTTCGAAAGTGAAAAATCTGATGAACAACTTATTGCTTTGCGTTTTGCAGCTTCAATGTGCATTTATGCCAAAAAGGTCGGAAAGTCTGATATAATTTTGAATAGTATTGAAGAATACAGAGAATATATTGAAGATATTTCTAATGAAACAAAGGATAATATCGTTTTAGGTTTTGCAAAAGTATTAATATCCGAAATTGATAACTGTGACAATATAATGGATGAAATAGAAGGAGCAGAACCAGAATAATACATTTACATCCTATTGTTCATATTAAATATATTATTTGTAATAAATTTAATAATAAATATGCAAATTTTTATAGGAAACAGTATAAACAAGTATGAAGTACTTTATAATCAATGCTAAAACTTTAAATTCTCGCCCTAATCACGTCAAACAGCATTATTATTTTTTATCGAAGATCTCTAACTCTTGAAGATAGTTAAATGCTTCATGAATGATGCATTAAGGATGTATATGAGGTTCTATTTCTATATGAATGCGATAATCTTAGATATCTCTATTTAGGGGTACAATAATTTAGAAGAATATCCCTATGAAATAACGTATTTTTTTGTTGGACTACCTTTTTAAATACATTTCTACCTATTAGTATTTGACCTAGTTGATGCGCTTTCATAAAACATTAAATGACTTCTTAAAAAAAATCCCGTCTTATGAAAATTGAAAAATTTCTGAAACTAGTCAAGTTTCAAATTAAAAAATGAGTTTCTTCATCACATCAAAGCTTCAGTATATTCTAAACTTGCTGCATTTGTATTTAAATGGCACAGATAGTGATGTGAATGATATAGTAGAGAAACTTACAAATATCCCTTTTTCCTATTCTTTTTTTAATCCATTTTTCAATATGTTAATTACAATCTCATTAAATAACAAGAAAGAAAAAATGCTTTATTCAGTTGCTTACCAACTTTTCAAATTGAACAGGTTACCATTTATATATATAAATAAGCATTTACTTGTCAATTCTACTACTAACAGTGGAATAGAATCAGAACTTAAGAGATACAGTGTAAAACCAATCAAATTTATTGATAGATTCATGATTTTTTCTAAAGGTATTACGAAAAGAGAAATAACACCATATATGAAACTAGTTGTTTTAACAGAGAACATTCCAAAATTGAAAAAAATAGATAGCATACTTTTGAGGGAATTAGATAAATACGCTGCTTATTATGGCAAGGAGAAAGCATTTGAAGAAATAACAAACAGTAAATTTTACATGGAATGTGCTAGAATTTCAGCCAATGGTGATATAGAAGGCGATAGTTTTAGATGCAGCGAATGTCTTCTTCAATGTGCAATAATAGGTGGCAAAAAATCAATTGTCGATAAGGTATTAAAACTTTTTCCAAAACATCGACCTTTCGCTCATGTACCTTTTCTAGCAATTTTCAATTCAGATTTGGAAAAATACTACTACACAAATGTTTTCAATGTACCAATACAGGCTGAAGAAATATTTCTTTTTAATTTTTCTTTTATCTTTAGAATAATAATAGAAATGAAACTTTTTAATTATGGAAATGATGATATTTACAAAGTAATCAATATTGCAAAATATCGCGGTTTCTTTTATTGGGTAGAGTTTTTTGAGATTAATCAGTTTTTGGAAGAAGCAAAACATTTCAATGAACATCCTTTGATATATTCATTGAAGAAGAATAACAGAACAATGATGTTGCAATTAATAAACGAAAGTGATAATTATGAAAAGCAAATGAATTTTGATAATCCTGTTTTGAAACTCATCCAGAAGCCATTTAAGATCGATTATGATGCACAAGACAAAGATGGAAATACAGCACTTATAATTTCGGCAAAGATGCAGAAATATGAAGAAGCGAAACTCATTCTTGAACATGGTGCAAATCCATCAATCCAAAACAAAGATAAAATTTCATTCATTGATATTGCTAAAACGAACGAAAATCTCAAAGGTTTGATTACAATGCCTAATGACGAATATCTTGATCCTGCAGATGATTCTGATGAATTTCTTGATGCAATCAAAAATTTCGATATTTTGAAAGTCAAATCATTTCTCGATAAAGGATATGATCCGAACAAAATTCAAATTTCAAAATCAAATAAAGTTCATCCTCTTGAAGTTTGTGAAGATTTTGAAATATTTAAACTCCTCATCGAAGGAGGTTCCGATTTCATGTTTCGATATGAAAATGAAAATGGAAAACAAAAAATTCCTGTTTTCACAATTGTTTCTAAACGAAACAAACGATTTTTTGATTACATGGTTGAGAAAGGACTCAACATCAAAATCAAGAATGAATTTAATCAATCACTGTTAACTCATTATGCATCAAAGAACAAAGATTCTGAAATCATGAAATTCTTGATGAATAAGAAAGTCGATTATCGACGAAGTAAGAACAATAAAGGAAATCTTCCTATTCATTATTCATGCAAACACTCAAACATCGATGTTGTCAAATTACTCATTGATAAGAGATCACCAATCAACATCGCAAATAACAATGGAGAGTTACCAATCCATCTTGCAGTCAAATATGGAACACCTGATATTGTTGAAATTCTTCTTGAGAACAATTCACAGTTCGGTTCTAAAGACAATCAAGGAAACTGTCCAATCCATTATTCAATTGAGTCAAAATTCGGAAAAGAAATGATCGAAACATTTGTTTATTGCTTGATACCGAAATTTGATGACATTAAATCCATCATCGACATCGAAACAGAAGACAAATACACATTATTGTGTAAATCACTCATCAACAACAAAAATGAAATATCATCATACTTGATCGATCTTGGCTCTGATGTTAACTATACAATGCTGAATGGGAACACTCCTCTTATTTTATCATTGAAGAATAATCCCACTCCAAATATTATTCATCTTCTATTATCTAAAGGTGCAGATATCAATCACTTCAATCAAGAAGGTGATTTTGCATTGAAGATCTGTGAATCACTTGAAATTCTCCATGAATTGCTGAAATTCAAACCTCATTTGAATAATAATGAATGTGATGTCATTCTAAATCATATATGTATGTTACACTTACAGATTGCAGGTGTATTAATGATGTTAATTGAAAAATATAACTACATTGACTGCTACAAATTTGCAATAACTTTAGGTTTAAAAAAATTAGTAGAATTTTTAATTGAAAGCGGAGCAGATGTTAATTGCGAAGATATACTAGGAATGACACCAATTAATTATGCCACAATACATAACAAAATTGAAATTGCCAAATATCTAATTGAAAATGGCGCAAATCTTGAACACAGAGATATTGAAGGAAATAATGCATTTGGTGTTGCTGCAAAATGTGCCAGAACAAGTAATCAAATGATTGATCTTTTACTTGAAACATGTGATATTCTAAATACTAACTATGCAGGACACTCCGCTGTTTTTGTTGCCATAGAAAATAAGAATTTCGCTTTCTTGCAACATATCCATGAAATGAGACCATATTTACTTCCTCAATTAGTAAATGAGAAAGGCTACGATTCATATACACCAAAAATTCTTCTTGTCAAAAATAATTGGCAATATTTATTGCCTTTATTTGATGAAGAACAATTTACTTATGAAATACCAATTATTATGGAAGAAAAGTTAAAAGACAAAGAGAAGTATGGAGATACAGATATTTTGTGTGCAATAAGAAATAGATATTATACTGCATTCATTCATTTTTATGAAGAAGCAAATCCAAAACCAGATTTGAATGAAACAAATAAATTTGGAGAATTTCCTTTATTTGTTGCATGCTATCGAGATTTTTCATGGCGATTTATCAATTTTCTTCTTGACAGTGGTGCAGATCCAACTAAGTTATATGAAGGTAAAACTGCACTCAGATTGTGTATCGAAAACGATTTCCAAAACAATGTCATGCATCTGATTCAACATCAAACGAACGACATCCAGCAGAAATTCGAAAACGGAATGACATACATGCACATCGCAATAAAACACGGAAATCCTATTTTCGTCAGATTCTTGATCAATGCAAACATATATCCAAAATTTGTTGATGATGATGGAAACAGTTATCTTCACTACGCAGCATTATCAGATAACAAAGAAATTATCAGATATATTTTACAATATCAAAAAGATTGCACACTGATGAACAAAGAAGGAATGACACCTCTCATGTATGCAGTTCAGAATAGAGGATTCATATTCATTGAAGAATATCTTAAATTCAACATAAACTTCTGGATCAAATGTAAAGATTTTTACAGATCACTCTATTTCTCATCATTATTGAATAATGATACATTTGATTATCTCCTTCCTTATTATCAAACAATATTTAATTGAATAAACATTTATATATTATTGTTTTATTAAATATGACGCCTTTCAAATAAATACATTTCTATATTATTGTTCTATTTTTGCATGGCAAAAACCATTAAATAATGGATCTACAGATTGGAGCTCCATTCATTCAACATTTACATAGTAAAGATGCATATATGTTTTCTTCATTGTGTATAGTTTTATTAAAAATATTACAATTTTTTTAATAAATATCAAACAATTAAAATTTACAATAAGTTAGAATTTTGAGACTTATTTTTAGCAAACTCTTCAAACATTCCATCCATGATAACAACCATTTCTTCAACATCGCGATTTTGAAGTGCAGTATTAAATCTATGCTCTTGTTTTTTCAAGTACGCTCTTGAGAATTGAGGAGCACAAATTTTATGAATTGGAACGTTAAAGAATTGCTTTGAAAGTTCATCTAATTCAGTCAACTCTGGAGAAATTGCTTGTTCTGAAAGAAGAGGTTCCAACTTCTCTGAGCAACTCTTGAAAATCCTTGATATTGTTGTGGTGAGTGGTTCCACCATTTTTGCTTGCTTCTGACTATCATCCAAGCTCTTTTGTAGCTTCTGTATCGATGCAGATTTCTTTTGAGTTTGAGACTTTTCATTTCTCAATTGCTCTTCTAATTCGAATATTTGCTGCTTCGTCTTTCCACTCTCTTCATCTGCATTTTCTTCTGTGTGTTTTATGATTCGCCTCAAACCAGAAATCTGGCTTTCTAATGTATTAATTCTCTCTTCTTTTCTCCTGATATCTGCTGTCAAAACTGAAATTTCGGCTTCTTTTGAAGCTCTTTTTGTTCTTTCTCTCATTGTATCTAAATGAGGCGTTAATATATGAGCTAATGTACCAACACTCACTAATGTTGCACTAGTTTGTGCAGGTTGTGATGAAACAGACATTCTAGATGAAGATCTCGAATAAAAATTGTTTTCTTTTTGCTTCAATTTTTCATTTCTTCTTTTTTCTCTATTAATTTCAATTTGCTTTGTTAATAAAGCAATCTGTGTTTGAGCCTGCTTTAAATCTCTTTGAACTTGTTTAGTTTTCTTGTTTTCTCTTTGCTTGTTAAATTCAACGCGAAGATCTACAGTATTTATCGAATGCATCGTAGTTTCCCTGAGAATTTGGAAGTTCCTCTGGAATCCTTGTACAAATAATCTAAATGCTGATGATGTACTGAGGCAAAGAGCTTTGAGTGATGACAATGAATTCTTTTGTTCAGTGATTTTCATTTTAAGATTTGATTTGTATTTCTTTTGAGTTGTTTTAATTTGATCTAAAAACTGAGATTGGTTTTCTGCTATATAATTAGCAATGATTCGCTCTGTAGACATCTTGTATGCGCGTAAATTGAATTCTGGACGTGGAGGGATTTCTGCACGTAGAGATTGAATCATTTCTTTGCAATGATAAAGGCCGTTATATAATTCTTGGCTTCTTATCTTTGAATCTCTAAGTAATTCGAGAGTATGATATGAGATTTCTTTAGATGCTCTGATGGATTTCTTTGTTGTCGAGTAAAATTTTGAAATTACTTGAATTAAGTCATCTTTTGAAGCTTTGATGTTTTCAAGTTGCTGTTTGAATGTTCCAACAGCCACAAGGAGAGCTTTATTGCGCATTTGTAAAGTATTGACTTGATTCTTGAGTATAACGTTTTCAGTGTTTAAAGATTCGATTTTTTCTTGCATTGATTTTGTAGCTTCCGAATCAAATTCTTGAACCGATGATAATTGTGATTTTTCAAACATTGTGCTTGTCTGGGATCTTGCTTCTTTCAGTGCGTCTTGTAATAATTTTTCATTTTCATGTGCTTTCTCAAGTTCACTTTCTTGCATTTCTTTTAATTTCTTGATTTGTAGATTGAGAGCATTAACAGATGCATTTGAATCGCTTAATTGCATTTGTAAAACTTCAATTTGTGATTCGTTAGATTCTTGGAGGCCAACTAATTGGGCTTCATAGCTATGTATAGCTTGTATAAACAAATTCTTAAGCCTTTCAATATTGGTTTCCTTTTGAATTTTATCAATAAGTCTAAAATCTTCGCTTAAAGTGAAAGAATTCTCTTCTTTTCGATCTGATCCTTTGGAACTAACTGAGCTTTTCCGTTTTTTAGTTGTTGTTTTTATAATTTCTTCTTTCACCTCTTCAGTCATAATTGCAAAAAATTCAAAACGTATATTGAACTGAGATATCAGTTTGCTTAGAGGATTCAATGTTAATATTAATTTGTTTTAATATTATTTAAATTTGAAACTCAAATCTGGCTGATTTCTATTGAAAATCCGACATCACAAGTCAATTATGAACGCAAATTCATGAAATGTCTTAAAAAGAAGAATACACGATCGATTTTACTATAATTTTTATGTTTCTTTTAAAGTAAACAGAAAATGGAAAAAATTATTTAAAAAATTATAAAACTGATACAATTTTTAAAGGAATAGAATCAAAGTACAGAAAGTTTTGAATTTGTCTTATATGTTCCGTCTTCTTTTTGTTGGATAACACTACGAACGTGGCTTGCAAGGGAGGGATTCTTGTTATCCAATGTCTTGAATGCGGAATCTAAGTATTTAGTTCTTGCAGCAAGTTGTTCGTTCAAAATATTGAAACGGCACTGTGCAAGACGCATAATATAATCTTCATCTGGAATATTCAAAGGAAGTGTGAATACTTCAACTGTTCTTAGCTTGAGCTTCTGGTAGAATACAATTTTAGACTTTTCTTTTCCGTCAATAACATCAATTGTGATTTCATCGCTTGCTTTGAGACTTTTCTGCAAGAAAATGCAAAGATTTTCAATAAATGCATCAAAATCAACAAGCAATTTATATGTTTCTTTAATACTTTCATCATATAATTTCCTTGAAAAATTAGATTCGTAAATAAATGAAATATCCTTGTCATCTGTAAGCTCTATTTTAACATGTTGTACAACCCCATCTTCTGTTTTGAGTGTAAAAACTCTACAGTTTAAAATTCGTGTTGCTTTCTGCTGAGAAGAGATAAAGTTGATGCTTGCGTCTTCATGGAAGATTAATTCATAGTTTTCTAGCTCTTCTGGAATCTTCCTGATAACTTGTTGTTGCATAATATTCTTTTACAAAAAAAGTGTCAATAAAATAACAAAAATTCTAACTGATTACGTTTACTGGAGCAAACTTGAGAATTATATAAATAAATAACAGAGGACTTTGAAAATAGCTATAACGTATTTCTTCGCTTCGATATTTGATAAAATTATCCAAAAAAGTCAAAAGAAGCGGCCAAATACATATTGAATAAGCTAATGTGGAGTATTATTTTATATGTTTAATACTACTTCTTAAAATATAAATGGCTTATCATCAAATTTCAAAATTAAAGCATTTCTTAGTGTATTTTATAACCCATCCAATATATAAACTCAAATGTAAACTTGCAAAATCAAGAAATGGTTCATTATGTTATAATTTAGATATTATATCTCTGACTATACAATAATTGTTATTTAATTCTCAAAATTATCCTATAATTAGTATGTATGATATGTTGAGCTTATTTAAATCACTCCTAACAATCTGGATTTTTTTTAATAGGAATTTTAAGAAAATATTAATAAGTATTGATATGAATGCTATTGCAAAAGGTATTGATTTATCAAAAAAAGTGTTTGATTTAAGATAAAATATCAAACAAGAAAAAGTCACGAGAAATTATCGAAATTTGCTTTTTTGTTGGAGTCATGGGGACTAAGACTTTAAGAAAAGCTTAGTACTATGATTATCCTTCGTATTGGTGCTTTTAAAAAATGGCAACATCATGCAATATGCGACCATAAAACGTTACACCATATGGCCACATATTGAGAAACTTTGTTCGGATAATCGGTTTTTCGAAATATTGCATGAAAAACGAATATATATGCATGCAATTCGATATAATTCAACAAATTTAGGATAATGCGGAAATTTGACAAAGGATGAGATAAAAAAATTCATTAAAAATTCTTTTTATAAGCTTTATGAGAATATTTCTGGATGTTTATCGATAATTTGCTTGAAATTTGGATTTTGAATTCTTTGCAAAATGAATTCCTTGCAAGTAGTATATGGTACATCTTTCTTATACATCTTTGCATTAACATCAGCCTTATTTTGAAGTAAGAAATCTATCAACTTGAAATTTTGTGATATAGCCTTTAAGCATTCTCCAAGAAACGATTCATGATTTGGAAAAGTTGTGTTAACATCAAATCCTTTTTCGATTAAGATTTTCATTACTTTTACAGCATCATCTTGATTCCTCCATAACAACAGATGATGGGCAGGTGATTTTCCATGTTTATTTAATGTTTTTACATCATGTGTTCTCTCAAGAATCATTGTTGCGATCTCCAAATTTCTAGATTGTATTGCACAATGAGCAGCAGTATCATGACCATTTTGTTCGAGTGATCTCAAGTCATAAATATGATCTAAAAGCAAACTAACAACTTGTGGATTAGGAGTATACAGAAAAGTAGCAACTGTTAAAGCATTATTGTATTCATTACTTGAATTTACCGTACAAACATCTGCTTTAAATCCGCTTTCTAGAAGCAGTTTAAGACCTTCCAAATTATTTTGCTCTGCTGCAAGCATGACGGGTGTTTTTGATAGAAGATCATGACTTTTGCTTGATGTGTACTTTAGTAATATTGCTAAGCAATCTGCTTTGTGCTTTGAAATGCATTTTTTAATAATTTCTTCTTTAAATTTTGGTGTTTGACATTTTTCAAGATTGTACCCTAAATCAAAAAGTTTTTGGAGACAAAATGCCGAACCATCCATGATCGTGAGATAAATGATGTTTTTCTTGATATCTGCTTCTTTTAATTTATAGCTTTTTTCATAAATTTCAAGGAGATCTTTTTGTAAAGAAATATTTTTCGAAATTTCTCTGAAAATAAATGCTAATACTAGTTCAGAATTGCAGTGAATTGCATAGTGAAGTGGAGTAAGTCCTGATGATGTTTTTAGAAACATATTGCAGCCTTTTTGATATAAATATATAAAGCAATCAATAGAATTTGCATATGCGGCCCAATGAATTAGGTACATTTCACTACAGTCGATATCTTTATCATCTATATTATAACTTTGTGGATAATCAAGAGTATCTCTTTCATTATCTCTTTCATTATATAATTCTTCTATATTGTCTCCAAGAACCAATTCAACCAGGTTACGTCTAGATTGGTATTGCCTTTGGTAACTAGGTAATCCATATCTGTCTTGTCTAATATAAAACATCCAAATTAAATGAAGTCAATAAATTGATAAGTTTACAAATAGGATAAGACATGAAAAGTGTAATTAAATTTTTATAACTAAATTTAATGATATCAATTTTGAAGTTAGAATTTTAATCGATTAAAATGCGGAAAAGTGACAATTTCACTTTTCGGTCTTATCTTTTAGAATGAGAAATGTGCAAGGTTTGAGTCTTATGCTAAAGATCCATTGATAGAAATCTTGAATTGGCATCCAAATCTATATTTCTATCAAGTGTTCTGAGCAATTGTTCTGAAGATAAAATTAATTTTATTGAAGTAGTATAACTAGCTAAACTAATGATAATAGTTCCAATGTAAACTATGATTGCCTGAAAAGTCTTTTACTATTTGAGATTATTTTATAAAAATAAAAATCTAAATAATTTTTGTTTTATAAATGAAATAATATAATCATAGTTTAAAGAAGTGTAACTTAAAATTACTTCTTATTGATCAAGACGGCATTCATCATAGCGCTCGTAGATAGTTTTGAGGACTTTAATGAGTAGATCGAAATCAGCGGCAGCAATAAATTCGCGAATAGAGTGCATAGCCAGTTGCGGTTGTCCGATATCGATTGTAGCAATACCAAGTCCAGCAGAAGCGAATGGGCCAATAGTAGAGCCACTCGGTATATCATTTCTATTCATCATTACCTGGTAAGGAACACCGCAAAGTTCTGTAGCTTTGACAAATGGATAAACTGAAGTTAAATCTGTAGCATATTGACGTCCTGGGGAGCGCTTAATAACTGGCCCACCAGCTAGAAGTGGTCTATGATTATCTTCGTGCTTATATTGATAGTTTGGATGCCATGCGTGAGCATTATCTGAAGAAACAAGATATGACTTAGCAATGAAGGCTTCGTAATCCTCCTTTGGAATAACACGTCTGAAGAATGATTCCAAGAGGTTACTCCTTGCGCCAGTGTGAGTATCAGATCCGATTTCTTCATGATCGAAAACAACTAAAACATTGAATGTATCTTTTGGTGTACTGTTGATAAAGGCTTCAAGGCCGCAAAATGTTGAACCTAAGTTATCAATACGCTCTGATGCGACAAATTCGCCTTTTGTACCAACAAAAGAGGGTCTACGAGCATCTACGAAACCTAATTCGTATGATAGTATTTTAGAACGATCAATATTAATTTCTTTAGCGACGTAATCGATTAAATCTATTGAAGGATCAGCTCCGATAATTGGAATGCATGTTTTAGATGGAATGAAAGCAATTCCTCTCTTGCTATCGTAAAGATGTGGTTTCATACCATTTTCTGTTTGTTCGTATACAATACCTGCGCAACGAAGCTCTCTGTCCATAAATGTCTTCCAGAGACCACCACCGTATGTTGTAACTGCAACGCTTGGTGCTTTTCCTCCGAGTTTTTGATTTGGTTGAACTTTAAAGCATGGACTATCATCATGAGTGCCAACAATGACAGCTCCATTCATTCCACCTCTGTTCCATGCAACGAGGGCACGATGATCGCGAATAAAGAAGCCTTTTGCTGGAATTTCTTTCCATTCGTCTTGTTCTTGAAGTTCTGTATAACCTTGAGCTGTTAAAACTCCACGAGCATAATTACAGAATTGAAATGGGAATGGGCATTGATCGATGAAGTCAATAAACTTTTCGGCTGTAACTTGCATTGTCATGTGACGATTATTATCGTACCTTCATCTCATCTCTTTGATTTTTGATGTTTTTCGTAGACATAACTTAATTTCCTGTGTCAACAGCCAAATTTCATTTAGTGGAGCAGCAATAATTAAGATAATATGGAATAATCGTATTAGGTCAAATATAAACTAATCCTATTATTAATCAATCTGTATAGCAATAGTAATTATATGCTTCATTAGTTTTATTGTTGAAAGACAACAAAAAAAAACTCAAACCTCAATATTGATGTTTATCCTTTGTAAAATATTAACTATAGTAATTCATTGATTATTTATTTCTTCTCTATAAAGTTTTGTTTAATAATCATATCCATATATAGAATTGATACTTACATTTTGATTAGAATTAGGTGACATTCTATTATTTCCGAAGTTTGTCCATTGAACTAATATACATTTGATTTAAATAAAAGGTTCATTTATCTATTTAATAATGAATTGCTTTTCATATTAATGAAATTTGATTTTGATATGAAATTCTACAAGTTTGAAGAATTTATATGATGAAAAACCCTTTTACAAAAGAGTGTCAACTATATTTTAGATTAGTCACATAAAATCTCTATCATGTTTGAAATTTTACAAAAGAGGACGTTTCAAAATTATGAAATCAGCACGAAGAAACATCAAAACTTTATATGAGGATTTAAATAATCCTATAAGATCTAGAGATAGGAATCCTTTGCCACCTCCTCCAAAATCTGCGCGAACAATTAGTACAACTTCTCGTACAGCAAGGCCTTCATTTAATCCAAAAAACTTTCATCAAGTCGAAAATTCAACTGTGAGTGTCGAGAATGTTATAATTACTTCTAGAAAAGATAAAGAGGACCAAGTTCAAGCATTTATTGATGAATTTCATCCACCTCCGATTCAAATTTTACAAAAAATTGCACAAGTTAGTAAAAATCATAAGAGCGTACTTTTAAAAATAATTAACGAGTTAAAACAATACAAAGAAGAGAACCTTCATGAACCCGTTGCTGATTTATCAAACGATGCTATAACAAAAATTACTTCTTTACGCTTAAAAACAATTGACATGGATAGAGAAATAGATGAAAGTCGAAATTTAAATACAATACTTTATGAAGAATTGGAAGATGCAAAAAAGAAATTAGAAAAAGCTCAACAAGAATACAATAGGATTAAAACTGTCTATGATGCTTCATCATTTACTATATATGACTCTACTCGAAATGAAAAAGAAATACAAAAAGAACTTGATGCGCTTCCGAAAAAGCCAAGTCAAAAAGAAACAATGAAATATAATGCATTATGGGGTGAAAATAAACATTTAAAGTCGGAAATTCAAAAAACTCTGGACAAATTAGGAGAAGAACGTCAATATCAACTATCTGTCATTGCAAAGAGAGCAATCAAAGAAATACAATTAGAAGATGAAAATAATGAGAAAAGTTAAATAATTTTCCTTCTATTAATACACCATCCACAACAACAAATTATTCAAGGAGTAAAGTATATCTAATGATCTTTAATGCTTTACTTTCGATGAATTAGATATAAATGGCAATTTGCTTGAGGCCACAGCTATAAGAAATAGGAAATAAAATGATATATAGACAGCTCAGTTCAACTTGTACAAGAATTTTATTTGGTTGAAGTTTGGAGATTCTTCAACACAAATAATAAAAATGTGTTTTATTTGTTTTCTTGTATCTCAATTTTTTTTCGTGATTCCATAATAAAAACTTAAATTTAAGCGTTCTACATTCTCTTAACAACCATATTACGTGCTACGTATTGTTACTCAATATCTTTTTCTGCGCATAAATAATATCTTTTTGATAAGTAAAATGTGTCAAAAATTGAAGCTGTCAAGGAATTAAGAAAATGGTACCACTTTTTGTCATGCTCTCATAATAGTAAAAAAGTTCAACAGCAAATTAGGTACTATAAATTGAAATATTATGACTTTTCCGACCAGAAATAAAACTTTTGAGCTAAGAAAATTGGAATATGAAACTTGAATGCTAAAAAAAATTGAGTCAGAAAGTGGTAAATATGAGGGGAAAAATTATGGAGTTAAAAATTATTTGTTTATTTTTGTTGCAAAAACTATTTAATGAGATTGAATTTGTTATTAATGAAAAAATTAATATGCATCTTATTGATTAAGAAGATCGACAATCTTTCTGTAGTTGTCACTTTCGAATTGTTTTTCTTTTGCATAATCAATTGGTTTCATTCCTCCATTATCTATAGCATCTTTATTGCAGCCGCATTCAAGAAGATATTTAACTACTTCATAAAAACCATATCTTGATGCAACATTTAGTGGAGTGATTCCAGAAACATCTTTTTCATCTGGATTGCATCCTGCTGAAACAAGATATTGAATTGTTTCAAGATGGCCTTCTGTAGCTGCACAGTAAATGCAGTTTGAATTACCTTTTTGTTTAGAGTTGACATCACAACCAATACTTTTCAAATATTTAACTGTTTCAAGATGACCTTTTTGTGATGCACAAAGAATTGCATTAAATTTATTACTTTGTTTACGCCAATCCTTGTCAAAACCAGCTTCAATTAAATATTTGACAATTTCAAGATATCCATCGAATGATGCTAAAAGTAAACAATTACTTCCAGATTTTGTAACAGCATTCTTGTTGCAACCTCCTTCAATAAGAGATTTGACTAATTGAAGATTATTATCATAACATGCATAAAGAAGTGGAGTAAATTCATCAGAATCTCTGACTTCACTCAATTTAGCTGCACATGCAATAGACATTCTCAGTTTGTCACCTTGGTCTGAAAGTCCTTTAAGGTATTTGTAAACTGTATCAAAATCTGAATCCATTGGTAATTCAGCAAGCTTCGCATAATTGCTGATGTATTGATTCTCAAGATAATCAATTATTGAGTGTGATGATTTGAGTTTGAAAAGGTTGTCGTAGATTTGAAGAACATTAATGACATCTTCCATTGAATTAATGGAAACATCACATTTCCTAGAAAGTTTATATAGTTTACTTGCACCATATTTTGTTTTGCCTTGAGAAAGAAGTTTTGTGAAATCATTAGAATTAAGATTCGTTTTATCCATAACTTTAGGAATGGAATCTTTTTCAACTGTATCATAAAAATTACCTTGATCGATATATGTTTGGATATCGTTTGCAATTTGATTGATATCAAGACCTTGACTCATCAAATAAAAATGATTTTGAAAAGTTGTAATGTATTTAATAATTGACTCCGATACCGTTCATTAGAATTTATGACATGATAACTAACTATTCATTATTTTGTATATTTCAAACATCTACAAAAATCCGTATTAACCGATATTCTATTTCAAGAATCATGATTTTGAATATTTCACGCTTTTGAAAAGTTGTAAAGTATTTAATTATATGTTCCGATACCGTTCATAAGAATTCTATTTCAAGTATCATGATTTTGTCTATTTCATGATTTTGTCTATTTCAAGAATTATTTTTATTTTTTGGCAGTTTGCCAGTGGTTTGAATGGATACTGATAATGTTTTGCATGAGAAAAGGACTCATATTTGAGGTATAGATAGAATTGATCACTTATACTAGTTCAATAAATGTAACCGAATAATCAATGAAAGAAAATTTAGGGTGTATCGCCTTAGACAATAATTTTTTACCAAGCTTTATTCGAAAGATGAAAATGGGAAAACTGCTCTTCAGTATGCAGTAGACAAGAATAATATAAAAATTGAAGAACATAATTTAAAATATTTTATGAATTAATCATTAGAGTTTTTCAGTAACAATAGTTCCACCCCATTCGATGACTGTGAATCCATCACGTTTGAATACAGGAAGTTCTTGTGGTTCAATGTCACATGGATTGTCAAGAGGGAGAGCTGCGAAGAAGACTCTGTTGATGTTGTCTGGCTTTGGTTCGACATTCATTGGACACATCTCATCAAAGTTTTCGAACTGGAAGCAGATTTTGATGTATTTGTAGCCACAAAGTTTCGGACCCCAGTATGTAATGAAATCGCAAATCTCTGTGTCGTTGAGATTCATAGACTTGAGTCTTTCCTCGAAAAAAGAAACACTCTCTTTGCCTTTAATGCAAAATCCTCTGTCCAATTTGAGATTTGGATAGAATAATGTTTCCCAGAATAGGTATCTCATCTTCTTTCCTCTGTGAATGATCTCGCCTGATGGTAGTGCTTTGATATTCCATGTATTCTTTTCATCAAATGAAGGATAAACAAAAGAAAAATCACCATCATTGATTTTGATATTTACCTTTGCCTTTATTTCTTCTTTTGGATACAAATAAATCACTGGTTTTGCACCACGAAGTCTTAACACAAGATGTATTGTACCTCCATAACGAATTCCATAGTTTCTAAGAGTCTTTTTATCTTCAAGTTCCATACCGTTATAAATTAATCTTTGTTGATCAGGAGGTATACCTTCTCTATCTTGGATCGAATTTTTAAGATCCTCTACTTTATTATTGAGATCAAAATCAGTGATTACAATATGTAGGCCTGTCAATGTCTTAACATACAATCTTCCCTTTCGAATACATGGATAATGATGAATTCTTGGCTTTTCATTTTCTTGAGGCAATACTCGAACATCTGTTTGGCTGAGATTGTTCTTGAATACTGAAAATACTGAATCAAGAAGACGTATTCCAAGTACCGATGAAATTGTGTCAGAAACTTCAATGGCTTGTTCTTTGGTTGTAAATTCATTTGTGCGTGCACAAAGAAGCATCATAAGCATGTTTGCTTTGCCATGATATCTTGATAAGTTCGTAAATAATGTTGTGAATTCACAAGGACTTAGTTTTGCATTATTAAGAATTTTGCACATCTGTTGAGGAGTTCTTGCAGCCAAGAATTCATCATTATCCATGTATTTAGATATGTCAGCACCAATTTCTTCCCAATCAAGTTCCATGGATAGCTATTTTAAAAAATGAAGTTGCCTCAGAAATTTTGATCGAATAAACAGTTATAACAAATACTCGGTTTTACCTATTATATCCTTTAATAGGCCTCTTAATGTGACTTTTGCAAAAAAATACCAAAAAGACGATAAGAGAATTTCAAAAAAAAGTTTACCAAAATTTTTCAAATCACTTTTCTCTTTACAAGTTATAATTTGACATGTTAAAATATATAATACGTTTATTAGTAATGTTCATTATGGATGTTTTTAAGCCTTATCATTTCCGAAAAATATGATACTAATACATTTCGCAGTTTGTTATGAGATTATTGCATAATTTATAAATTTGCTAGTTGGGCAGCATACGGTGATGCCCATAAAGTATGATTTCAAGCTAAATTAGATTGTTCAAATATCTGACGATTGTAAATTGAGAGGGGAAAATTTTTTAACCTCTTTTTTTGAGCCTTCACAATTTTCCCGATCGTGTAAAAAAAATTTTCAATTCACAAAAATGTCTGAGTTCGAGACATGTCCTAATGAGGAACTAATTGCAGATAATCTTGCCTCATTTTCTGGAGACTTATTTACAGCATCAGATATCAAGCGATTCTTAGAAATTGCCACTTATGACAAGCCAAATTCAATCAGATTGCCTGATATTGTAAGAGCAATGACATATTATGATAGATGCATTCACCGCTATTATAAGACTGATTATAACGAGCCACTTAGAAATTTAATCAATGGCCCTGATATCCGTGTTGCTGTAGAATCGAATCTTGAATGGTTTAAGAACATAGCTATTTTTGAAGAACTTACAGAATCAATTGTCGAAGATGCAGCGGTCCGTTTAATGAGAATCTTAGCTGTTCTTTCTCTTGATAACTCCAAGTATAAATTCACTAAATCTGATGAAAGAATTGTCATGATTTGCTACGTTATTGCTCTTTGTTTCGCTCGAAGAGGAACACTGACAAATTATTTTGCTGAAGCATTTGCTTTTCATATGAGCAATGCCATTTTGTCATCGTTAAAACTCCAACGTGAAATTATTCGAATGAACGCAGACCAAGACTACAGCGATGATTTCCGTAAGTACTTCAAGAGGTTTACAGGAGATTCACCACAAAAATGCAAAGAAGCCGGCGTTGATCCAATGAAAATTTATGATGAAATGATTTGGACAATGTTCACTAATACTCATGATAATGGAGATTGTTTACTTCTCATTTTCGATTTAATTATACTCCATTTGAGAGAATATAGACATTACACAAATTATCTTGTTGCAGCCCATTTCAAATGGTATGTTGAACATGGTGGACGTCTTGAAACAGATAAAATCATTCCTGATGTTCCATTTGATTCAAACAACCTCGTTATTTCAGTTGATATCATGAAAGAATACAAAGAAGTCAATTACGTTGAAACTTTCATAAATTCAATGTGTCCGTGCTTCCAAGGTTTCAATATCTTGTTTGGAAATAGAAAGGTTAAAAAAGATTAAATATTATTTATTATTATCATTCATCATGATGTTCTAAAGTTTTATTATTTACTACACTTTTGATTGGTCAAATATTACTTTAATTTTTTGAGAATTTGAGTAAAAATTGATTCAAATTTTAATTAATAAGAACTTTTATTCAAAGAATGGATTGTAAAAATGTGAAACTTTGAAAAATATATACATTTGAATCTAGCTTTCTTAGATTTGGTTACTGATTAACGCAATTGGATCAAAATCTTTTGAAGTTTATGATTAAATTTTTGGAAAGTTAATCTGTTATAAGATTAAAAGCTATATTTATCAAAAAAATTATAATATGTTGATTGGATTTGAAATTTTTAATTGATAAACGTGCACGAAATTCTTCCAATGAATAAAAATCAGCTATATCATAAGGAAAGGAAGAAGAATATATACCTAAAAGCCAAAATTTGGAGAGATTATTACAAGCTTAAAGGAGCTTTAATGAGAATGCAAATAGAAAACAAAACAATTGAAGAACAATTGAAAGCTGAACAACAAAAAAACATCGAAATATTTGCATTGTACGAAGAAAAGATACAGAAATTAACAGAGATTGTTGATTCGTTACCAAATAGAGGATTAGAAGAAAATTCAAATCCGAATAAACCTGTTAGAAGAGTAAGATGGAGATTTGATGATTTAGAAGTTGAAACCAAAGCATTACAAAGTGAGTCAGAAAGAGTAATTCAACATTTGCAAGATCCAATTCACATTCGAAAACAATTTATCGATTACAATCAATATAGATATATGAACACTAAAGAAAACATGTCAATTCACAGTACAAAAGTAGATAAACCACAGAAACAGTATAAGAAAGAAATTATTTTGAATACTCAACATATTTCATTCGATATTCCACCAAATGAATTAGATGGCGATATAACAAGTCCATTACAATCTTCATACGAAGAAGAAGATAATACTGAGAATGATAATAATATTGATGATTTTCAGGAAGAAAGCGGTCATACATTTTCTGCAGATGAGTTACCACCTGATCTTAGAACACCTCTTGTCAAGCATTCGTCATCAAAAGGCTCCGCGAACTCATTAAAAGAAAATTCGAAGGAAAATTCAATAGAAAATAATTCTCAAATCGAAGTCAATAGTCATAACTCTATCAACAAATCAGTGAATAGTAAATCTGCTGATCTCAGTTTAGATAACATTCAAAATTCTCCTAAAAATCAGAGCAAATCGAATTCTCAAATTAGCTTATCTGGTGGCAAGTCTCTTAGTAAATCCAGTTCTCAGATTAATTCTAATAGCAAGAATTCTGGTGTTAAGTCACCAGAAAATTCTCAAATCAAATCTATTGAAAAAATTTCTCCAATTCAATCGAGTAATGAAAAGTCTCTTAATAAATCAGGTAATAAATCTCAAATTAAATCAGAAAATAGTGCTGTAAAGACTTCTCCCAAAAATAATCCAAATTCTGTCCCAGAAGTTGAAAATTTGCAATCACAGCACGGATCTTCAATATCAAAGAGCATTAAAGGATCTGTTTTCGATGATGATGAACCACTTGATCTTTCATCTCCGCCGAATATCCAAGATACTCCTGATAGTTCACCGAATAGTGGGGATAAACTTACAAGAACTCCAAGTACTGATGGAGAAATATCCCCGATTACTTCATCTTCGCCTCCTTCAAATGTTTCACAATCGACCAATAAAACTAATTCAAATATCCTTGCCGAAGACCATGAAATTGTTAATGGAAGGGATATATCATTCAATCCTAAACCGATATCCATGGGAGATTTCGATAAAACAGAATCAGCAAGTGAAAATAAGTCTATTGAACAAATTCAGCCGAAGAAACAAGAAAAAGTCGAACAAATTGAAACAAAAACAACTCCAAAGAATACAAATAGTTTCACTGGAACTCTTCCTTTCCAAAACAAAACTCCTTCGTTCAATATTACGCCAGGAAGTACCAGTTCTCCTCAAATGTTGCCAGAAAGTTCATCAACTGTTCCTAGCTTCATGAAAGACAGTTCTTCAATTCCAGGAACGCCAAACACTCTCAGCAGCACTCCTACTTTCATGCAGTCCAAATCTCCAACGCCAAACAACACTCCAACAGATAAACAAAAAGAAGAAAAGAAGAAAACTCCGGAACAAAACAAAGTTGAAGTTACAAGTTCAACGCCATTACCCAATAAGTCGCATAATGCATCTTCTTCAACTCCATTGCCTGAGAAAGAGAAGAAATTTGCTGCAACTCCGATTATTGGCGAGAAATCTGTTTCAACTCCGAAATTCATATTGGAAACACCAGGAAATTCTGTTTATAGATCTAACACAGAACCTGATTTCAGCCAATCAGATGGAAACGGGCTGAGTAGAGAGTCAACAATTCCAGATTTCATGAAATCTGATGTAACTCCAGCTGGAACTCCGAAAATCAGTAGAGAATCAACTGTTCCTGACTTTATGAAGTCAGAAAGCCCTCAATCACAGGAAGCAAATAGTCCAAACAATACAGCAAGCACAAGTATAAATATGCCAAGCTATTCCAACATGGATTTCACTCAGCAATCAAATTATAGTGTAGGTGTTTCAAGCTTCTCATCAAAAGAGAATAAAAACGACCTTTCTCTATCTAAAAGTAGAGGAATTTATGAAAATCCATTATTTACCAATCTTGGAGTAGGAGAGCTGCGAAACAATTATGGCCACTTTGAGCTTGCAACTTCAAGTAGTGGATTTGCTTCTTCATTAATGTAATTTGTTTGTAAATTTAAAAATTGTTATTTTTTATTTATTTGGAAACCTAAAATAAAAATAGTTTTATATAAATGAATTAAGTAATGAATAAAATATCAGATACATGGCAATTCATATACGTTGATAATCTGATCGTAATAATCAACTGGTTTTATCGATTTTCCTTTCATTTTTTGAGATATCTCACTGAATTTAAATATAATTTCTCAAAATTGCATCGGTTAATAAATAAAATTTTTATATACTTAATATCTGTTTTATAATTTTTAAACTTATTATCAAATTAATTTTTACTTAATTCAAATTCAAATTCAATTATCCTATGAAAGACGTTATACATTATTAATAATCACAAATCCTGAACTGATTATAATGGTCAAATAATTACTTTTCAGATATAACTCAAAAGTTGTAAAATTATTTGTATATGTTCGGCTATTTTAGCGAAATTTCATTACAGCATGAACTGACAGCACTTTTATTAAACTTAAATATAAAATACGTTATCATCCAAAATTCCTTTTATTGGTATTGTCTACATATATGATATAAATCTTTATTATAACGGATTTGAATACTATTCAAAAGTTCTTTTCGATAAACAAAATACTTCTCTGATTTACTATTTAAAAATGAATTGAGAATCAGATACAACCGATTTTCAATTTCAATGGTTTGATAAAATTGAATTCTTTCTAAATTTAAATTAATTGTTTGCATTCTTTGCATCTTATAGTGCATCATTATATTATTTTCAAAAGCGCAAAGATGAGATAGTTGATCATCAGGTCGAATATAAACTGTAAGGCTTTACAAAAAAACCCTCTTGTTCAATTAATGACAACAAATATTCATGCGCAGTGCCATCATCTGGCAAAATTCAACTATATCAATCAATTGAGTATAATCTTGATGTTCCTATTGAATCAATGGAATTTTTCTGTCCAGGTTCTGGTGGATATTGCACGCTTTTGGCAGAACCTCAATATGGAGGATATCAATTCTCACTGAACGTAAGTGCAGGAAGCTCCGTAAAGAAGACAATTTATCCATCAATGCCGGAAAGAGTTTATAATATGAAATGCTACATAAATTTTGTAAGTAGCACAGATTATTTTGAGAGTCCATATTTTATAGAGCACAGATATGAAGGTGAACTATCAGACTTTTCACAAGGAGTAAAAACAGCAATAAAACCAGGCGTTTCCAGACTTTCCATGGAAATTGATCCTTCAATGGGACCCATAACACTCGCAACCATATCAGTTACTAACCCACATCATATTCTACGTAATGTTGTTGATCCGAATCAAAGAGTCGATGGATCTTTTATCCGTGAAATGGTCATTCCTTTTGTTGCAAACGCAACACATATCATTGGCATTGATATCCTTAATTCAGATTTTATGCATCACTGGACATGGGCCAAAAGGTACGGCAGTTCATTTAATGAATCATATATGTATATTTCTATGCGACCACTCAAGAAATTTACTATTTCTTACATAATTATGGCAAAGAAATCCGTTTCATTCCATGATGCTGCAGAGCAATGGCATAAGACTTTCCCTGAGATATACGATATGGTCGAATACGAAGCAGGTTCATATGCTCCTCAGCCATATATGACGAAGTGGGCAGGTAAAGAAGACGAGCTTATAAACACCTTCCTTGGTAGATTCCAAACAGGTACATTTTCAGGCGATAAGTTGGAGAATGTTTCATATTTCAAGAGAGTCAGTCCAACATATGTATATGCGAATTATGCAAACAATGCAGATTTTGATTCAAACTGTGTCGAAACAGATACCAACTGCACTTTGATTAAAAACAACCCAATTATCAACAGTGATGGCAACAGAGTTATCTTCAGTAATACGGCTTCTTCATCGAAACTTCCATTGGTTCCACCGCAATCGGTTTTAGATGTTACAATGTCCGAATATAACGAAAACATTGATAAATGGTCATACAATGGCGCTCACCTTGATTATACTAATATGAGAATTGCCAACTATGATTTGACACATGCTGAAGAGTTCACACCTTATACATTAATCGACACCACTAATGGTAAAGAATGTTACAATATGGTAATGACAATGTTCCCTCTTGTCAAGAAACTTGTACAGAAATCACCAAAAGGAATTATGATTTCAATGACAAATGTCCCTCCTTAGATTGCTCAATTTGTCGCTTGTAGCACAGATTCTGTTAATATGGGTAATATTAATGATTTGTTTACTAATGATAATAAGGATGTTGTTTTCGGAAACAGATATTCACTTGGATCAAGAAGAACTTCAATTGTAGATAATGTTGGCAAATTGAAAGATGATTTATTTTCGGCTTGTTTGGCAGCCGGATGTATTCCATCATATAATTATTGGAATGATCCTACCTATATGGAAAAAAATCTGAAGCAATCTTTTGAATTATACCTTCCAATATATGAAGAGCTATATCACAACCACTCATTTATGGCCAACGGATATAACAAGTTTTCAAACGCACCAAGTACTTTTTACTCTACATGGTGTGCAAGAGATGGAAGTGGTCATTGCTTTGCATCATTTCTGATGGGTTCTCCAGGTAAATTTACAGTTGATGTTCAAGATGTGAAATCATGTAAGTTTACAGCCCCTGGTACATCTTGCGAGGTAAAAGGAACTAACAAAGTTCAAGTTGGTACAACTATTCCATATAGAACAGTTGTTGTTGAATATTGGACAAGTTACATGTATGATCCAGTTCTTTTCCCTGATGAAGATCCAACGCCAGAAACTGCTGAACCTGAAGAAGAACCACCAGAAGAAATTCCAGAACCAGATCCAGTACCAGAAGAAGAAGATTCAGAACCAACACGCGAAGAACAGCCAGAAGAAGAACCAGAAGACAATCCAGATTCAGAACCAACACGCGAAGAACAGCCAGAAGAAAAGCCAGAAGAAAAACCAGAAGATAAGCCAGAAGAAAAACCAGAAGATAAGCCAGAAGAAAAACCAGAAGAGCCTAAACCTACTATTGAAGAGCATAAGCCATCAGAAAACTCAGAGTCTGTCTCAACTCATAATGTTGGTGCTGATGGAGGAGATATTGATAAAAAGAAGCAAAAGAAGAATGGAATCATCATTGGAGCTGTTGCCGGTGGACTCCTGTTCTTAGCTCTCCTTGCAACAACACTATTTTTCGTTCTTGCAAAGAAGAGAGATGATAGCGAAGAAGAAGAAGAGCAGATGGATCAAGTCCAAGTTGATGATGCTGAAGATGGCACGGTCATCGATCCAGACATGATGTCAATGCAAGTTGATAGTAGCCAATCACTTCAGAATATCAGTAATTATATTGATTCTGTCATGATTGGTGATGAAGGAGAAAGTATTGATTTTAATGTTCCTCAAGAATAATATTCTAGTCCTTTTGTTTAAACTGTTTAATTTTAAATTTTTAATTTTATTCACAGAATTTGATTTTTGGGATAATTTTTGATTCTCAAATTTTAAAAAGTGTCAAAAAAACGTATTACAAATTTTTAGCTCCTGTGGCCTCTCAAGAGGCCCCTTATAAAACGAACCCGAAGAAATATTCTGGGTTTATTTCGCATATTAAAGGTGAAGCCGAACAAATGAAGCAAATTCGAGAAAATGTTTTGAATGAAACAAAAAGTACAAATGCAGTTTATTCTCATCTTACGAATAGGAGCACCAAAGTTATATATGGTGCGCCTCCTAAGACCACATCTACAACTCAAAAATCAAGTCCATCAAAGTTACCAAAACTTATTCCAAGATCACAAACAAAACAAGAAACGAGATCAGTTATAAATGTTTTGGAACCAAATTCCGAGAACAATTATAACTTTCCAAAGAGAAAAACCGCTGCTTCCCGAATTTATAATCCTGATCGATTAAAGATTTACGATATCGGTCATCGGGAGAAAGATATAGCTGTTCTCTCGGGAGCCAGGTTTTCTGAAGAGTCTTTAATTACAATTTAAGAAAATTTTTCTTATCTGTTTGTTTGTACCATTAAATTAAAAATTGTTATGATCTATATTAGTATTTAAAACGTAAATTCGATCTGTCATGAAAAATTGAAAAAAATTATTTTCCATAATTAAAAAAAACTTTATTCAAAGATGGCGAGAACATCATCTTCGTTCATAATTGTATATTCCTTGCCTTCAACTTTAACGTTTTGGAAGCCGAAATCGGGCATCAAAACTCTTTGGCCTGGTTTCATATGTGTTGGTTTGAAATGGCCATCTACATATGATCCTGGGCCAACAGCGAGAATTGTAGCTTGATTTGGAACTTTTTGTGCAGATTCAGGGATGTAAAGATTTCCTTGCTTTGTTTTCATTTGCTGATCGAATTCTACAATGAGACGGGAGCCAAGTGGCTTGATTGGAAGCTTCTTTGTTGCAAAGCGAAGTCCAAATGATGCAAGCATTTAAAAATGTCACTTTTATTAAAAGTGACAAGATTTTAAGTGGCTAGATAGATTTTGAATACAAGGAACCGAATATTGAATATGTTCGATCTCACATATAGATTGGCTATATAGTTGTGAAATTAATTTTCAATTATCGCAATCAATCTCAATTTCTCCAAAAATATTGATGTATTTTCGATGTTACACTACTTTAACTCATTTCCTTTACTATTTCTACTGTGTAATTATGTTTCATGCATATAATTAATTTCAATCAATCCAAATTTCTCTTATTTGATTTTAAATTGCATAATGCTAGGTTCCTACACCATTATATAGATTTTGTCACTTTTTGCGCCCAGCGTTCCATGTGTACATTTTACACATGCAAAGTTAATTATTAAGATGATAATGAATCTGATTTGACACATTTCAGTGTCAAAAATCTCAAATGACACGATATAACAGAACAGCATGATATTTCTACTTAAATTCATTTCTCTTGTAAATTCAAGAGTATGGGGATGTCGTGTTACATATCTTGATGAAAAGATTGATAATATTGAACGGGATTATTCAACCACAGATTTACTTTCACTTGTAGATCAAATTTCTAACGATTTCCATTTAGAAAGAGATAGAGTTGAAGCGTATTTAAGACGCAGCAGATATGCGTCTTTTGTTAAATAGCTTTTCAACAGGATTGATTTTAACTTGCGCGCAAAATATCGTAGAGCAGTCTACCTTGGTGGCACGGTTATTAAAATAACTAAGACTAATGGAGTATATACTGTAACTTGCCACCAGGTAAGTATCAGTGCAATCCTTTGCCCTGAAGGCTTGTGTAAATCTTTAGCGCATTTCCACATAATAAATAGTTACTAATATCTTTTATGGTATTGCATGGAATGATCCACTTTTGGCTGCTCAAATCACTCAGATCTACTATGATTTGAACAGAAAAATTGAAGCCAAACTCAACGCCTACAAAGCCATTTAATAAAATACTTTTAAAAAATATCTTAAAATGAGTTTTATTTTCAATCCATTATCTTTGTATATTATGCTTTCTGTGAAATAAGAAGTTCAGCTGTCTCTTTACTATTATAAATGGCTGCAAAATGAAGAACTGTTTGTCCAGAATTATCTTTTTCATTGATATTTGCACCATGGGAAATAAGAAGTTCAGCTATCTCTTTACTATTATAAATGGTTGCAAAATGAAGAGCTGTTCTTCCAGAATTATCTTTTTTGTTGATATTTATGCCATGTGAAATAAGAAGTTCAGCTGTCGCTTTACTATTATTTATGGCTGCAAAATGAAGAGATGTTTTTCCATCTTCATCTTTTTCGTTGATATTTGCACCATGGGAAATAAGAAGTTCGGTTGTTTCTTTATTATTTTTAATGGCTACTTTATAAACAGCTGTTCTTCCACAATTATCTTTTTCATTGATATTTGCACCGTGAGAAATAAGTAGTTGAGCCATTTTTACATTATTTGCATATGCTGCAAAATGAAGAGAAGTGAATCCTAATTTATTTTTTTATTGACATTTGCACCATGTGAAGTAAGAAGTTCGACTATTTCTGAGTTATTTAAATCCGCTGCATTAAGAAGGGGGGTGTTCAAATTTTGATCTTCTGCGTCGATAATTGCGCCGTATGAAATAAGAAGTTCGGCTGTTTCTTTACTATTTCTAAGAGCTGCAACACGAAGGGTATTATGATATCCTGGAGAATTGATTGTTGCACCATGGTTAATAAGAAATTCAACAGTCTCTTTACTATTATTTCTTGTTGCAATTTCAAGAGCGGTTTCTCCATATATATATTCATTGACATTTGCCCCAAGTGAAAGGAAATATTCGCAAAGAGATGGATTATCAAACATCGCAGAATAAATAAAGAATTCGTTAACTTCATTAGTTTGATCAAAATAAACTAAAAATGATTCAAGATTATTATAAAATCCACAAGTACCTATTTCGATCTCTAAATTGTACTCATTCATCAAGAATGTAACAAAATCAATGTTGTGTGAAATAATTGCATATTCCATGCATTTATAATCAGGTTCTTGATATTTCAAACATTCACTCATTATCTCTTGATTTCTTCCTAAAAATGAGAATTGTAAACATGTTTCAGTTATTTCTGAATAAAATTTGGTCCTTAAGAATTTGAAACAATCAACTGCTCCATGGTAACAACATAATTCAAGTAATAAATATCTTTGATAAGAAGATGGATATAATTTACTAAAAAGTTGTTGATTTTTATCAAATTCTTCTCTTTCTGTGAATGAAATGAATGTTTCTAAGTCATTATACATAATTGCTCTGTAAATCGTATTCTCTGAATGAATATCGATATTTTCTAATTTCATTTCTTCAAAATTAGCATTTTTATCTAATTTAATTCCATACTCTTTATAAAAGAGGAATGCCCAGGTGATTGGAATATCTCTAACTTCTGTTAAATTATAGCCATCAGTAATGAGTTTCATTAGAGTCAAGTATGACTTTATATAGCGATTATTATATGGAATAATTTTTGAAATATGTTTAATTATGTTTTGAGGAGAGCATTTCTTTGAATCAATCAAGTTTGTTTTGATCATTTTGTAAATCGAGTTTAAATCTTCTTCGTTTTCCGTTTTTAACTGATACAATGCAACATATATATCGATGTGATATTTAAACATACTTCTCAATACACTGTATTCATTTGGAAGATTGTCTTGATCTGACATTAAAAAAAATTATTTAAAAGTTTTCAATTTTTTATACATCATGAGTCCTGTGTATTTTGCAAAATCTGGAATTTGTAAAGTTTCAAATCTGCATCATGGTTGAGGATCTAAACGACAGATTTCCAAATAAATAGGATAAATAGAATCAGTAGGCTCCAAATATGAATGATATGATCTTAGTTTGAAAAGTTACTAAAAGAATAAAAAGATTTGTGAATTACATTTTAATTTCAATAATTTTTATCAATTACTCATCGTGTTATGATTTGCATATCAAATTTAATTTCAAATTTAAGTAAATAACAATATTCATAATTTGGATTTCAAATTTATGTATAATTGAAGCTTTTGAATGAAACCATAATATTTCCAGCTTACGTGATTATCGTTTATTATGTAATATCTGGTTTCTCAGTTAAATAATAGATTTGAATTCTTACTTTTGAGAATTTAACTGAAAATAATATAATGAAAATGGATCACTACAGAATTATTTTATATTCAATAAACCATTTTGCGAAATGGTGGTTCATATCATCTTACAAATTTCTTAAGAAGTCTTAAGAATTGGAAATAAAACTCTTTTTAAAATATTTTTATGCATGAATCTGTATGAAAGAGATATAGTAATAATGCCTGAACACCGAAAAGAAAATATTTTCCATTTCTCTATAGAGAATCTTGAAGACATGCATCCTATTGGGTGATTGTAGTCCAATCCATATTGTTCTATGTCATATATATGCAAAAGTATTTTGAAGGTGCATTGGCAATCGTTGCTAAAAAAAAAGAGTCTGTTTACACTTCCACTTTTTTTGTAATAATAATAAAAAAAAATGAATGAGCGTCAACTATTAACGGAAATTAGACTTCAACAAAATAAAAGTACTACTCCTCTTCAACTCATGACTGAACGAGAATTTCGATACTTTTTATTTCATTTACTAGACAAACCAAGAGAATTTGGTGATTTTATCAACACTTTGTCGACATACAAATATTCAGAAATGATCAAATTAGAACAACAATCTCGTGGTGAATCAGCTTTTGCTAAAATTCTTCGTATTTACACTGAAGGCGAAAATCCGTTATCTATCTCAACACCTCTTACAATGGCAGAAAGACGATCATTCATACTTGATTTGATTCCAGAATCATTGCAAACTACAAGAAGTCAAATTTCAAAAATGAATTTATCAAAAGAAGTTTTTGAATCGTTTGCACAAACATTTGGATATTATCATAATCTTAGCATTGAAAATGAAAACTTAGCAGATCGAATTAAAGAAGTTGTTAGCTTAAAACGAGGAGCTCCAGCCCCTGTTGAAAGTTTATTAACAACTGCAAGATCAATTCCAACTCTTACGCCAAGATTATCATCACGATCAACTCCAATATCATTTAATACATCTTCTGCCATGACAATTCAACGTTCAATCGCAATGTCAACAACAGATTTTAGAGATACTTCAAAAAGATCATGGACTGCTAAAACAAGGAAAATTGAAGTAGAGAGAAAGCCACAAGTAGAAAGAAAAGCGAAAACTGTAAAAATTAAATCTCGAGACGTTTTGAAGCCAAGTGTTGCTAGTTTGGTGAAGGCTATTGATTTAGAAGAAGCTAGAACTATGTCGATCGAAGAATTAAACAATATTATTCAAGATCGCGAAAAACAGATTATCCATAATAAGCAGGAAGCTGCCACACTATCTCAGAAAATTACTTGCCTCAAGAGAGATTGTATTAATCTAGAGGATGAAATCTCTTCCCTTGAATCACAATATGAGTCATATCTTGCAGCTGCTGAGCAAAGAAAACAAGAAGAAGAACAAGAAAAGATTCATACTTCTAGAATGTATAGCTCAAGAAGGCGTGAAGCAAATGAAATTACTCATCAACTTCAAGAAGCAATTGAAGAAAATAAGAAATTGAAGAAGCAGCTATCAGGATTACAGTAACCGTAATTAATTGTTTTACTATATTTATATCTATTCTTTCACCATTGAAATTTTCATTATTTTTTGTTTATTAAAATATTAGATTTATTGTTTCATTTATATATTTTTATGGGGAACACACCTATATTTACTTAATAAATTAAACAAAATTCTTCATGGAAACAAATCAGAATAAACTTGACCTATTTTATTGGAATATTGATTCTATATTAGCTTACAATGATGCTTGCGTCCCAAAAATATATGGATCTTTCACATTAATAATGATAATTTAATTATCTTGAATAAAATAAATCAATATTGAGATAAAATAAAATAATTATTGCGATAGATTCTTTTTATAATATATTTGTAATTTCAAATTTTAGTTTCAAATTATTTTTGATGCGAATTTTAATTATTTTTGAATTAATCTTTAAAAATTTGAATATTTTCGTGATTTTTGAGATATGAAATAAAGATGATTTACTATTATTTTTGATATTACCTATATGAAAGTATTCGTTTAATTATATTGATTAGCATTTAATTGTTTTTTACAATGAATTTATGCTCAAAATTCCTTGAAATATAGTTTATATTTTAGTGTTTGACAGAAAAATACTTCTGTATCAACAAAATCATATTACTTCTAGAGTTAAAACAAATAGGTTAAGTCATTTATTAATATTATTAAAGTATTTCATATATCATTAATAAGTTTAATTATTAGTATATTCTCATTAATAATATTAGTAACAGTTGATAGAAATACAAAATTAATTTGCATAATACTTTATTCAATAAACAATTTATTAATAGTACTTTTCAGTTTTCTGAAAAAGCTTGGCGAAAGAATTGACAATTGTTGCAGAGAAACCAAAGCTTCCTTCTTCATTCCGAGTTTCAACTGAATAATTGACAATAATCTCAAAATTTCTCTATCATTTTGATTTTTCGCGACATTGTTAAGAGCCTGTAAAGCCAATCCATAATCTTCTTCTCTATTATTCTTTATAATCTCCATTACCAGATTTTTGACAATTGGAGCAGATCTGTTGAATTTCTGGTAGGCATCCTTAGCAGCTTCATACGTACTCATTGTTCTCATTGCGTTGAACAAGTAGACAACAGGATCAGATAAAGAATGAGGCACATCTAATTTAGATCCCTTCGGAATGACCTCCAAAACGCTCTTTTCGAGGTCAAGTGAATATGAGCAACTGGAGTTCTCGTTGATCATCGATAAAGTGATCTCTCCAGCTTCTGTCCTGTTTCCGTTTATTATCTTTTCCGCGGCTAATTGTAAAGATTTCAAAGGTTCATTTTCTTCCTTTTTATCGATTTTGCTGATTTTAGATTTGGAGTTGAGGAGATTCAGTCTCTCAATCCTTTCTTTGTCATCTTTGTTCGCAAAAAGAAGAGCAAAATCGTATTTTTTGAGAGCTTCGAACGCAAATGAAATTGCGTTAGTATCTTCGCCCATAAATGAGAAGTTTAAGGCATCAGACGTTTCTCCACTCATCAAAGCAAAGAGTGGCAAATTTGGAATAATTAATCTGGACGATCCAAACTCGAAAGCGATCTTAGATGCATCGAATCGATTAACTTTCTCGGTTTTGATCAAAATTTGCCATACATCTGGGTCGTAAGGGTTAAATGATCTTGCTGCATTCGTTGCTGTATCAAGGAGCTTCTCATCATCGATAAGAAGAGCAATGGCAGCAACACAGGCGTAAGATCTTGCCATTTCCATAGACGTAGCGAGCTTTGCGGCAACACATAAGCAATGTCTTGCGTAAGAGTACTGTTTTGAGAGAGCAAAGGATATTCCAAGGCTCATCCAGACTCCTGAGTGGTCTGTAAATGATTTTACAGCTCTTCTGAGAACGAGTGTTGCTTGGTCAGGTAAATCTTTGAGATTAAGAACACGAGCGAGGTCTATGAATGCTTCTGCCCTCCTATCTATCTCGCAACGCTTCATGAAACATACTTGGCCTTCGTTTAAGAAAGATTTATCCTTTTCAATCAGAAATTCTTCAACAAAATAGTCGCCACAAAGCTTTAGAACGCTGCTCTGAGATCCCCATATTTGTACAAACTCGCGAACTAATGGAAGTACATTTAAGGTTAAAAAGTGACAAGTTTCAAATCTACCAAATCTTTGAAACATTCGAAGTTTGGTAATTACTTGCTGTAAGTACGCAGTAAATCTCAGAGGGTTCTCTTTCAAGCTATATTCTTCCTTCCATTCGAGTGGAGCTTCGAATAAACTGTTTAATTGGAACTCCAAATCCAAATCTGGCTCTCCGTGCTTTCTTATTTCTTGTGCGACACTCATTGCAGCTTTAGCACGTCCAAGGACCACGTAGGACTGTCCAAGAGCCGACCACGAAGTTCTTCTTTCAGGATTAAATTTCAAATCTTTCTGAAACTCTTCGCAAGCTTCTTCATGTCTTCCCAATTTCTGCAAAATCAATCCTGCCCTGAAGTGTGACCAATCACTATCCACTTTTTGGCAAAGATTTAAACTTTCCTCGAATTTACCTTGTTTTGCAAGATTTCTGCTTGTCATTTCCAAAGCAGACTTATCTTCCAATCCCAAATCATACGCTTTCTGGAACAGAAACACCGCTTTCTCCTCATCTTTCTTGTATTCCAGTAAAAATTTACCAAAATACAAATAACCTCTTGGATCATTTTTATCTGCTTTCATTGCATCGATGAAATACTTTTCGCATGCATCGCCCAATTCGTCTATCATATTATAAGCTGCTTCCGCTTTCGCTACAATGATTTTTGGCGAATCAGATTTGCAATTTAATATGTTTTGGAGTCTTTTCTTGTTTTTGTCATGTCTGTACATAAGGAGATCGATCATTGTGCGTTCCTCTTGTGTGATGACATTATGGACATCATCTTCTAATAGTTTCTCGGCTTCTTGGCCGCGCCCGAGTCTGATCAAAATTCTTATTAACAAAGGAGTGCCTTTACATGGATCATTCTTGATGATTTCGTTTATAATATTGATGGCTGATTGCGTATCACCAAGTTCTTCTTTCGTTTCGCTGAGTTTCACTAATAATGGAACATAATTTGGAAATTTCATAATTGCATCGTTAATTGCTTGAAGACGAACAGTAGGATCGTTAATAAGATTGATGTAATACATCCAGCCACTGACAAAAGGTGGAATTACCATTAAAGAATTCCTTAATAAAGTAAGATCTCGTTTTTTAGCCGCTCTGACAAAATCTTTGAAGATATAGGAACCTCCAGCAATATGCTTTTCGGCTGATTGTAAGGGTTCATCGCCAAATAGTGTTTCTACGTAAATTCGATCTTGATTATCGATTGGAAGGGTTTGAATCCAATGAGGAGCTTGGAATATGTCGGATTCTTCAAGAATAGTATGTATCAATCGTGAGCATGCTTGTAAATCTTTAGGAGCTTGAAGTTTAAGCATTTTTAATCTGATATCTAATGTATTTGGTGTTTCTGGTAACATAGCAGTAATCGGAAGCATCAAGGCACCATCTACTGAGTCTAATAGTCGAACAAATTGGTTTATTAAGTTCTCATCATCGAGAGGAATTAAATGTGGCGCAATTTGTTTGAGAATTGCTAAGTCTGGTTGACAAATTTCTAATGCACGTGTAATCGTGTTAAGTAAATTTGTGCTTTTTGAGTCAATATCGATTTGAATTAGGGATTTCCATGGTAATGCATCATCTGGCTTAAGACGAGTGCATTCTTCAGCAAATTTTCGTGCTTCAGCGTAGTTTTCTGTCTTCATGTGCATCATACAAGTCATAAAACATGTTTCAAATACATGATATTCAAGTCTTCGAGCTGTAGGAGTTATTCTTGATAATATTTTCTTGCATTCATCATATTTCTTCTCTGCTATATATTGTTTTGCGTCAGTAAGTCCCCCATCAATCAAGCGCTTGTCACGCTGAATCTGGTCCTTACTCATAATTTGAATGGAACAAATATTAAACTAACTAGCAAATGATAGTATTAGATATATCAAACCTTTTTATCAAGTAAATCTCCAAATTCTCTGTGGATTTTATTCAAATAGATTTTATTATTCAAAAAATATCGGTGTTACAAGAATGCAAATGATTTTACTATATACGTATGCTAATTAAATATGATATGCTTGAGCTTCTAGAAAAATTTGAAAAAATATAGTAAAAAGGAGAAGAAATATACAATTAAATTACTTTAATATTAACTTGTTTTGGGACTTGTCTCGTACATTTCACAAAAATTTCATGAAATTTTCTATTTTTTAATATGAAATTTGAATTAATCAGAATCTGATGATGAAGACGATGACGAAGAAGATGCACCTCTATGAATAACTACAAGGATAGTTGGCTGGCATGCATAAAAAGGCTGTTGAAATGCTGAAAAATAGAATGGAGCATTTCCTTGTACAGCCATAACAGCGTTTGGTTGGTTCGGATAATAAAATGGCTGCTGGAAACTTGGAAAATAAAAAGGATTCTGATAAGGACTGTATGTATATAATGTTTTTGTTTTATGGTGATGGTGATGCTTATTTTTATGCTTTCTTTTCTCTTCTTTTTTGTTTTTCTTCTTTTTTTCAACGTTTTCTTCAATTTCTTTTTTAACAACTTCTTTTTCTACTTTTTGGATTTCATGTGGTTGTTCCTCAATTTCAGATGATGCTGTGTCGTCATCTGGTATCTCCTAGCTTTTGTTTTCATTTCGCTGATTGGCTTGTGGTTTCGGTTGAGGATTTTGAGGTGGTTGACGATTTGGATTTGGACTTGCAGGGAGTAGCTTGCCATTACTCCAGTTCAGTCTTTTTGTTTGAGTGATACGTGCCATTAACAAAAGTGAACTTACGCCCGTATGACATCTGCCAATTCTGACGTCAGTTGACAGAAATTTTCCATTTTAAGTCCACTATTTTTGAATGCAACTTTTATATTTTGGCGCGACGATTAAACCAATCGGAATTCAGTTCATTAGTTAATAATGTCCGGCCGCGGTAAAGGTGGTAAAGGTCTTGGTAAGGGTGGTGCTAAACGCCATCGTAAAGTAATGCGTGAGAACATTCAGGGTATCACAAAGCCAGCTATACGTCGTCTTGCTCGCCGTGGTGGTGTCAAGCGTATATCTGGTGATATCTACGAAGAAGTTCGTGGTGTTCTTCGTCATTTCCTTGAGAACGTCATTCGTGACTCTGTTACATACACAGAACACGCTCGTCGTAAAACAGTTACAGCAATGGATGTCGTCTATGCTCTTAAGCGCCAGGGCAAGACACTCTATGGTTTCTAAAATACATTCTTCATGCTTTCTTTTACTATTCGAATTCATTTTGCTTAATTAAAATTTGTCTTTATATTTACGTTATTAATATATTCAATATATCATTCCTAACTATAATAATAACATTTGTGTATCATTAAATTATAGTTGTGTGAGTAAGAAACCCAAAGGATTGATGGTTCAAATTCGAAAAAATAACTGCTGTCACCGTAAGAATTTAATTCCTTATGGTGTCTGATTCCAGTTGAGAAAGCAAATAAAATCAGAAGTTTATTTTAATTTTTATTTATTTTTTTTTTCAAATTATATGAGCTCATCAGATTATTATGATTCCGATTCCGATTCTGACAGTGAAGATCGAAGAGACCACAACCCAAGTGTATTTAATCCATTTATTCAAAGGCAAATTCAGTCAAAGACCGAAAACAAAAATAACGCTTCTGATGAAGAAACTGATAAAGAAATACCAGCTTACACAGTTTCCAAATTTGTGCATCCTTATCAATTATTCCTTACCGAGCATGATCAAGAAATAACAGAAATAGCAAAACAACAAAATTCAGATCTATTAGGTAAAAGGATAATAGCATTACAACAATTCGCAAAACTTCCTCCACAAGAAAAAGAAAAATATTTTGCGAAAGTTCCAATAATGATGGATCCAGGTCAAGATCTCAACAGAAATAATACAACTAATCCATCTAATCGATCTGGTACAACTTATCCATATTATACATCTAATACAAAACCAATAAACCAAGATAATAAAAATATAATTCCCGAACGTAGTTCCAAAGAACCTTTAAGTACACAACCAACAAACAATACCCAGTCCCCTCCAAGCTTCTTCAAAAGTATTCCAAGACAGCCACCTCAAAATTTACCAAGTCAACAAATACCAATAACAAACCAACCTATTAATCCAAATCCAACTACCCAACAAGAAAAAGTCATAGAAAAACATGTAAAAGAAGTTGAAAAAGAAATTAAACCAATTCAACTCTCACCTAAAAAAGAGGAAGAACCTCAACAAATCCAAGAAATAGAAAACAAACTTGCTGAAAAAGAAGAAGTTAAAGAAATTAAAGAAAAAGAAGAAGTTGAAGTAAATGAAGAGAAAGAAGATGTTGAAGAAAATGAAGAAGAAGTTGAAGAAAAACCAAAAATTAAAAAAGAAAAGAAGCATAAACATAAAAGCAAACACCATCACCATAAAAAGAAAACAATATACACATACACTCCCTATCAAAATCCGTTCTATTTTCCAAGTTTCCAGCAACCATTTGGTTATTATCAGAATCAGCAAAACGTAATTGTAGCAGTACGCAAACATCCATCTTCTTCATCATCGTCTTCATCAGATTCAGACTGATACCAATATAATATTTGTAAGATAACATATAAATGAAATGCCTAAATTATATACGAAATAAAGCATATTATTTGTTTGATTCATTTAATATTTTTATTTTAATTTCAAAGCCAAATCATACTTAAAGACATCACATTAATAGAAACTTGGCCTAAATGATATAACTTCTTATGTAATCTTAATAATCATTGAATATGATAATAATTCTTCTCACGAATATTCATACAAGATGATGCTAGCGCAAAAACTAAAAATATATTCCTTTAATGTTAGAATGGTAATGCAATAAGCGGATAAACACAATATTACCCTATATTTCCAGGAATTACCATTTAAGGTTATTTTTTGCATCAAAAAAATTCAATTTTAGCATGATTGAAGTATTATTTTTTAAAAATAACAATAAAATATTAATTTATACAACAGTTTTATATATCCCTTACATTTTTGTGGCAAATGGAGAGGGTAACGGCGTCGAAATTGCATAATTTCAAATCTCCTTATCTCAACGAATACAAGAGGGAGGGGACTGAAATTAGGCTATTTTAATAGGTATGAGGTATCAAACATTTTCACTGATGAAAAATTGAAAAAGCTGATTTCAGCTTTCTAATCATACCTTATATATGAGGTATCATATCAAAATACTTATATGTTATTACTTATGGGGCCACCTGAATGTTCTCACAATTTGTTTGTATAGATATAAAAATAATTATATTAAATTTAAATTAAGTCTTTTATTCCTAAAATGAATACTTTTTGACATTTTTAGAACTTTTATATTATGAAGTGAATAATACCAATTGTAGAAATGATAAGGATAAGAAATTGATTACTAAAACAATAGTATTTCAAAGTTTTATGATGTTTAATGTATTTACATAGATATAGATAAACGAAAAATATATTTTAATCAGAATAAATTGAAAAATCTATTTCAATCTTTTGCAAGGAAAAGGCAAATGCACATGCATTTACTAAAAGAATGGAGTATTAATGATATAATCAACAAATCCTGCATTTATTTTGATAAATATTCATTTTTTAAAATTTTGACGAGTTCAAGGTCTTGTTTCGGTTCGAATTCGTGAAAAATGAATATTTTCAAAATTTGATAAATGATATAATATCAGCATCCAAATAGAATGCATCTATTATACTTTTTATTGATTTATTTCTATTTTATTGGGATAATCAGATTTTCCTTTGAGTGTGAAAGATATACTTTTGTCACAGCACCAAATCATATAAAATGTGCTGAATTTGTTTCCGCTGTTTATTTTCAATCTAATCTATTCTAATAGTAGTTTTCATGCGTTCGAAGTTTCAACAAAAAAGTCTATGAATACTCAAAATAATTGATTTTTATATCATTAAATACTATTTTTAGTGGAGAACAAAGCATATTTTAACGTCAGCCAGGAATTACCGTTTTACCAAAATTTTTGTTTTTGAGCAAAAATTTTATCATAAAAACACTCTTTATATCATAAAAATGCTATATTATAAAAATCAAAAATTTCAACTTGCAAACAAATCATATTAAATCTCATATCTCATATTTCCATACAAAGTACAAAATCATAAAATTCAACATCTTTTCTATCATATCCTCTTTTAAAAAGCTTTGAAAATGTCTATATATGTCGAGATATAGAAGCTTTTTTAGAAGGTGGAAAAAAAGTGACGGTAATTCCTGGAAATAGAGGGTAATTATATATCTCAAAAATATCTAAACCAACTGATATTTACAATATAGAATATAGAATTACTAGCTTTAGAATGGCAGAATAATGTTGTAAATTTAGATAACAAGCTGAATTATCTAAATATTCCAAATATCTATCACATATAGGTAAAAAAAGGCTTTTCCACTGAGGGAATCTGCTATATGCATTTTCATTCAATAATTATTGTTCTCATTTTTGGTATATTAAAAAAAATTATATTATTTTTTTTTTCTAGCATAAAAAACAATTCAAACAAAACATTTATATTAGTTATAATACTCGTCAGAGCTAATTTCCATTCCCGCATCGTCGTCATCATCGAAATCGTACTTCTTCGGGTCTTTTCCGAGTGGACCAAACGTTTTCAGGCCAAGCATGTTCCCGAGCGGTGTCATTAGAATGGCCAGAACGATCAAAACAATGAAAATTACTCCGAAAACTGTACCGCAAGCGATTGCAGGGACAATATTAGGTGTTCTCGTCGGATATGGGTATACACGCACTAAGAAACTTTCATTTGTATACTCAGAACTAACATTGTAAAGGGAAGTTGGGAAATAATCGTCATCTGTGTACAAATAAACATCTTTATCCATAGGAATGATGTTTATCTGCACCTTCCCAACATATTTCTTCCATCCGCGCTCGAAAACAGTCGTAGATCCCTTTTCAAGCTGCAAATTAAACTGAATTTGCGTTTGATTATCATCTAGAATTGGAGTATCTATATGGAGGGCATTATAGATATTATTATTGATCAAAACAAAGTCCAATATCTCATGGATATTGAAACTATTGTTAATTGACGAAAAATAATAAGAATCAGAAGTAAAATTGAATCTCTCGATGACTTCATCAGTTGGAATATACATTGTACCTTCTTTGAAAGGTTTCGATATAGAATTTTTGAGAAATTCTTTCGTATTAATTCTAATTTTTGTATTTGGAGTCGGAACAACGAAAGGAAGTGGTCCAATGGGGTTCAGATAGCAATTGCCTGATATAATGAACAAAGTGTTCCTCGTAAACATTCCAACAGATGTAAGATTTACATTATCTAAATTAATAACGTAAGAAGATTCAGTAAAGTCGCCAATAACATACAAAGACTTTGCTAATATCTTGAAGAATGTTCCGAATATATTTAAGCCATCGTAGTCGAGTAAAATTAAATTATCTTTAATAAGTATGTTCTGAGCAGTATAATTAATACTACACATGGCTCCATTTCTCATATATACACCGTTCATTACGGGAGTTCCTTTTCTTGTGTTTTTCCCTGAAATTGTCAAAGATCTTTGTATTTCGAGCTGTGAGATCTGATTTAATGAAGTAAGGTCTGATGTAAGTGTATATGCGTTTAATGATAACATCGAGATACCTGTTTTGATGTTACTATTCTCGAAAATCGCATTAATTAAATGTAATGTCGAATTTACAGGGAAATACGATATATCTATATTGGCATTCTTCAAACTAAATAATCCTAGTGATGATCGCTGGAAGTCTAGCTGCAAATAAGCGTTCTCACTCACTCCTATTAAGTATAAATTCGCGCTTTCGTATCCTACCATGTTAAAGTAGGCCATTCCGTTGCCATCAACATAAGCAGTGATATCTGAGTCTTCAATTGAGTTTATATATTGAGAAAAAGCAAGATTTGCCTCTGAATTTGTCATAACAGGGTATTCTTTAGGACAATTGTTGCAAGGACCAGAGCTAACGCATAGGCAAACTGTATCAGACTTGTATCTATCTTTAATATCGATAATTTTCACCTTATTTGTGGAAAAATCAATTTCTGCCGAAGGATAAACAAATAACTTAGAAGGAGGGCTCACACCATCAGGGCGGTAATGAATAAAGGGTGCTGTAGTTAAATTTTCGATTTTAAAGTAAAGTCCATAATTATATTCATCTTCCATTTGAATTACGGTATTATCGACTGGCGAAAGGCTTCCAAATTTATTATTGTCGTTATATGTAGCAATGCCATCAGTAGTTCCTTTAATTTCGATTAATGCTTTGCGCAAAATTGGAGAAGAATGAAAAATTGAATATCTTTGCTCATATTTAAACGTCAGGTTTGATTTGGGCCTTCCCGCAAAGGCTGACATTTGAAATTCATACGATGGTTGAGTGATTACGTATCCTACGTCTCCATTTATCTTAAAAGGGGTAGAAAAAGCGATTGTCAAAGTTGGTTGCGTGTTATCTATTGATTTATTTACAATTAAATATTCATTTGAAGGATCTGAGAAGTAAAATATGGAATCTTCGGTATATTCTAGTTGCTGTGTTGATGGATTGTAGTAGTATTTGTCAAATCCTTGTTTGTTATAAAAAACAATAACGCCATCGTGACCTGCAATTTTAATTCTGAGATTTTCAATTTCGGTCATATTAATATTGTCTGTGCCAATGATAGATATGCTGTAGTCCGTAATATTTGGCTCAGTTTCTTCTTCATCTGAAAGAGCAAAGATGAAAAAGATTGAAAGCATTAAAAATTTTTTTATTTTCATGAAAATTTCATACTCACGACAGGTGTAAAAAACCTTATTTCGAGTCGATTGCGCATAAATTGCTATCGAATGATCAACATCGAACATATTTGTCAGTAATGAACGTTCTATAGAAAAATTGAATGATCAATTCAATACCAAATTTCAGTCTGTTTTAATCTAAATTTATTGTAATTAATAAAACAACAAAATAAAAATTGAATGATTTACGATAAAAATAAGGATTGACTTGAAAGCTAATTTTTCGCACTATCATATTATTGAACTTAATGTGACTTCGGATGTATTACTTAAAAATATAACAAAATAATACTCTGCAACTTGCGCTTTACCTCATATTTTAAAGCCTAAACAAGGAATTTCACATTACAAAGCAAGAGAACGTTTGCACCCAAAGATTTCAAGGGGTGTACATTCAAATTTATGCACAAATAGAAAAAATGTTCATTAATTAGTTAATTGTTTTCAAGATTCATTGTCTCATATACTGATTATTCATTTCAATGAGGCAATTCTTCTATATTATTGTTTTATTTGTTTGTATTTTGTAATTAAATTTTTGTTATTTTAATACCATGAAAATGAGTTTAAAATCTCTGATATTACCCTCAATTTTTAACTTTTGCAACTCCAAAAACCAGGTGTTTTTCCAGAACTACAATCTAGGATGAGTCCTAGGAGCTATAATTCTAGGGTTAGATGATACCCACTTAGTACTTTTATTTGTATATGTTTTAGTGGAATTTGGTGAGGGGTCATGAAATTCGTATCTAATTTGCTATCATCTAAGCTGGTAAAAGTTAGAGAAAGCTATTTACTGGTTGTATATTACAAATATACCTTGTAATAGAAAATATAAGTGTTTGTGATTTAAATTCGCTCAATTAGCTCGAAAATTTGTTTTATATCCATGACAAACTAACACAATCCTATTTATGTGATTGCCAATCTGTTCCCAAAATATATCAGCATGAATATATATATATTGATATTATTTGCAATTTCATCATTAAATAGTACTTTTTTTCTATTTTTAATTTAGAAATAGTATATTTATATGATAGCGACACAAGATTTTAATTAAAAAATATATGTTATCGATCATCACACTCAAATTGAATTTCAAAAATTTTAGAATTTTTCAATTTCAATATTGAAAATATATTTCTTATATCATAGCGATTCATGTTATAATAATATGGAGAAAAATATTGTTTTAAATCTAAAATTTAAAATGAATGATTGGGCATTACATTAATCCAATTTATTGTTTATTTGTTAATCTAGTGGAAACAATTAATATTTTGGAGAAACAAAAATTTGAAATTTGAAATTTGAAATTTTGAAAAAAATGCATGAATCGGTAATTAAACATTGATTTATTAATTTATTAGCCATGCTTTTGATGTTGGTCTTATTCTTAAGCCGATTTAAAGAATTAATTTTTCCAAATCGTGTTTGACATTAACACATATAGATATATCAGGAAAAAAGGTATCACTTATCAAGTTATTGGTTTTTATGTATCTCCTAACTTTGCCTCGTTCTGAATACAATTCTAGTTAACGAATTTTAAATAACTATATGAAGAATACATCATTTTGGTTTTATTATTATTAAAATGATATATATTAGCTATGTATATGCTTGTAAGAATATTATTCCTTGAATTGGAAACAGAAAAAATAAATTTAGACAGAAAATGCATATCTTTAAAAAATAATATGAAATTTAGCTTTGATATTATTATCCGATAAAATATGCATGATAATTACTCCGCAAATAAAATTTAGGAAGCAAGTTGTGACGGTTTGGGCGGTTTTCAATGGCCCACAAGGAAAGAAGTATCGTTTTATCAGGCAACAAGAGGTCTTGAACTGAGTAAAGGACTGATCACCCTTGAAAGGTTCAAACATGCTTGCGCGCCGCAGTCTTAAAAATGATATGTTTCACTTCTGGTCGAAAATTTCAACCTCTATGACAGTTGTTGGATGAACAATTGTGTAGCGGGATGAAATCTGAGTGCGGCCTGGGGCTGCAGCATCAATCTTCCCGGCATCTTTACCGCAATCATCTCTTAGATTGCACACAAAGTTGCGAACGAGCAGCTTTCTATGCGGTAAAGATGCCGGTAAAAGAGAGCCGTAGTGATTCTCTGCTGCAGCGTCAATCTTCCCGGCATCTTTACCGCAATCATCTCTTAGATTGCACACAAAGTTGCGAACGAGCAGTTTTCTATGCGGTAAAGATGCCGGAAAGAGAGAGTCGATGTGAGGTTCTTTTCGAGGGCTCCTCGAATGAGACACTGTTCCGCATTGATAACTTGAACGCGGAAGTTTGACCGACAAGAGTGCATTATGCACTCCTGTCGGTCGCAGTGTCTCATTCTGGGAGACATTGCCTCTGCATGTCTCCCAGAATGGAACAATTTTCTGCAATCAGAATGTGATTGCAAAACTTTGACCGACAAGAGTGCATTATCCAATCTTTTTTGTCATATACCTCAACCCAGAAAGACAAAACTTTACATAAAATAGGTAAACTTTGGTTTTCACTTAATAATGTTTATTTTTAATTTTTTGTTCTTTATATAACTTTTTCTTCTACTAAACTATTTTACAGACTCTACTGAGCTATCCTCACATATATACCTGTGACAATAACACATATATACTCCCTTCATATTCTGATCTCATGACATATTACAGCACAAACTATAATTATACAACATACCTCATAAAGTCTGATTTTACCCCTATCTAAGCGTTCAAAACCTATTTTTCCCGCGTAATCTGATTCTTCTGGCTCTGCTGATTCGATTTCTGCTGTCAGATCGTGAAAATATGCATCACACAATGAGATAAACACAAAATACACAACTTAATATTTTCCTTAAAATTTCTCTTCAAGTTCATACTGAAACAACATCTTTTTTTGAAAATACAATTTTTTCAAAAAATGTATGAATTCAAAAGTGCATACTATATCTAGTCATTACCCAACATTAATTTTGTATTTTAGTTTTTAAGATATTAATTTTATTATACGTCTTATTCAGAAAATTAAATATATTTGTGAGGGAAAACGGAGGAAATAATAAATATGTCAAGATCGAGGAATTGACAATTTTAAGGAAAATATTAAGTTGTGTATTTTGTGTTTATCTCATTGTGTGATGCATATTTTCACGATCTGACAGCAGAAATCGAATCAGCAGAGCCAGAAGAATCAGATTACGCGGGAAAAATAGGTTTTGAACGCTTAGATAGGGGTAAAATCAGACTTTATGAGGTATGTTGTATAATTATAGTTTGTGCTGTAATATGTCATGAGATCAGAATATGAAGGGAGTATATATGTGTTATTGTCACAGGTATATATGTGAGGATAGCTCAGTAGAGTCTGTAAAATAGTTTAGTAGAAGAAAAAGTTATATAAAGAACAAAAAATTAAAAATAAACATTATTAAGTGAAAACCAAAGTTTACCTATTTTATGTAAGTTTTGTCTTTGTGGGTTGAGGTATATGACAAAAAAGATTGGATAATGCACTCTTGTCGGTCAAACTTTTGCGTTCAATTTGATTGCAGAAAATTGTTCCATTCTGGGAGACATGCAGAGGCAATGTCTCCCAGAATGAGACACTGCGACCGACAGGAGTGCATAATGCACTCTTGTCGGTCAAAGTTTTGCAATCACATTCTGATTGCAGAAGATTGTCTCATTCTGGGAGACATGCAGAGGCAATGTCTCCCGAAATGATACCGTCATACCAACACCAATTTATCCCTTCTTTCCATTGTCATACAATTCAATATTTTTATCAATCTTAATCAACTTTTTTTATTCTTCTTTAATTCAATTTATCTTTCTCCTAGAATATCTATTCCTTTAACAGACATAAAATCACTAATCGAGCTTTTTCAATACTCAAAATTTCATATAAATCTTTGTTATTTTTTCTCTCATCGCTTATTTTATTAAATATACATATTTCCTCTCACATATCCCTCTTCATATATATTGGATCTCAACACTCATCTATTAGAACAATATATTTTCGCTTAATCTCATATTATTCATTAACAATCTTTCATCTTCTTATTTCTTGTTAACCTACCAATATATGTATAGAATATATGCCCAATTACATATTCAGATACATTAAATTCAAGAAATTCTTATAATATTATTCTCCTATTCATAATAAAATCATATTTAGTCTCACATCACAATTCTATCAGTTCTCCAATATCATATCATATTGGTAACATCACATATATCTCTTATAATATCACTTAAATTTGTATTTTTTTATTAATTATATTTAATTAGTTCTACATTCTATTATTATAGAGGTTTGACAAACTCATCAATAGTTAAAATCAAAATCTATTCAGAACTTTGAATCTAATGAAAATTACATTTCGATATCTTTTTGCAAGCTTAATTTTTTGTATTATCTTAAAATACATTTAGTAATGTTATGTACGTATTGAATTCAAATTATAGCGCAGTAACATGCAACTCAGCTTGAGATTCACATTTCATTTTCACAATTATTGCATATATACATCAATAACATATTGTACTCACATATCTACACGATTCTAAACTCAATGACATCAAATAATGCTTGTAATATTTAAAATAATTTTTGCATTTTTGATTCTCAGCATAACTTCTATAAATGTCACCAAAACATTTCATTCCTACCAAGAAATAATATATTAGTAATTAAGCGTTTATTATTACTCACATCACTCATATTAATTCATTTTTGTAATTTTTTAAATAAATGACTGGAATCATAAACCCTATGTACCCATATCAACATGTTAAAATTTCAAAGTCTGAAACTTAGTATACATTGAGTTTCATGAAATCAGATATTCTCGTAGATTTCTTAAATATTATATATTGCTGGCCAATAATGATGCAGCATGATTCTCCATCATATCAGCATTCTAAACATATCTTTATTTTGTCAATTGGCATAAATTAAGGGTGCTTTTCAGGCGATAAATGGTATTTTAGATACCTGGGTAGGGGGTCATGAAAAAGTTGCAAAAGTCAAAAATTGAGGGTATTTCAAAATGTAAACAATTGCTTAAATAGCCATTTTACTTCAATGTGACACTCATTCAAGTTATAAGGTATAACGGAAATTCACTTGAAAGTGCAGTCAATCTTTTTAAATCTTACAGATAAGCAATCATCTTGTAAATATTAAATATCTTCAAAGCATCAAAGGTGAAATTTACTATCAATATTGATAGTTAATCTTCTATAGATTGCGAAAAGGCCTTTTTGATGAATTCATGATCTTAGCGACAAATATAGAAAAACATCAAAAATAAAAAATGAAAAATCATAAATCCATTGTAAAATATAAATTTTTTACTTACTGACTATCATCATTTTTAATAGCTTTGAGTAGCTCCTTAATCTTATTGTTTCCTGAGTATTTCTGAGCAATTGGAGCAAGTACTTCAGCTGCATTGAGTCTGTATTTTGATTCCATTCTTGAGAAAATTGAGAAAATGATTTCAGTAATTGGTTCATCTTTGCATCTCTTAGACAAGACATCAATCAATTCTGGAACATCATCATTATCTGTTATGAAAGGTGCAAGTGTGCAAATCATTCTTATTGACAAGTATTCGAAATTAGGATCTCCGCAATTAGCAAATCTCAAAATCGCTGAAACAGTGTCAGGATTATAAATTGCTTTTGCGTATCTTCTTGATTCGCTCAAAACGCATGAAATAAGTAAAGCTCTTGCAGCAATTACTGTTTCATTAGATTTGATGAGTCTGCAAACAACATCAGGAACTAAATGCATGTCTTCGAAACCAACTTCTGCGAATGGAATCAAAATAGAAAGTAAAGAAGAAACAGAAAAAACATCTTCAACAACAGAGAACAAGTTCAAAACAACATTAGGAATATCCATTCTCTCCAAGAATTTTCCTTTAGGAATATGAAGTCCCAATATAACTGCTCCTGTGTATTCATAATGTCCTTGATTAATACAGTTGTAGATAACTGTCAAAACATCAAATTTATACAGCATATCACGTAATGGAGCAATTTTATCTGCTTCAGCAATCATTCTCAATGTTTCAAGAGGTTTCTTATCGTAATGCATTGGAATTACATAAGTAATAACAATCTTTGTGAATTTAATCTCAGTCATCAATGCAAGAACAGTTGAAGCGAAGTTGTGTTTGACCAATCTGTTCGTGATCACACCGTTATCATCAATTTCAGCAATTGTTGATGGTCCAAGCTTCAAATAAATGTTTGACATCACAGGAGCAAAAGAAATCGGTGTAGCAGCGAAGAAATCTGAAAAGTACTTGAAATACTTTTTGACGAGATCTGGTTCCAAATCATTGATCAATTCGAAAACGCGTCTGTAGTAAATGTTGTTCATCATTGCGCATTTGTAGAGAATGTCTGATTCTCTGAATTTAATGGCAACAGCATCAGCAACGGACTTTGCAATGTTGTCTGGTTTGTTTGCGCAGAAGGAAAGAATGAATTCGGCGTTCTTTTCGCTTGTCAAAAGATTCTTGATGAAAAATGGAATGGAAAGATCGCCAGGAAGTCTCTCGCAAAGTAACTTGATGAATGATTCTTTGTCATCGAGTTTGCTGTATTGCGAGTTAACAAGATCTTCAACAGAACTGATTTTTCTCGATAATTGGACTAATGTAACTAATTCTGAAATTGTGAACTGTTCTTTAGTCAAAATTTGCTGGTTATAGACTTCTAAGGCGGATTTGACTAATGCTTCATCATTGGATTCCAATAAAACGTTGACAATAATTTCGATACAATATTCATCGAGTTCTCCTCTAGACATATCACGAAGAGATTGAGGAGTAAGAGATAGAAGTCCTTTAAGTGCTGAATCGTTGACTTCTGCTGTACTTTCAATGTGAGAATTGAAAATTTCCAAATTTGTTCCAGGAATAATGAATTCGTTCTTCACCATCATGTTTACGAGGTCATCGAATGATGGACGATAGTTTGGATTCCTCGACCATCCTTTGTAAAGTATTTTTGTGAGAGGTAACTGATTTGGAACTAATGGCCTTCTGTCTTGAAGCATAATTCGCTGGCGAAGGCTGTATGAGTCTACTTCTGAGAATGGTTTCTTGTTCGTGAGTATTTCATGAAGAATAATGGTAAATGAATAAACATCTACTTTTTCATTGAAGAAAATTGGTTCGTAGATCGTTTCTGGTGCTGAATAAACACAGAATGGTATGGAAACTGATAACTTTGATGATGTTCGCTGAACATAATCCAATCCAGTGATCAAAGGAAGTCCATTTGGACGAACTAATATGCAATCCGGAGTAAACCTGCAATGGACAAACCTGTGAGCATGCATGTATTGGAAAGCTCTGGCAACTTCAAGAATAATGATCGAATAAATGTCAGGAGAAAGGGTTTGGCCGGAATAAAGGTACTCAGTAAGAGATGGGAAGTCTGTGGATTCACTGAGAATACCGTATGGCGCGTAATGTAATGCACTTCTGTATTTTATGATTGATGGATGTTCTATATGTGAAACAATACTGTTCTTGTGCTGGAAAGGTGCATCAGATGCTCCAGGAGGGAAGATTTCTAAAGAAAGATTCTCATTTTTAGGTTTTTCTGTCACTGAAATTATTAATTTTTCAGCAGAAACGCGTTCAATCTTTGTAACTGTGAGTGATGAGATATCTAATGATTTCTGAAGTCTTCTGTAATGAGATTCGATTTCTAAGTAAGCATTTGGTAATTTTGTATTATCAACTAAAGGTTTGATTGCATCCATATCGCTACAGTACTGAGCTATAAAATATAGAACGTTGTATACAAACGACTTGTCAATTAAATGACATGTAAATATGATATCATAATAAAGCTTGTAAATTTTCGTAAAAATAGCATTAATTGATACACTTTTGAGTTGTCCTTCCCATGCAGTTTGTGAGCATAACTTTGCTGCTTCCGTTGCTTCACTCATTTCTATGACTAAATTATATAAGTAGTTTGCGAGCTCTGAGTTACATTCTAAGTTTCCATGTGTCTTGAGAAAGTTAATGGCCGTATATATCAGTTGCAGTGTTTCCGTGGCAGAATTTTTTAACAAGAACATTCTCTGAACATGCTTTTCAAATCTCGTCGAAGCATCAGATATACTGTTTACGAAGTCCAGAATGCGTCTTTCTGATTTGTTTGCGAAAAAGTTTCGAAATGATAAAGGATTTTCAGTCATCAAAATTTCTACAGCTTATAAAATTATCCCCGCCAAGCTCTCAAAAATTCTATTAATTGAATATATTACACGGAATTATTAAAAAATGAAACCAAAAATAGGGAAATATTTGACTTAAAATAATATCGTATAATGATATATCCCCATCAATCGAATGCTTTCAGCTGGAAAATGATTTGAATAATTCAAAAAAAAATTTTTTTCAAAGGTTATCTTTACCTGCCGCCCTGGCTTGTTTACTGAAAATATATGCTTATTATTGATACAAGACAAAATTTAGGAATTTAAGGTATTATTCGTTCCGTAATTCAGAATCGAATAAATGACAACCCCAAAGTTGGTTTATTTGATACATAAATAGGTGCATCATTTTTAACTCGACAGAATACATGGATAATTTGGTTATTTGTTCATCAATTTCTATAAAAATTAATAATTTTGAAATAATAAGAGAATATATCATGTCTTTATTTAGAAATAGTAAGTGTTCCAAAGAATTCAACACAAGATAAAGCAAATCTTCTATTTCCCTGGTTATTTGAATCAAGCTGAGTAATCCTAATGTTAGATGTTGGGGAAGATTGGTATTTTAGCTCAAATAACACGAGTTTTGAGTTCCCTACGAGTTCAGTGTTATCAATTTTCTTATCAACTTCTACCCAATTGCCATCAATTTGGACAGAAACAGTCCAAGATTTCGGACAAACGCCATTCGCGCCAATTCTCCATGAACGGAGTGCGTAATGGGTAAGTTCTATCTTATTAGGTGAGAAATTGAAGTAAATCGTGGCTTGTGGACCTTCTTTGCTGCAGAAATAAGAATCATCTTTTAATAAAACATTTGTAGCAGAGTAATAAATAGAGTAAGCATCATCTGAGCACACTAGTGGCGCATTTCCATTTTGTATTATTCCATCCATTGAAATTGCTGGATGAAATACGGAAATCAAGCTATCTTTCTTTTTTTTAGCCAATTCCTTTCTATTTCTAAGAAGAATAGAGCGAATAGCATTGAAATTAAGTGTTTTATCTGTAAGTAATGAATTAAATTTTTCATCACCGAATAATTCAAAAGGCAAGTACTGCCAGACACGCCAGCATTTCTTTTGATGTATAGGACATTGGTAATTTAAGATAACATCTGCAATTTGCTCTTCTAATTCGTGAACTTGTGGATTTTGTAAAATTAATTCTAAAACATAGCAAGGTAGATCTTCCAATAGTAGCTTAATATCGTTAAATTTATCAGCAACTGCATTTGCAAGATATTCGCAATCCATATTTGAATTATAACATTGTATTAAATTACTAAGTAAAGTAAATGGTTCTGACTTCTCGATCATTATTTCGTACGTCAAATTTGCTAACGAGTTGATATTTAATTCGCATGCAAACTCAAAAGTTTCTTGAAAATTTTTCTCTGTAATTTGAACTTGTTTGCCTTGTAAGTATTCATGTGTTGTTGTAAAGTCTCCTTTTGTCTTTAGTACAATTTTTTGCACCGATATATCTTCTAATGTTCTCTGAAATACTAATTTTGAAAAATTCGCGGCAACAAAAGAGCGAACAGGGTAAGTTTTGTCGTCAACAATTATATTTAAGTCACTTTTCATCTCGTGTGAAATAGTTTCAATAGCCTGGCGAGAATAAAAAGCAAAAGGAGTCGAATTTGTTGTCTTCATAATTTAGAGGGAACCATTTTTAATTGTTTACTCCCCCACATATACTTAAAATCTAATAAATCGGACTTTAAAATATGCAATTATACAATATGACTATTAGTAATCTTATTTGCAAATGAAAATTTAAAATATGAAAAAATATGAAATGATTTTTCAGATCTCTTTATTCTTGGAGAAAAAGACTCTTCTAAGAGCACACAATAAAAATCAATAGAGAGCATAGTCTATATCTTCCTGCTGATTGTAATGCATACTCTCTTACTGTTATTTTTATATAGGGATGTTAGAAATTTGTGATTTTAAAGTATGATTCAAATAACATTTGATGAAAAAGTGACAAAAAGATTTTGAAAGATTTTGAATTAAAATGGCTGAGCTGGCTTTTCCGAGTACTAATGAGATAATAAATCAATCTCCATATTACGAAATGGAAACGCGCAGCTCGCTATTTCTTCAAATTGATCAAATTATCAAACTTTCAGAAAATAAACAACATTCCATGTTTAAAATCGCGATGGCACATTTCAAGAAATATATTCAAGATACGTATCGCGCGAAAACACTCGTAAATGAAGAAAGATTCTATTTCAATGAATTATTTTATTCAATTTCATTGAATAGACTCAATGGAAATGTTAGTCATTACTTAATGTTTATCGATGCCATAATATCAGTTGATTTATCTTCGAAACAAGCAAAAGCAGTTAGAATTGCCAGAGATTTACTCGAAATTCCTCCAACTACCGATGAATACCCATGGGAAATTCTCGAAAAAGCACTCGTCTGGATATACAAATACGCAGGAAATTCATTAGAAAGCATTATTTCGAAATTTAGATTAAAAATATTTGAATGGACGATTTCATACAAGAGCGAATCGAAAATTTCCGCATTAAATCTCATCAACATATTCTTTCGAAACTTTCCTAATGCTTTAATCTCTAATATGGAGCAAGTTCAGTCTTCAATTTTATCATCATTGCAACATGAAGATAAACAAGTACGTGCAGCAGGCTGTCATACATTAGAAATCGCTCTTACACTCTCAGAATCATCACAACAGATTCATATTCAAACATTATGCGTTACAATTTCATCATATTTAGTTACAAGCCAAGATCCTCAATTTTCAGGCTTTGTTGATGCTGTACGTTCCGTAATAGATGCTGCTCCTCGTTTTGCATCCGTCTTTACCTTTGCTGATCCTCCATTACATTTAATATCAGTAGATAAACCAACGAATGCTTCATTAGAACTTGTATCTCTCGCATACCGATGCACTCCAAAGTTATTTAAGTACGAACACATTACACAAATGCTTACATTATACAAAAAATTTATTGCAAAGAAATCTCCATCGAGATTATGCGCATTACGTACATTGGGTGAGTTCTCATTCCTTGCCTCCAACAGATTGCACACACTGCATTCAGAAGCCGTTCAAAATTTATTACAAATTATTTGTTCAACGAACACTTCTTCGGAAAGTGCCTATGCCATACTCTCATTACTTAGTCCAGAAGATCCGAAATACCAGGAGAGAATGGCCTCTGTTCTTTCTTTTCCTCCAGATGATTTATTAGTTGATGGATATGTGAAATACGTTGAATTATGGCCCAAACACGCATCATCAGTCAAAATGGAGTTGATTCCCAAACTAAATGAGTTCATCAACACAAAAGATCCCTCAAAAATTTTGCTCTCTTTCAAAGCATTAAATAACCTTAAATGTACAATTGAAGAAATGACTGTTCGCTTGATATTACAGTATGCCAATCTACTTATACATGCAGACAAGACAGTTAGAAGCTGTATTAGTGATTTCCTTTTATCACATCAAGACGTGGACATTGGAATTCCCGAGAGATTGATTGTTTTTGTCTCCGCAGAAACAAATGATGAATTAAAACTCAGAGTTTTGAGAAAAATACACTTGAAATCAACAGAAAAACAGTTCGTACCGTTGGTTTACTCTATGTGCCATGATACGAATATAGATATCTGTATTTCTGCTATTAAAGTGCTTTGTAATCTTTCTGACACTTTACAAATCCTCTCAAATTTAGTTAATGAATTATTTACAAATCTGAAATTGTCAAATACAATTGACAAGTTCTATATCAAACAACTACTAACAATTGTTAATCTCAAAGGTGTTGAACCCATCAAAAACAAAGACAAATTAACAAATTTGATTCTTGAATTTCCATTCCAAAATACAGGAAGTTTAAGGTTATTAAATTCATTGATTAAAAGTGATGTGAACATAAAGAACTACAATCTTTTGATAAATCACATCAAAGCAAACATAAAACTCCATTTAAGTCCAAATAGATTAAACGCTGTTTTGACTCTTTTGTTGACATCAATGGAGAAAACAGATTTACTTGATTTTCTGTGGAAATCTGATTTGCAAATTGTTCCTCTTTTGTTTGAATTGGCACATAAAATAGAGGAACAAACAATTAAATCATTGATCATTGTAATAATAACAAAACTCGGCATAATTGATCCAAAAATTGTTCAGCCGTTATTAAATTCAAAACGTGACACTGTCAAAAATCCTGCAAACACGTTTAAACCTCTTAGTGAATCCATTGATCCATTAGTAAGTTTAACATATGTTTCTGTATCAACAGCATTACCTTTGTTGATGGAAATCATTGGAAATGACAGTTTAGTTACTTTGCATCAATATGCTGTTGAAGCTTTATTAACAGTTATGAAGAACTACAGATCTATTGGAGAAGATTTGAGTAATCTCATGGTTTCTTATATAAAAGAATATCTATTGAATGGTGGTCCATCAACAATTTCGATTATTTTGAAGAATTTTCCTAATTTTATCATTGTTTTGGGACAATCTTTTTCCGATGAAGTCGTGCCTCCAACTGTTGATGTTATATGCAAATACCGGGGAAGATTGCCAAGCCATACATTACTAAGAGCTACAGAGTGGATTGCTACTCAACTTCCTGATGTTTTGGAACCTCATATTCATAGATTGACAAAATTGTTTTTGTCATCGATAAAAACCGTTCAAAATGACATCGCAAATGACATTTTCAGTGTTTTCGTGAGTTTGGGATCACTTGTTTCTATTGTAGATTATTTAGTTATACCTGCTTTTCTACAATACATCGAATCCCACATAATGGATACAACGATTTGCGGAGAAATGATTGTTAAATTACAATCAATTCTGACTTTTATCAAAGATAATGGAGATTTCGGACACGAAATATTGAAAACATTGTTGTTAGTTTATCAGAATAACCAAGATTTAAGACAAAGAGTTATTAATATTTTCATTTGTTTCATTATTTTGTTTAGAAACCATGTTTTGTTTTTACTTCCTGAAATTACTCAAGTAATTAATTTGGAAAGTGACAGATATTTAAACAAAATCTTGGATTGTTTAAATACAAACACTGAAATTCCTTTGGCATTGAAGAATAAGTTCGCACCAGATCCTCCTGCTCCTCAACAAAGACAGTCTTCTCAACATTTCGCGATGCCAAGAAAACTGTCAAATCCAACGAGTTTTTATACAGAACCAAATTTCGAAGTACCTTCAAAAGACTGGACAAAGACACAATGGGAGAAATGGTACTACGAAACAATACCTGTGTTTATAAGGAACTCTCCAAGTCGTGCAATTTCCGCTTGTTACCAATTGGCTGAAAATCATGCTCATATTTGTTCTTCTTTGTTCCCTGTCGCTTTTGCAATTAATATTTTGGAATCAAAGACAATAACACTCAGTTTAGATCTAATGAAGAACGCTTTGATATCTAATGATTGTCCTTCTTTCATCGTCAGATTGTTTTTGTGTTCGATTGAATTACTTGAAATATCTGGAGCTCCTCTTCCAGTAAAATACAAATTATTGACGCATGTTGCAAACAAAATGAGACAATATCATCAGGCATTGAGATATGCTGAAGCCGCTTTCGATACTGATGTAGAAAAACTTTCACAAGTTATTATTAATATCAACAAAAAACTTGGTTTGAAATACGCAGCAAATGGAGTTTTTAGAAAACTGAGTAGAACAAAAGAAGAACAAGACTTTAACTCAAATACTTATCAGTTCTTAGGTGTATGGGAAGATGCTTTAAGACTCTGGGAAAAGAAATTAACAATAATGCCAAATAATGTCATTTTACTTAACAACAAAATGACTTGTTTAGAATATTTGTCACGTTTTAAAGATTTAGAAATTTGTTCACGAGGATTTAGTAATAAATTCTCAGCAGTTGCAGCTTATGGTAATGGGAAACTTGATGATTTCATGCTTCACATGAAGAATGTTAATTTAACACCAGAAACATCATTTTTACATGCAATTTATAATTTCTTGAATAATGATTATGAAAAAACAAAAGAATGTATCAAAATTTTCATAAATACAAATGTTGAAAACACATTCCCTGTTTTAAGTGGAGATTTCGAACGTTCTTACCATGATTTCGTTCAAATGACACTTGTTGTTGAACTAATGGAAATTGTAGAACTCAAAGAACTCGAAGGAACTTCATTTTACGAAAAAAGAAAAGAAAGAATCATGAAGAACTGGGATTACAGATTAAAACAAGTTTCTTTCAATGGACAAAGTGATTATTTCAGTTTGTTGCAGATCAGATCGTTGTATTTCAAGAAAGAAGAGATGAACAAGTATTGGACAGATTTCTTGAATACAACAATCAAACAAGGACAAACACAAATTGCTTTGATCGCTTTGGAAAAACTTCCAAAAGAAGAAGCAGAAACAATTTTCTTGAAGTCAGAAATGGCTCTTTATTCAGGAAAAGTTGATGAAATGATTGAAGGATCATTAAAAGCATTAGAACTTTGTGATAACAAGTCTAATTTGTATTGTAAGATCTCGAAATCTCTTGGAAGAGTTTATTTGAACAAAGGTTGTTTGAAAGAATCTTTTGAACACACTAAAAACGCTTTGAATCTTTCGAAATACAATTTCAAAATTTGGAAATTGTGGAGCGATGTAAATATTGCTATTTTCGAACAAAGCGGATATAAAGACAAAGATTCCTTAAAAGCAACTTTGGAAGGTTTGATGATGGTATTAAGTTTGAATCCTCCTGTTCCAATGCATTCTATTTTACGTGTTTTCTCTATTTTGTTCAAATACGGAAACACAGAAATATACGACCTGTTTCGAAAGCATCTTCCAAATGTTCCTTGCCAATACATTGCAGAGCATTTGCCACAGATAACAGCAAAACTAAGTTATGACAGTGATCTCGACAAACTTTTAGTTGACACATTAACATATATTGGAAATAATCATCCGAATGTTGTTTTGCAAGCGATATCAGTGAGTTTTCCTTATCAAGTTGACAGAAGTGAGATCATTAAAACAGTTATCCAGAAGTTGAAGATGTCACATCACACACTTGTTGAAGATTCAAGGATCTGCCGAAATGAACTTGTTCGTGTTGCATCATCATGGTTTGAAATATGGTGTTATGCTATTGATGAAAGTTCACGTTTATATCTTCATCAAAATGATCCTAAATCAGCAGCAAAACTTCTTTTGCAACATCATGATAAGATATCAAATCCACCACAGTCATTCCTGGAACTGTCATTCAAAGCACAGTTTGCAGCAACACTGTCAAAAGCACACACACTCACACAGTGTTATTTCGAAGGTAAGAGTGGAATTGAATCATTCCATCTTGCATGGCAGTTTTACACAGGAATATATACATCACTTCAGAACCAAGCACAAAGTATCAAGAGTGTTATCCTCGAAGATGCATCTCCATCTCTTGCTTCATTCAAGAGTTCTCTTATTTGTGTTCCAGGGACATACAAATTCCATGGTCCCAACATCGGAATCAATTCATTCGATCCAGTGATGAATGTCTTCACATCAAAACAACGTCCTCGCGCAGTTTCGATCAACGCAACAGATGGAAACAAGTACAAGTTCCTCCTTAAAGCGAATGAAGACACTCGCCTCGATCAACGCGTTGTCCAACTTCTTACATTTGTTAACACAATCATGGCATCAGCGATGGCAGGGAATCTCACTACATATTCTATTCTTCCTCTTGCTCCTAATGTCGGATTAATCGGATGGGTTCGTGATTCAACAACAATATATGAACTTATGCGTGACTACCGAGAGCGGAGGAAGATTCCATTGAATGTCGAGATCAACAACACTCTTCAGATGTGTCCTAATTTCGAACAACTTCCTGCGATCGAAAGGAAAGAGAGTTTCGAATTCGGTCTTTCAAAGACTAAAGGTGATGATCTCCAACAAATCATCCTCGTTAACTCTAGTGACAGTTCTAACTGGGTTAGTCGACGCCTTGTCTACACAGAGAGTCTTGCAGCAACATCGATGGTTGGATACATCTTAGGACTTGGCGACAGACATCCAGGAAACATCATGATGTGTGTTAAGACAGGCAAACTTTTACATATCGATTTCGGAGACTGTTTCGAAGTTGCACAACATAGAGAACACTATCCAGAAACAGTTCCTTTCAGATTAACAAGAGTTTTCGTTAATGCACTCGAAATTGCTAAAGTCGAAGGAACTCTTCGCCAGTGTTCAATCAATGTCATGAACTTGCTCCGTCTCCACAAAGACACGATTAGTGGACTTCTTGAGACATTCGTTCATGATCCTCTTCTGATGGGAACTGCGAAGATGTCTGAAGAGAAACAACCAGATGTCCTTATCAGACGAATTGTTGCAAAACTTACAGGAGACGATTTCCCGGACAAAGGAAATCTCTGTGTTGAACAACAAGTCGACACACTCATATCAGAAGCAACAAGCACACTGAATATCTGCATGATGTTCAAAGGATGGCGTCCATGGTGGTAATCCAATGTTATTTTATTTTATATTTTATCTTTTTATCTTTTTATTGTTTTTTATTTTTCTAAAATTATTTGTTTATTATAATAATAAATATTTATTTTGCACCTGATTGAGTAAGAAGATTAATTATATTCATAAAATTATAATCATTTCTAACACCATTTCGAGTATAAAGATACTCATAAACATAATTATATTCATATTTATCATATATTTTTTTTGTTTTTTGCATCGTTTACTAAATCAAATGCTGTTTTTCCATCGTTGTTTTGATCATTAAGATTGACTCGAATTGAAACTAAATATTCGACGACTTCATAAAATCTATTTGTTGCTGCCAAATGAAGTGAAGAATCGTTATTATTTGTTTTATCATTTTTATTGCATCATGTCATAAGAAGATGTTTAACTACTTTAAGATGACCATCAACCACCCAAACCATCAACCACCCACACCATCAACCACCCAAACCATCCCCACACCATCAACCACCCAAACCATAACCCACATAACCACCATCAACCACTCAAACCATAACCCACATAACCACCATCACCCACATCTATTTGCTGCTGCAACAATGATTGGGGAAAATCCATCTTTATATTTTTCTTCTGGATTAACTCCAATTGAAATAAGGTATTTTACTGTTTCGAGTTGACCGTTCGATGATGCATAAAAAACACAATTTGCATTGTTGTTTGTTTTAGAATTTATATCACATCCAATACTCTGAAGATATTTGATGACTTCAAGATGACCATTTTGTGATGCACCAATAATTGCAGAAAATCCATCATTATCTTTTTCATTTGGATCTACTCCACAAGATACGAGATATTTAACTGTTTCGAGTTTTCCATTCGATGAAGCAACCAAAACACAATTTGCATTTCTGTTTGTTTTTGAATTTACATCACATCCGATGCTTTGAAGATACTTTATCACTTCAATATGGCCATATTTCGATGCAACAATTATTGGAGAGTATCCATCATTATCTTTTTCATTTGGATCTATTCCACATGAAACAAGATATTTTACTGTTTCAAGATGACCATTTTCTGATGCTAAGTAAACACAGTTTTTATTTTTGTTTGTTTTGAAATTTACATCACATCCGATGCTTTTAAGATATTTAATCACTTCAAGATGACCCTTAATAGAGGCTAAAAGAATAGCATTACATCCATCAGAATTTCTTCTATATTGTTTGTCAAAACCATTTTGTATTAAATATTGTATAATTTCGAGATTGCCATCAATTGTTGCATACAGTAAACAATTAATTCCCCAAAAATCATAAACATTCCGATTACATCCTCCTTCAATAAGAGCTTTTACTAATTGAAAATCTCCACAAGAACATGCTTTCAAGAGTGGATTTACACCATTTCTATGTCTCATTTCACTTAATCCTACAGCACATGCTAAAGCAATACTCTGCTTGTTGTACACATTATTCTTAAGCCAATTATAAATAGATTTAAAATCATTAGAATCTGGAAGTTGAAACATTGAAATAATCCTTTTTTTGCATTTAGTTAATTCAATATTATCATCTTTGAGTTTCTTTATTTCATTTTCCATTATTCTCACTTTTTTCTGAAGATTTTGTATCTCTGTTTTGAGTTCTTGGACTTCTTTTGTATCTGATATGTGATCTTCTTTGTATTGTTCAAAAAATGTTATCAAACTATTGGATGACTCTAATCCTAAATAGTCTTTGTAACTTTTGAGAATTTGAATTGCATCATCATATGAATGAACAACAACATTGCTCTTGTATGTCATTTCATATAATTTTACTGAGTTAAACTTTGATTTCCCTTGTGAAACCATAAGTTCGAAATCTTTTGATTTAAGTGTTGCTTTCTTTACGACTTCGGAAATAACATCTTCATCAAATATGTCATAAAAATTACCTTGATCGATGTATGCATCTATATTTTTAGCAATGTAATCATAATCAATAATCATATTATTGTTCATTTTTTTTTCAATTTAAATTTTGACTTGGAGTAAATTTTTCAAATTTAGTTTGTTCTACTAACTATCATAATAATATGTCATAACTATATTATTAATGGTTTAATTATTTTTACATTGAAAGTGAGGAAAAATTCAATTAATTAAAAATAATATCTATAAAAACATTTTTAAATACATATAAACAAACATAAAAATATTACTTATTTTTGATGTAGTATTCATCACCGAATGTATCATCACCGAAATCTCGCGATGACATAGAGAAACCAAACATGAAATCTTTCTTTTCTTTTGAGGAAAGACTCGAACCAGGTAAAGAAGGAGGCGAAGAGAATCCAGGAGTAGAAATAATGTTTCCTTTCGTACGAGATTTTTCGTTTTTCGCCTCTTTGTCAGAGAATGTTTTGATCTTTTTGATTTTGTGTTGTCCTGTTGGGTTTCCATTCTCATCCTTAACTGCAATCCGTACTTTCTTAACATGAACATGCTTAAGTGGCTTCTCGAAATCAGGTTCATGTTTGAAATGCGGTTTTCGAAGACTTTCGTAATATCTTCGAGATTTCGGATCAGCAGGATGAGGGGATTCTGGATCTGTCTCGCGTATTGACAATTCCTGAGGAATGTCTACTGGAAGAGGAGGAAGTTTTTTACCTTTAGTATAATCATCGAAATCTTCATCTTCATCTCCGTCAACAGTTTTGTCTGTTAGTGTGTCTATGAATGAACTACGTGTTACATCTTTAGGAGATTGTGGTTCTGGAACGTAATCTGTTGTGTTGGTAAAAAATTCACCGGAAATTGGAGGAGGAACAGGAGCCATGGGCTTTGGAGGGGGTGGAGGAGGAGCTTTTCTTGGAGTGTCTTCTGTTGTTGTGATTCCTGTCTCTTGCGTTGAGAACATAAGAGCTAATGAACTTGATTCGCTTTCTTCTTCGCCAGAATAGCTGAGATATTCGGCTTCTTCGCTATCCTTTGGTGCGAGAAGAATATTGTTATCGTCATTCTTCTCATAATCAACGGCATTCGCGTTTGATGGAGGAACAATTTCGCCTTGGTTCTCAACAAATGCACTATCATTGCGCTTCCAGTAAAATCCATCACTATTCCTAGGGATTGGGCACGGGCAGAACCATGCAAAGCAGTATTTTTCATCGCCAATCGTTTGTATGCAGTTTTGTCTGCATCCAAGGTCGTAAGGATTCGTATAATCGCCTGATCGTTCTGCTTTAAGTGCTTGTACTGTCGTTTTATTTGTAGTTAGGTAGCCAATGTGTCGAACAAACACAATCATGAAGAATATGAAGAAAAGAATAACAGGAATGATTAATATAAGCATAGCTATACGCGGAACTGTTGTTTTCCAGCCATTCTTCGCCATATCAACAATTTCTAGGATGAATATTATGAAGAAACAAATAAACTCTAGTATAAACCAAACGAGCTGTGTAAAAAAGTATCGATAGTTCTTTAAACCAACCCAGTTTCCGATCCATTTACAGATATGATCTGCGCGTAAGACGATTCTACGTGCTTTAGCACTAAACACTGCACGTTCTGGACGATCTAAGTTTGATGCGAATGTTTTTTGCTCTTCTGTTGTTATTATTCCTGCCATTTGCTCTTCATAAGTGTATTTTCGACGTTTTTCTATGAACCAAAACCATGGTAAGTATCCTGGACTTCTGCACATTGCATTTAGATACGCAATCCACCAAATGAAATATATTAATAGATAGACTACAACGAGAATTATAGTTGCTGCGCCGGAAGTAGTATAAAATAGTGACCATGAGCCGAAAACTGCTGCACATAGTGTAAGGAATATAACAATCATAGGATAAAAGAAATTACACTCCCATTGATTAAGAAAATATTTTTGTATTTTTGGAAAATAAGTGATATGACAATTTCCACAACTGCATTTCTCCTCAAATTCACTAAATAGAGGAACGTCGTAGTCTTCATTGTCCACTGTCACTGTTTTCCCGGAGTAGGCAAATGCCCCCTCCATGATTTTTCTGTTTTCTTGCCGTTATAAATTTTGGTGACTCCCCCCAAAATTTTTTATTATACAAGCATTTGCTTTTTTTGTTAAAATAAGCATTTTATTATATAACAGATATGGAACACATATTTTGAGAAGGATAAAATTGATGCAAGGTGAATTTTTTGATGGCGTGTGGGCAATTTTAACGACATTTTTTAACGCGATACGAGCGTAAGTCCATAGAATGTGTTTTGAGGGAAACTATAAAAATCCAAAATAGAGGTAAGTGCGCCATTATTACCTGCGAAGTTACATGGAATAAATCGAAGAGTAAGTACAAGATGATCTTGCATCTTTCCAAGTAAATGAAATTTATTAAAATTAAGATGATAATATTCATTTATAGTATGTGTATGATGTTTTTTCAAAATTTCTTCAAATAAAATGCAATGATAATTTTTGAATAATTTTTTTCTTGTGTATATTTCATTTTTGATTAGTGAAAATATCATTACATCAATAAGGAAAGCACAATCCAAATTCATATTAGTTAAATTAATATACGACCAAAAGCCCGCCAAATTTGAATTAAACACGTTTTTTGATAAAAGTGTCATTTATGATTGTTGCATTTAGGGATAGTAGCCAATTTCGGTACCAATCTTGAAAATGCCTCGCCATGCCGCAACATGGAAGAGAAGTATTGGTCTGATATTGAACTATCAATCAATGCAAACTGAATCACCTTGTCATGTTGCTCCACAGATACAGCAGTCTGAGTCCCTCGCTTGGTCATGTTGCTCCACAGATACAGCAGTCTGAGTCCCTCGCTTGGTCATGTTGCTCCACAGATACAGCAGTCTGAGTCCCTCGCTTGGTCATGTTGCTCCACAGATACAGCAGTCTGAGTCCCTCGCTTGGTCATGTTGCTCCACAGATACAGCAGTCTGAGTCCCTCGCTTGGTCATGTTGCTCCACAGATACAGCAGTCTGAGTCCCTCGCTTGGTCATGTTGCTCCACAGATACAGCAGTCTGAGTCCCTCGCTTGGTCATGTTGCTCCACAGATACAGCAGTCTGAGTCCCTCGCTTGGTCATGTTGCTCCACAGATACAGCAGTCTGAGTCCCTCGCTTGGTCATGTTGCTCCACAGATACAGCAGTCTGAGTCCCTCGCTTGGTCATGTTGCTCCACAGATACAGCAGTCTGAGTCCCTCGCTTGGTCATATCACACCAGATAAATAAAAGTTCAGCTTCACAATACTTACCTGCTCTATTATGTGATTTTTTCCAACTATCATATGTTAGTTGTTGTATTGAAGTTGAGTATGAAAGAATAATGTTGCAAGATTTCTCACCAAATAAAAAATCATTAAAGAACATTTTATTCTTTGAAAATGTATTTATGTTGAAAATAATGGAAGATGTTATTCTTGTTAGTTAGTTTACGAAGTTCTTTTGGAAGAAATTTGTTGAATATCTTTATTTTGAATGGGAATGAACTTAGGAAATTCACCACAAGCTCTTGAATAGGCAGAATTGTAATGGATGATTAGCTATGATGGGATTATACGATGTTGGTTTGTTCTAGAATGATTAAAAAGTTTTCAGGTAATGTGCTGATGCATTACAAAAGATGGAAATTATTTAAATAATAACATAGTTTAATAATATTCAATTTAACTGATTAAATATTTGAAAAATTATCTAATTAGGATTTTTTTGGTTTGAAAAGTTAATTTTAGGCATAGTGTATAAAATAAAAAGCATCTACCGTGTCAGAAAATCGAAAAGTTTTCCAAAAAAATCATAAATTTCAAATTTTGAAATAAAAATTGGTACTTTTTAATATGTAAAATAAGAAAATGTATTTTTTTTGAAAAATTTAGATAGAGTAGTTCTCTTTGTATCTAAGAGGAGTGAATTTTTTCTTTAACAAGATCTGGAAACGAACAATTGAAATTTATTTTATCAATATCAGGAGGAAAAGTTAAGATTCAATATGGGATTGGTTGGGTGTAAGGTAGAGGAACTATTGTGTGATAGTTGATGCTTAGAGTTGAAATTGAAGGAAAATAAAACGATAAAAATAAAATGAATACTACCATAGACCCGTCAGTAATAGGTAGTGAAGAGAATAAATCATCCTTACCTCATACAACAACTCATCCTTAGCTGAGACAACAAGTCATCTTTACCTCAGACAACAACTCATCCTTACCTCAGTCATAGACTCATCCTTACCTCAGACAAAAAGTCATCCTTACCTCAGTCATAGACTCATCCTTACCTCAGTCATTGACTCATCCTTACCTCAGTCATTGACTCATCCTTACCTCAGACAACAACTCATCCTTACCTCAGACAAAAAGTCATCCTTACCTCAGTCATAGACTCATCCTTACCTCAGTCATAGACTCATCCTTACCTCAGTCATTGACTCATCCTTACCTCAGACAACAAATCATTCTTACCTCAAACAATAAACATCCTTACCTCAATCATTGACTTATTCTTATCTAAGTCATTGACTCATAATTACCTCCGACATTTACTCATCCTTACCAGAACTTTACATTTAAATTCAAAATAATTTTATTATATTAAATTTTCAAAACCATATTTTAGTTCAATACTATTATAGATATAACTTTGTCAATAATGAATATTTTCGCGATTTGGATAAGTATTCATTGAGTTATCTAAGATTTTATTCGTGGGTATAAATTAATTAATATGTGAAATAATTATATAATAAGAGACGGATATCCAACACTCAGTCTCTCTTTGACATCCAACACTCAGTCTCTCTTTGACATCCAACACTCAGTCTCTCTTTGACATCCATCACTCAGTCTCTCTTTGACATCCAACACTCAGTCTCTCTTTGACATCCAACACTCAGTCTCTCTTTGACATCCAACACTCAGTCTCTCTTTGACATCCAACACTCAGTCTCTCTTTGACATCCAACACTCAGTCTCTCTTTGACATCCAACACTCAGTCTCTCTTTGACATCCAACACTCAGTCTCTCTTTGACATCCAACACTCAGTCTCTCTTTGACATCCAACACTCAGTCTCTCTTTGACATCCAACACTCAGTCTCTCTTTGACATCCAACACTCAGTCTCTCTCTTTGACATCCATCACTCAGTCTCTCTTTGACATCCAACACTCAGTCTCTCTTTGACATCCAACACTCAGTCTCTCTTTGACATCCAACACTCAGTCTCTCTTTGACATCCAACACTCAGTCTCTCTTTGACATCCAACACTCAGTCTCTCTCTTTGACATCCAACACTCAGTCTCTCTCTTTGACATCCAACACTCAGTCTCTCTTTGACATCCAACACTCAGTCTCTCTTTGACATCCAACACTCAGTCTCTCTCTTTGACATCCAACACTCAGTCTCTCTCTTTGACATTCAACACTCAGTCTCTCTCTTTGACATCCATCTCAACTCAATCTCTCCTTTTGACATCCAACACTCAGTCTCTCTCTTTGACATCCAACACTCAGTCTCTCTTTGACATCCAACACTCAGTCTCTCTTTGACATCCAACACTCAGTCTCTCTCTTTGACATCCAACACTCAGTCTCTCTTTGACATCCAACACTCAGTCTCTCTTTGACATCCAACACTCAGTCTCTCTTTGACATCCAACACTCAGTCTCTCTTTGACATCCAACACTCAGTCTCTCTTTGACATCCAACACTCAGTCTCTCTTTGACATCCAACACTCAGTCTCTCTTTGACATCCAACACTCAGTCTCTCTTTGACATCCAACACTCAGTCTCTCTTTGACATCCAACACTCAGTCTCTCTTTGACATCCAACACTCAGTCTCTCTTTGACATCCAACACTCAGTCTCTCTTTGACATCCAACACTCAGTCTCTCTCTTTGACATCCAACACTCAGTCTCTCTTTGACATCCAACACTCAGTCTCTCTTTGACATCCAACACTCAGTCTCTCTTTGACATCCAACACTCAGTCTCTCTTTGACATCCAACACTCAGTCTCTCTCTTGACATCCAACACTCAGTCTCTCTTTGACATCCAACACTCAGTCTCTCTTTGACATCCAACACTCAGTCTCTCTTTGACATCCAACACTCAGTCTCTCTTTGACATCCAACACTCAGTCTCTCTTTGACATCCAACACTCAGTCTCTCTTTGACATCCAACACTCAGTCTCTCTTTGACATCCAACACTCAGTCTCTCTTTGACATCCAACACTCAGTCTCTCTTTGACATCCAACACTCAGTCTCTCTTTGACATCCAACACTCAGTCTCTCTTTGACATCCAACACTCAGTCTCTCTTTGACATCCAACACTCAGTCTCTCTCTTTGACATCCAACACTCAGTCTCTCTTTGACATCCAACACTCAGTCTCTCTTTGACATCCAACACTCAGTCTCTCTTTGACATCCAACTCAGTCTCTCTCTTTGACATCCAACACTCAGTCTCTCTTTGACATCCAACACTCAGTCTCTCTTTGACATCCAACACTCAGTCTCTCTTTGACATCCAACACTCAGTCTCTCTTTGACATCCAACACTCAGTCTCTCTTTGACATCCAACACTCAGTCTCTCTTTGACATCCAACACTCAGTCTCTCTTTGACATCCAACACTCAGTCTCTCTTTGACATCCAACACTCAGTCTCTCTCTTTGACATCCAACACTCAGTCTCTCTTTGACATCCAACACTCAGTCTCTCTTTGACATCCAACACTCAGTCTCTCTTTTTTGACATCCAACCCTCAGTCTCTCTTTGACATCCAACACTCAGTCTCTCTTTGACATCCAACACTCAGTCTCTCTTTGAC